ATAATCTTGAATAAAAATCTCAGTTTTGTGACAACCGACTCGAATAAGAATTCACTCAAAAATTCTCGACGTTCACTTTTACTCCTCATTGCTTGTGAAAAACTTTGTAACATCGTGAAAATAAACACGTGCAAGCAGCAGGAGTCTATGGTGAACATGGATGCACCCGATTAAGAGCAGACCAGCGATCGTTGGACGTAGAACTGCAAGTCAGTCCCCAAGAAAGGTGTTTCGCGATCGATCTAGCCAATGGGTTAATCGTTGAGTCGAAGAAGAAAAGATCCGAGACAGGGGATAGAGTAATGCCTGAATAATTATCACAGTGAAGAAAAAATGGAGAAAAATTAAATAGAAGTCAGTCCCCAAGAATGGACTAGCCACTGAGTAATGACTGAATAATTATCACTAGACTGCGGATCTTTATGCAAATTCAAATTTTTATTAATAGAATTAATGAAACGGAAGCTTCGCAGAGAGCTGTCTCAACCCCTAAATATAATAATTCGTATCTTACTTTAAGTATTTCTTATATTTTTGTATATTAAATGCAATCTGTAGTTTTTTGAGGATTAAAATTTCCCATAAATGCATAAACATCCGCAGTCTAATTGTCACAGTGAAGAAAAAATGGAGAAAAATTAAATAGAAGTCAGCCCCCAAGAAAGGACTAGCCATTGGGCTAATTGTTGAGTTGAAGAATTAAAGATCCGAGACAAGAGATAGAGTAATGGCTAAATAATCATCATAGTAAAGAATAAATGTAGAAAAATGAAATAGAAGTCAGTCTCCAAGAAAGGACTAGCCAATGGACTAATTGTTGAGTTGAAGAATTAAAGATTCGAGACAGGAGATAGAGTAATGCCTGAATAATTATCACAGTGAAGAAAAAATGGAGAAAAATTAAATAGAAGTCAGTCCCCAAGAATGGACTAGCCACTGAGTAATGACTGAATAATTATCACTAGACTGCGGATCTTTATGCAAATTCAAATTTTTATTAATAGAATTAATGAAACGGAAGCTTCGCAGAGAGCTGTCTCAACCCCTAAATATAATAATTGGTATCTTACTTTAAGTATTTCTTATATTTTTGCATATTAAATGCAATCTGTAGTTTTTTGAGGATTAAAATTTCCCATAAATGCATAAACATCCGCAGTCTAATTGTCACAGTGAAGAAAAAATGGAGAAAAATTAAATAGAAGTCAGTCGCCAAGAAAGGACTAGCCATTGGGCTAATTGTTGAGTTGAAGAATTAAAGATTCGAGACAGGAGATAGAGTAATGGCTAAATAATCATCACAGTAAAGAAAAAATGGAGAAAAATTAAATAGAAGTCAGTCCCCAAGAACTAGTCAATGAGTAATGGCTGAATAGTTATCACAGTGAAGAAAAACTGTAGAAAAATTAAATAGAAGTCAGTCCCCAAGAATTAGCCAATGAGTAATGGCTGAATAGTTATCACAGTGCAGAAAAACTGTAGAAAAATTAAATAGAAGTCAGTCCCCAAGAACTAGCCAATGAGTAATGGCTGAATAGTTATCACAGTGCAGAAAAAATGTAGAAAAATGAAATAGATCACAGAGAAACGCGGTGGCGTTGAAAAAAAAGAAGACAAAATCGCGTATAGTAACAAAACGATAAGAAGATGCAGGCGAGAGGTAGAAACGGAGCAAGAAGAAAGGATGAAAGTCGAAGAAAGGAGAAAGGTGAGGCACGTGTGCAGAACGGAGGCAATGTCATCGAACTTACATAATCTGTCCTCTTTCTTCAATTACACGTACCCGGTGTATCAATGCAGGCGTAGGTACATTTGGGTCGTGCATACCGGTATTCCGAGAGACCTTTGCTCCTCTGACGGATATGGAAGATGAAAATGATGCCGGAGGACACCGGTTCTGGCGTGGCTGTTTGCTTTCGACGCGAACCGTTTTTTGCGCGATGAAGTTATTTTCGGTAGTCGAGGCCGATTGGGGCTTGTAACGCTTTGAATTTAGAATAGGGTTGCGTAAAAACTATTGCACTCACGACGACGACTCTTATAGAAATATTTAACTCTTTGCGGCGCAGGATATCAGATAATAAAATAGACCCATGTTGTATAGAAATTCTATTAATAAAGGTAAAACAATGTTAAAACATAAAAAAAGATTGTCGCAATAAACCTTCTGCTTGCAACACTTGATGAACCTGTTATTGGCATGTTGAATGTTGTCAACACAAGTGGATACATTTGTAACATTTGTTGAAGATATTACCAACTACTTTATGTAAATAAGACGAAATATAAACCTATAGGCAAGTAGCTATTGCAATATTTCGAGGTGGGACTAAAAATGTCCCACCATGCATTACAATGCATCAAAAAGATGGGGCATTTTTAATCCCAGCGTGCTTCAAAGAGTTAAGATAGTATAGAGTTATAGATATTTCAAGGAATATTTAAAAAAAATGGAGATTTAGTCTTTTTTTGAACCAGAATTACAGCCCGACCCATTCACTATAATCGCCCTGTACAAGTAAGTCCCGGAGCGCCATAATGGCGTACAATAAAGTGTCCAGAACAACTGCAACGATCGTGGGACGCGTTAAAGCGCGCGTTGCCGCCCGTTTCGGCGCTAAGATTTTTATTTTGCAAGAGTCGATCAGAAAACGAGATACACGGCGGACGTGAGAGGATGTGAAAGAGATTGAAAGGAAATCGATGTCGATGCACGCAATAGTGCTCCATTAACCATGCTCAATATGTTGCTACTACGGGGGCCCCTCGACGCTTCGCGTTTATCGGTCCTGCTCTACTTTCCATTTTAATTGCAAGCATCGGGACTTTCTGATGGAATTTGATACCTGAAAACTCGCGTCGAACGCGACACCGGCTGCAAATCGAAAGACAGTGCCCGCAAATAACGTGGGTGGTGTTTTAATCTCGCTGCCATCGTTAATTTATGCGGGAGAGACCTTGTTGCACGGATAGATTCAATATTTACTGCTTGCGTTGTGCAATCGTAAGAAACACTGGAAGATCCTCTGTCTCTGTGCAAGGAAAAGAAGAAATTTCTTGCCGTTCCAATTGCACTGAATTGAAACTGAGGCTTGTTGCTTGTGTAGGAGCAGTTTTCACAATATTCAACTAAAATAAAAAATAAAAGGAATGCACTAAAGCTTGGGGAGTAAATTTAAACGTATTCGTAAATGATTTTGAACAAATTTTTATGTTAATTATAAAATAACCAGTGAAAATTCGAAGCAGTTGGTTTTAAAAGCAATCGATACTTTTATTTATGTTTTTCATGCTAACAAATTTGAGGAAGTATCGAGAGTGTTTGAAGGATTGAGAAAAACGTCTTCGAAAGTTTTACGTGACTTGGATCGCGCTGAAACGAGCCGCTCGATCGACAAGAGACTAACGAAACACACTCAATTTCGTTTTCACTTTACCCGCTCCCCGAGTTCTTAATACGAAGCACAATAACGAGTTTAGAGTGGGTGGCGGAGTCACTACCTGAGAGAAAATTATGCGATGTCGGCCAAGTGGAGGGAACGCCTGCGGCGGTTTCGGTTAGAGCTTTGTATCACCGCCAATTCCCCGAAAATTGACTTAAATTCTCTTGCATGGCATTGGTGGAAGATCGATCTTTCAGAAAAAAAAATGGAAAAAAGAATCTTTTACGAATAAAAACGAAATAAAAATTAAAAACGTCTACGTTAAGAATCTTTGGTAGAAAACAAAATCTAATTCAACGCAGTTAAATGTGAGAAATATTTGATGTTTGTTTTTTTTTATTTGAACATTCTCAAAAGACTGGGTTAATTGCTTTAACTATTACGGTCACAAAATAGTTTATAAAAGATTCATTTTTTCGGTACTGTATCGTTTTACTTTCATAATCAATTAAAAACTCAGCTCACCTTTTATAATCCTCGAGAATCAAGTTTTCCAATTTTCTATCCTTTCGATCTTGAATTACTATGTTCATAGTGACAAAGATTGGATATACACACAGGATTCTCTTTTCAAGAATGTTAGATGGACACTTTTCTTGTCAAATAGCGTCGTATTGTTGTTTTAAGCGTTAATATACTCGGGCATGGCTCATGAAGTTTCAGATAAGAAAACTATTTCAATGTTTCAACGAGAACAGGGGCTCGTCTAGGCTGGGGAATACATTAGCTTGGAAAGATCACGTATTACTTCACCAGTTCCTCATAAGATCGTTTCACGTACAGTCGATGTAATAAAACTATCTTTATTTATACATTTTTACTGCAAACTTTGCAAGTTTTCATATGCATGATACAAGGGGCGCAATATTGAGCATCGATGTCACTCAATTTTTGGAGAAACGTTTCCAGAAGAGTAGAACTATGGGAAGCAATTGTGTGGAGGGGAAGAACATCTAGGGGACTCGTTTGTCTCACTTTTAATTGCTAAATGAATCGTTAAGGAGCAAGGAGAGCCAATGATGGAATAAAAATACAGACATCGGTTAACAGAAGACAATCAAGTTACTTTTATTGACTTTTCTAAGACAAGTGTTAAGTCATGGAGTTTACAATCGTCTGAAATCAAAGTTTCGATCTCGTAAGAAATGTCAGTTTTTAAATTCGTGTCAGCAAAAAAATGAAAAGTTCCATATTGAATTTCACGTGTCAGGAGCATCTAGAACCGCTATAATGTAGGAAGACTATACTGGTTATGGTTATTATCAGTTTACACGTATACTAGCCATTTTTCTATTGAAAGCCCTTATCAGGGAAAGTCTGTAAACGATGGAAGCCATGAAAGGACACGTAACTAGCCGTGATCGCCGAATTTCCACGTAGTCGCGATCGAGATTCCAGCTCTGTAGGGATGACTCGCGGGGCAGGTGAGAGGTGGAAAGCGAAAAGAAAGGTAAGAGGGACCCGTGATCCCTTCCACGGGTCGAAAAGGCCGAGAAGAAGACTCGGGAGGTGATCGTTGTGCTCGCAGTGCATCGGCTGCTCCACGGTGGGCGGACGTTCGGCGTCGAACAGCTTCTCGGTTACTCATGCAACGTGCAACAAAATGCCGATCAGCCTCCGTACACTGTGTAAGTGCTAGATTTTCACGCGAATCGAATTTCCCGCCGCGAGGTCAACGCCGGCGGTCGCCTTTTGTTAATCAGATTACAGCGCGACGTTCCGCCTACGAGACAGGCAAAACCCGATCATCCGTTATCCGGGACCCGCGGGGGCAAACAAGACCATGTATTCCCATGTTTCTTGATCGTCGATAGGCGTTATTGTATCGTTACGTTTGCATATCGTTCTCGTTCACCCTCGCGGTGATCCTCGACGACGAGAGATCGTCAAAGATTTACACTCGCGTTTTCGCGATTATCCATCGAGACGGGATCGTTGAAATTAGTCTGTGGTCAGTTTTAATCGTTGTTGGTAGTGTTACACGTGACCGGGGGGGAACTTCGATGTCGTTGCAAGGTAAAATGAATTTGTGTTTTTCGGAGTGATCTTCGAAGTCGTTTTTGTTATTACGTGGATGGTAAGGTAATGGAAATCTTTGAAAATTTCATTTTCTTTAAAGATGCTAGATTTATTACTTGGATATAATGAGTTTGAAATGTTATTATATGTTACACTGGTAGAAAGAGTGTATCGTTTATATTATTATTCGTGTTACTATAGAGTGTGATGTCTAACGTGGGAAAGTGTAATACCGTCCTAAAGTAATAAATAAAATATTTATTGGGTCCCGTGCAATGATTTACGATGATCTATTGCAGAAGTTGTTCAGATTAATATTTGAATTATACTGTAATGAATATTGATATGCGATACCATCGATATCAATGCACGCGTGTATAGATATATTATGCAATATGCAGGGATTATATTGATTCGCTATAAGAAGTGATTAAATCTACAAAATGATAGTTCCTTCATTGTACTCAGTATTGGTTAACAATTGACTCAATAACGTGGATGGAATGTAGGAGTGATTTATCCCACTTCGTACAGTCAATACAAGCAGTCACATTTGTTTTCTAAATAGAGTTGCAAAATAATTACCCTATCTTTTAATTTTACAAATATCATTCAATTCTATTTTCATCATAATTAATATTCTTTTTGTTGGTTGAGAAATTTCTATAAAATTCAGTAAATTATCTTATTGAGCAGAAAACCCACCTAAAGTATGTATAATAACTAAGTTGAAATAATTAATTCCACGTTCCAAATCGTTTCGTTGCATCGATTAGAGGACTGTATCAATTATTTTGGCAAAATTTTGTGCCACTGGGCGTTCCCAATCGCGTTTCGCGTATACGTTCGATGGAAGTGAAATCTTCGTGATTCGTAAATGCACGGGTTGACGCGGGAACATGGAAATATATTCTCACGACTGTATCCTGAGCACAATGCAATCCTGTTACGACTGTACAAATGGGAGGGCAATTCAATTGATCGGAAGTAACGCAGAGAGATAAGTGGAATAGAATGTACAATATAATAGACACGAAGTCTTTGCACTTGAACGTTTTTAAACTCACTTTGAGGGGACTGTTTGAAATCGTAATTCATGTACAGGATACGTTACGCAATCGGGGTTGGTGGTACCTCCTGTTTTCTCGAGGATAAACAAAATTGAATTGCAAATTAAAATTATAAATCTAAACTAAAGATAGAAATCTTAGGAGAGTATGAAAACAATTTCAAGTTTGTAAATATATGAATTATCGAACAACAGTATTATTTCTCTTTTTGTATCATTTTAAATATACTGCTTAGTTCGTTTAATAAATGGTTCAATTCATAAATTTTAATTTCAGAAAATTATACAAATATATTATTAATACAAGCATTTTCCAAGCAATTAAAATAAAAATAAACATAAATAGGGAAAGATTGGAAACTACTGCTTTAAATATATCGTTTTTTCTCGATATTTCTTGTATAAAAATATTACAAGAAAGTGATCGAAAAATGAATACTTCCCGGGATATTTCGAGTTAATATATGTATAAACGCACGGTTCAATGATGCTTGTTACGCGATTATATAAACGCCGTATTATAAAACAAAGGAAGTACAGGTCTCACAACGTCCAAGTATTCATTTAAGTATTACATTTCATACGTAAACGTTTTCAACTTATGAAACTCGTATTCTTCATTTTGTTCTCCATGAAAGAAATAGAACTGACTTTTTAAATTTAAAAATTTGAATGTCTTATTTTCTTTTGAAAGAAAAACGTGTAATAGTTGCTTTATAATATTAAAATTTCGCCTGAAAACGATCTATATTTGATCGAAAACATTTATACACGAAATACATATAATTTTAATTTTAATTCCTTTCGTTTCGTAAAAAGGAGAGCAAACAGAATTACTACTAATTTTGCCTGATTAAGGAAAAATTAGAGGAATTCCTTGCGAAACGGAGACATGACGCAAATCATTCCCACGTGAAATTTCATACTAAAGGATTTTCGGGACCCCCAGACTACGAGACGCGTTCAAAGTAGTATTTGGACCGAAACTTAATTAAAATAATTGTTAGGGGACGGTGTTCCGCGGTTTCAGTCGTTTGAAAGTTGCCCAGGTCGGACGATTGCTTGAAATATTTCTCAAAATGTTAATCATAAGTTTGAGATGACGCGAGAGGAGCCACAGCTACCGGTGGCTTAATATTAATTTCTTTTTCTTCTTTTTTTTTCTTTTTTTGCGTAATTCACGACTTCGTTCACGGAATCTCCGTCCTCCGTTTCGACACCCAGGTGCCATTAAAACTAATTCATATTTCCAGACTTCGGGTTGCGTTAGCTGGAAACATTAAATTTCCGTCGTGACGCGTTCGCCACTGACGCATTCTGGAGTTAACGCAAGAGACGTATTTAGAGGAGAAAGAATTGTTCGATGTTGAAATTGGTAAACTAGAAATTTGCTGTCGGGTTAGAACGTGTTCCTGGTGTTGCACGACTTCGTTACCCGGTTACATTTACTCGTTAGCGACACTGAAAATAATCAGTTTAAGTTTGGCGGTGTTCGCGTAAGCGGAGACAACATTCTTACTATTCACCACCCTGTTAACAATAATTAAAAGTTGAAAGAATTAAATATCTTACGATAACACGGATGGAAATTTAATTGTTCGATAGAATATATTACTAAGAAGCAATAATAATAAAGAAAATTAGCAATCGTTCGAAATAATTCACGCATCGATCAACGGAATGTAAAATAATTTTCAATTGACGGAATATATTTAAATAGCTCGAGGCGGTAACGCTTTCTCACGTGTGACCTGATTAAAAACTATAGCACTCTTGATGTCATTGAGAATGCGAGATAACGGGATCACGTGCGTGGGAGGGGCGTTTATCGATCAGGGATCGGAGTTCTGCAAATTCCAGGGATCAATTCATCCGTTCGAATAATAGCGATCACGAGCATTGTTTCAGCAGAAGTTGGGTATCGTTGGTGGTATTAAAAAGATGCTCTGAGAAAGGTCACGAAGTTGTGTAGTTACGAAGGAGACCGAATACCTTTGCTCGTGAAAGACCAACTCGTTTTCTTTCCGCGTTAAAAGTCACTCCTTTAACGTTTTCTGTTTAATTAGATTTGTTTCTTGTTGCATCGCACGGTCGATCGCACGTTCCACTTGATTGGTCAATTAATTTATCGCCAGATAATAACCTTCTATATTTTCTTATGTTGAAAATAACAATCCTCTAAACATTTTATAAAAAGTGAAAGCAAAGATATAATATCTTCCGATGACAAAATTTCTTTGTTCGGTGCAACGATGCAAGTGCACTATGCACATTCGATAAGTCTTACAATGTGTTGCATCTCACAAATACATCGAACGTGTCAACTTTCTAATAATTAGTCAAACTCGTTGCAATATGGTTAAAACTGTTTCAACCTAAGTAAAGACACCCGAGGCACAAAAGCCATTACTGAATGAAATGTGTTCATGAATCGTACTGTTTACCAGGTATCAACCCGTAACCATGGCCATCAGTGTTACGTAATTTAGTGTGATGAATACAATTTCAGCACGAAGATTGAGCTATTAAATGCAACCATAGAATATGAAGTATCTCGTAAAGTATGACGACTTCACTGGCTGTACCTTACCACTTTTATATGCAGAATTATAAGAACAAATGCATAATTAAATTTGAGAAACAGTTGCGTTGTGCTTTTCGAAATGTAACTATCTGATTTGTTCAACATAAATAAATCCCTGAAATCATTTTGCAGAATTACATTTGTACCTTGATGTTTTGGTTAAAAACTTGAAAGTTTGTGCTTATGATGCAAATGTATAATTACTTTCGAATAAAGTGCAAATAAATATATATAATACATATACAACGTTTCTATTGAAAAGGAGGAAAGAAAAAACTAGTGAATATGTATTTCTAAACATAGTACGCGAGTAACGGAGCTTCACATAATAAAAAAACGAAATGAAGGGGTTGAGCAGACCTCGTACTTGACCGTGGTCTATAATCGTGTCTATAATTTATCAACAACACAAACAAGGACCCGAGAAACGAGTTAACGAATCGTAACATCCATTAACGCTTCACCTTGGATGGAATTCATCTCGAACCGTTTGATTTCACGTGCTGGAGTACCGTCAATCGTGTAAAACAGCCCGATGTGCGGAAAACAATGCTCTCACGATCCGGTTACAGGCATCCATCAAGTTCGAAAGCGGGTCGACTTTGCGTTTGCCTCGTGACTCGTCTGGAACTGGTCTAGAAACCATTTCGGATGGAGTATATCGCGAAACAACCGCTAACTATTGATTAATAACAGCCAGGAGACTCGGAATAGTCTTAAAAAGGTTCAACGGGTGCGAAGTATTTATTAACGCCATTTAATGACGCGCTTTCGTTTTTCGCGGGCTAGAAATTTTCGAGAGTTGTTCATTTTCACGACGCCTCTTTAGACCCTATCAGTTATTTTAAACGTATATTCGTACATGTATAAATTACAGATCCAGGAACCCAGTGTTCACAATTATTAATTATTCTTTAAACCTTAAGTGCTTTGTAGTACGGAGCAAAGTTGGACAAAATTCGAATAATAAATCACCAATAAAATCAACGTAATTTTCGAGCAATTAAACTTTTCTACAAATCTACAAATAATGTTTCGTTTTATAATTCGGATTATAGTTTTTATTAAACAAGTAACGTGTGAGAGTTCTTTTATTTTTCATTGGTTATTGGACAATTTTATCGGGATAAAAGTTTTGACGATCTCTGGTATGGTGCAACGTGTATCGTGGGTTCCCGTCGACGATTACGTTTTTAAATATTCGCTGGTGTAACACTTTCCAGCTGAGGCACTCCTTTTTGTGCAGGTCTCGTGACACTGGTCTTGTGCAATATTCACGGCAGTCTTGAACATGAAATTCCAAGGAGGAGCTTCCTGTCGCGAAGAGCCATCGACGGTACCAGAGGAAGGTAACGATTTCGAGAATCGTTTCGCGTGCATTTCTTTGAATGTAACGTCGGTTTCAGGAAATACTTCGATCCGGAAGAAGAAGGAGCCTTTGACAGTTATGGATCTGCCGGTGGCCAGTACGATCCTTACGAAGAGAGAACAGGTAAATCAAGACGATTTCGTTCGAGCCTTTTCCATAGAACTCGCGGAAAATCCTTTCGACCAGTCAAACGCACAGAATAACTTAATTACAAAGAATTTCAAACAAGACAGTCTTCTATACAAAAGTATTTATAGCTTAATGGATAGAAAATAATTAACGACGAAGCATGGAATTTCTCGTGTCGTAAAAAATCATTTATTTTCTAACTTTTGTACCGCAGACGATTACGATCTTCGTTTCGAACAATCGCGTCAACCGGTAGAAATGGTGTCATCGCGTTACTAATTATAGGACAAGGCAGAAGACATAATCGTTAGCATATTGCTTATTTGTGCATTTCCATTCTTCACTTTCACGCAGTCTCTTAGATTATTAAAGATAACAGTCATACTCTTATATAGTCGCGTCAACCGGCAAAAATGGTGTCAAGCATTAACTAGTGAAATAGTTGGGTTAAAAAGAACTTCGATTTCAATTATTTTCGTTTCAAAGACTCGTTTCTATTTTACACGCTATCGATTGCAAAGGACAAAGTAACAAAGGCAATTTCTAAAATTAATATAAAACGTAGCCTGAACAAGTGTAGTTTATTTTAAAATGCTTTATTTTTATACGTTGCATCGAACACTAGTTTTCCATTTTTTTTTTTTAGTAAAGAAAGACTCTGAACTCGTGTAAATAGCATTCATTATGATGCAAAATTACAATCTGAATGAAATGAACGAGTCTTTTTCATTGAAAAATTAATTCACGTCTAAATATGTATATCCACTAATGCAATGAACTGTTTGCTTCATTGTTGAATTCTTGCCTCTGGGGATTGGTCCTCCCACTACTAATAACATCCACAACTATTCTTTGAAGAAAGGAACGAACTCTCAAATACGTTTGGAAACGCAATGTCTATTCAATAGCGTAATTTCTACGTCATTTTCCCTCGTTTACTTCGCCCATTCTTCGTATAAAGTCGCTATTCAGATCGCTATCGCCGTTTCCTGCCAACGATTCTCGTATCCATAATGCCAATTTCATTTGCCATTATTGTTCGTCCTCGCGTCTTAATAATTATGACGATCGGTGGCATTATCCGAGGCAGAATGTCATCGCGTTTTTCGACCATTCTCGTCGAAAGGAAAGATCCTATCTCCGATGACGCTACGCGGTTTCGTTTTTATCGCGACGATTGATGAACGCCTGTTGGACGAAGACGAGATCGTTAAGACGAAGATGTATTATCAAGTACCGTGAAAGGCAACGGTCTACGACAAACGTACGAAATAAAAAAAATCTTGGCATAGGTCACGTGAAGCATCTTGCAAATTACGAGGCGCAGAACCGTTGAATCACGTGCTGCGCTTCGAGAACTGTAAACACGGGGCATACTGTTAAATGTCACAGGCACACGGGATTATCCTTACGAGTCCTTTTACAACCTTGGATTGTTCTGCATACGCGGCATTTAATCGATCGCCTACAATTAATAGTCGGTGATTTTTACTGAATTCTATTTAATAAATTTCTAATTTATGCGAACGTAAATAGCGACTATGGCCATTCGAAATTGAAGCAATCTTGATAAAAATCAATTAATAGAAAATAAATATGTCGATCCAGTGGACTCAAAACTCGTGACAATAGAGTTCATTAAATTAGGATGAAATATTACGATCTGAATGGTGAAATGAAATTATGTTCATGAATTAAAAAAAAATATGATTAGATATTCGAAAACACGTTTGAATGTTTGATATTTTGATTCAAATATCAAATAAAAATTAAAACTGTATTTCACGTTGAACGGATAGAAGCTTATCTCAATAATCGTTCAATGGAATAAATATTGAAAATAAATAAATATGTAGAAAATATAGAATTTATTTTTACATGACAATAAAGATCTCTTGCATGTGGTTTGGAACACACATAAGTTCACATTTGCCTATAAGGAGTGAATGTGTAATGATGGACTGAATTCAGGTTGCACAGCCTTGAATCGATATAATAACGCGGTGTATGTGATTTTAAAGTTCATTGAAATACTAACCATTATTCGTTGGTATTTATTTAATGTCATAAGATACAAACGATATGTAGGTATTTAAAATTTTTTTAAATCCAGCCTCAACAATCTTGTATTAACACTTGATATAAATATAATTGAACGTATGCAACATTTTACGTTGCTTGTTTTTAATTTACTTAACTGTGGATAAAGAAAAAAATATTTTTCTAGACTTAGACTTTCTGGGAAAACTTTGTTTCTTCTTATTGACAATTCGTAATGTATTTTCTACGTTCCAATTAGTTAATCGTTTAATTTTCCAGGGTATATACTTTCGATTTCTTGGTTTTAATTTATCGTACGTCAAAATCGAGATTTTTTTCGTTTTCAGACGTGTCGAACTAATTATACGATGTTAATCAAGACGTAGATTAACGATTCCGTTACCTTTTTAAGTAAATCGATCAAATGCACTCGCTGATTGTAAATTACATAATAACACTGCTTATATCCTGCTATATTTAGCCAACGTTCAATGCTGAAAGCTTCCGTATTTGTAACTACGTTATAGTGTGTCTTAAGTAATCAAAGCTTACTTTAAAATTACTCAGAACTGTTAGCTTGCTGAACGTTTCAATAAAATTTACACGATACATTGTCAAGTGCTTTAAAAAAAAAACAAAAAATCATTTGGAAACAACCAATATAAAAGTTACCAAAACAGTATTTTAGTATTTAGAAATTAATAGACAATATTTAAAAGATGGACATGCAGAATCCAACGTACAACGAAGTATTTTTATGTAATATTTTACCCTTTTTACAAACATGGCTCAAAAACCATGAAAGCTCGTCGAAACGACGAAGAAAAATAAATTTCTAAATGACTTGTTCGTTATTATAGAAGCTGATTTTCAATCATTAATCTGAAAAAAGTGAACGTTAAACGATTGAGTGGTGTTTAGTCAGGACCATAATTGTTACGAGTTGGTCTGTCGGAGGTCTGTACACCTGTTCGTTTAAACGTTACAAACAGCCCAATAAAGCCACTGTGCTCGTAGAATCTTGGTTAATAAATCTTTCGAATCGGCTACTGTTTCGGACGTATCTGAACAGCGATCAACATTAATGTGGAAATAAACATTTCGCTGTTTCAGACTTGTCGGACATAAGGAGGAACGTGCCAGGAGAGCCAGGCGTCGATTATCCTGCGTATACGACGCTGCCTCAGACAGGATTCACGTGCGAAGGACGTTCACGAGGTGAATGAAATTCAAATGAATCACTGTCCCCGTACCTTTATCCTCGATTTCACCCATGGGTATCTAGTTTGGTAGAAAATTCCGTCGACTCGCATCTCGTGTACGCCTATGGAAATGTCGATGCCACGACTTTGGGATTAGGTAACGTCGTCAGGCGGTTTTCAAACGTACCAGACGCGATTCGAGCCATCTAAAGCAACGTTACCGCCTTATATTTATTTTATATAACTGTATTTATTTTATTTAACGACTTCATTATTCGTAACCAGACGGAAAAGTGAACGCAAAATGCTAGGCGGCAGGATGAAGTTCAAAGAAATTCCTATCTTTATTTTCATACAAGATAATATTTTTTGAAATATTTTTCGTACATTGTAAACGTGGTATATAAAATATTGGTTCAGGAATCAATAGCTTTCCATGAAAACTGAAAATGTTTAAGTAGGATGAAAACTGCGTCAATACACTTTTTGCTAACGACTTGTGAGATTGTTTGTTCCAGTTGTATAAATTTCTGGGCTCTCTCGGTGTCGACGAAATCCTTCAAGATATTTTCACACGCGCTCTGATTGGAAAGCTTTTTTTCTCTCGAAACACTTTCCAGTTATACGAGAATTGACTTCTAGCAATGTCTCCCAGAATGTCGTTATCAATGGAGCCAGTGTGACCTCGATCTTCTTTCTCCTTCGAAAGTTTCGTTTGCGTTACGAAAGAATATCAACGTTGAATAGTTCGTTCTGCGACAGAATCCTGGCCAAATGCATTTATGAATATTATAAACTCATCAGAGATAATCGTTTGGAAATCACTTAATTTTATAGATATTTTTAAATTCGAGATAAATGAAAACTCGTACTGTAAATTTTGAGTTCACATTTGTATTCTAAACAGGATAGTAGTATTTCCTTTTTGACAATTCAGGAAACTACCATCTATGAATCACTTAATCATTGGAAAAGATCATTGCGGAGTTTCACAAATTTCTTTCTTTAATAAATATTCTTACGAAATCGTATCTCAAAGATAAATTGTTACTTTCGACTACGGTTTTCTCCAGGCGTGAAAAAGCAAAGCATTCATCGTAACGAGGAAAAGAACACATGAAAGCATGATTTGTAGGATCAACGACAGCAACGTGAAAGGGCGAGGTTCAGCGAATTGCTGTTTTGCAACTTAATCCTAACTATACGTTATATTAGAATCGATACCTCGGTTTGACAAGCTTGCAAAATGGTTTTTTAGCCATAACGTGTTTAAGAAACCTGTTTCCATCGACCAAGTGTAAATGTTTCGTACGTAGAAACGTGGCTTTAGGTGGCTCGGCTAGGTGCATCGGGTTGAATCTGGACGCGCCCTAAGGCGTGTTAGATGAAAGCGTTCGTGCTCCGGAGGGAATCGATGCGAGAACGATGAAAATGCTGCGCATGCATATTAATCTGGCGATCGTTTGTCGGTCACATTACGATAAATACCTTTCCACGGTCGTAGAATTGCTCTGTGTAGTTATTATCCAAGCTTTTCTATGTCGAAGCCCACCGTTCTAATTGGGGGACACAGCTATTCGGTTAATAAGAACACTTACTTTCCTCAAATCGAATCATATTGGAAATAACAAAAATAAAAATCTATATGAACGAACGATTTTCCTAAAAGTTTCGAAATTCCAAATCTTCTTGGTTACCTGTAAAAATAAAATAAAATAGACTTAATACAGCATAGAACTAAGATTCTGCAGAGAAAATTGAAGCGTTCGTTTCAGATCTATTCATTTCATTCATCTAAGATTCGATCCAGCTTTCCCTCGTCGAAGCAGAGCTAAAAAGATGAATGTTTGGAACCTCTTGCGTGCCGCACATTCATGATTAATTGCGTCTCGTTTCAACAAACTGGTTCTCAGTTGCAACTTCTATTCAAATCTAGAAAGAAATCTCTGATATTCACCAAGATTCGTTATCCTTTCGAGTACGTTTCGATATTAACAATTTCAGGAAAATGGGTTCTCCCTTGAATTTTCATCGATCCCCCGTTGCAATAGCAACCACGAGGCCAGGAGTCTCGGAATCGAGAAATTTCACGTAGGAACATGTTTGGGGAATCGCGAATAAAATCAACCCGGATCCATCAGCTCCAAATCGATCGTTATTTGGTCCCGTACAATTTTTCGCCTTTGGTATCGATGTCAAGGATGATTCTCACGCACACAGACGGCGTGTAGCAGCACGTGTGGCCCGTGACGTCTACCTGCAGCATTTTCTTCGGTTTCGCAATAGGTCACCGTTCCCAGCCACTGATGCTCACCGTGATACCGCGAAACTCTTTGTAAAAATCACCGCGAAAACGTTCACGTGCTGCCAAAATCGCGTTTGGCTCTGTGCAACGTCGATGTCCACATCGAGTACGTTCGTACCTGTCTGCAACCGTGTCTTCTTTGTTGCGAAAACAACGAGTTCCTTGAATATTATACGCTCCTTTTTGCCCAACGGTAGCAATTCGAGTCGAGTTAATTACACCCATCACAGGGTAGATTATGTCAATGATGTTACTTAATTGCATCGCAATAGTTAAGTTATACGGATTTCAGGCGAGCCACGGGACTGTATACCGGCTAAAGAAAGTTCAGCCTCCGCTCGTTTATTATGATTTCTGTATTGAGCAACACTCTGATAATGTTGTACAGTTGTAGGATGATGTTGCTTGGGAAGTAGTTGAATGTCGGCGAAAGTAGCCTAACAATGCGATAAAGGCGCTTGGCCTTTATCCGCTTAGGATTATTCGAACGTTTCTGATGCCAGGCTGACGCCATTCGGGACACCGGACCCTGTTATTTATTTGCAATTACAAATTGTTTGGGCGAAGAACGTTCGACTTTCGTCCATGCAGACGCATGGAGAAGTTTAACCTGGCATTTAAGCGTCTGTGGTCGATCTAAGCGAAAGAAACATATGGCTTTCCTTGCAGAGAAAATTTATATTTCTTTACGTGGCTCATTACAATCTGAAACTGCTTGGTCTTTTAACGAAATAAACGCGATTGACGTTTTATACGTTTCATATTTCATGCATTACACTCGTGAGTAATAGAAATTATGTAACGTAATACTAATAGTAGTTTATTCCCAACTACATGCTTGATTTATATACGTACGTATACATATAATCGTTTCAGCATTTGATTACGCACACAAAAACAATAAAAAATTTGTAAAGATATTTCCTGTTTCGCCTCGTTATCGTGTTACGAGTCTTATGTTGGAATTCTGTCGGAAACTGAAAGTAGCTTTGCTATTCAAAAACAGAATTCAATATTCGATGTTGGACGTAATAAATTTTTTTCTCGAAAGCGCGTAGAAATTCGGGGGTATGTCTATTCACCAAAAATTATTGTAATTGACCCCCGCAACTGAAAATAATTTTTCCAGATCGATTTGAACAAATTTTTTATCGCCGAAAAACTGCACCTACTCGAATTTTTTTCTCGAAAGTGTGTAGGATTTTGGGGGTATGTCTATTGACAAAAAATGATTGTAATTGACCCTCATAACTGAAAATATTTTTTTTAGAACGATTTGAAATTTTTTTCTTCGCCGAAAAATTTCACTGTTTATACAAACTTTTTTTATTCTCTAAATTACATATCTCTACATTACACACGCACTTTGACTTTAAAAACAAATATCAAGCTTAATCTTTTATCATTGATGGTGCTATTCTCATCTAATTAAAATACCGATAAGCGTACTTGACCTATTATCGTTTGATCTAGCGTACAGGTTTGATTTCTCGTCGATCAGACGCCCGTAACGTCGACTCGTTCGTGAAGAAAGCGGTTTAATTAAAATTTCCAAGTGCCTTGTATCAACCGTGTCGCGAAACATTCCCGATGAACATCGAAGACTCCTTTACATTACACGATCGAGCTCGCGGAAGAAAGAGCGGTATTAGATAATCGGAAAAGAGAAAGATATCGCACGAATATAGGATCAGCGTCGTGTATGGTCATTACACAAGACGTATCAAACGTAAACATTGGTCGAGTCGCGATTATTTCAAGTTGCAAAAAAACACGGATCGTTACGAACGTTATTTCAGTCTCAGGAATCCGTCGATGCTGCAACTCGATTGTTACAAGGACGTTTTGATTCGAGGAAACGAGTAACGAGCATGTTTAATGGAACTCGTACACGATCGCCGTGGAATTTTATTACCTATAACTGTGAAATGCGTGACCAGTTCGTCGTTAGGAAAACGCGTTATTTATTGTTATAACTTTCCCCGACAGGTTACTACGCGGACGAGGTGGCGGGATGCCAAGTGTTCCACGTCTGCCACGACGTGCTGGTTTCCTCGTTCCTCTGCCCCATAGGGTCTATCTTCAGCCAGAAGTTGCTCACCTGCGACTGGTGGACGAAGGTGGACTGTTCGTCCAGCGAGAAGTACATCGACGTGAATCGAAACAGCTATCAGCAGGACGACGACGAGATGATTCGCAACGCCTACGCCATGATCAGTCTCCAGTCGGGAACAGACGTGACCAAGGATGGTCTGGTGGATCCGGACAGAACAGGAAGCGTGGTGGACTATCAGCGGGGAACAGGAACAGGAAGGGTTCCCGATTACTCGTCGGTGGACTCGACTGGAAACGACTTGAGAAGCAACTTCGAGGATTACCCGAGACCAGTCCACGATTTTCTGCCGCCTTATCAGTTCAAGGAGAGGAAACAGGAGACCAGTCGAAACTACCAGGAGAGATTCTATCCCCAGGAGAAGTCACGATCACCTTACCAGGATTCACCGATCATACGCGTGCAGACGCTGAACGATCCTGGCCACGGGACTCACCAACAGAGGACCAGAGACTTCCAAGACAGCTATCGAAGACCCAACGAGTTCAACGATCAGTTTCAGCCCTCCTACGCGCCCACTGTGCCCACTGTTACCACCACCACGAGAAGGTTCTACTCGCCTACGGTGCCCACCACCTACAGACCGTCGACTTTGGCCTACAATAAGCTGGACCAAGTCATAGACAGCTCGGACTACTTCTTCTCCCACAGCGGGACCAAGAGTTACGTCACTCCGCCGACCAGGATATTCCCTAACGACCAGCAAGCTTCGAAGAAGACCAATCCTGCGAGGAAAGCGAACAGGGAGGATTACGATCGACCACAGAGCTACCAGGATGATTACACGGATCTAACCAGCGAAGAGGAGAGGAGAGATAGCCCGCGAGAGAGATTCCAAGTGAGAGTCGCTGAGGATCTTCGATTCAATAGATCGAATTTGCAGAACGATAACAGCCCATCGTTCGAGGAAGCTTACCAAGGGTTCCAGGGCGATGAAAATGTGGACGATATCGAAACGAGAGGCAGCATAGGCTTGGGGCACGCGCTGCGTCAACCGTTCAGGGGGATTTCCGTTCAGGAGCAGAATCCTGTGGAGGACAAAGCCAAAGGAGCTGCGTTCAACGCATCGTTCGATGCTCACGATAGAAAAGATTATCAGTATATCACAGGAAGACCGGTATCAAACGTGGAAACGACGACCCAACAATACCAAAGAGACGATCAAAGACGTTCGGAGACCTTTGTGCCGACCACGACTCCTTCCTACATCGAGAGCACCATAAGAGTGAGCACCATAGACTCGAGTTCGAATTTCGACCAAACAAAGACTCACCCCTCGCTGATAAACGCATCGAGTAATTTGAAAAATCATTCAGAGTCGTTCGAACTTCCGAGAATTTTGAAAACTTCGGAAACAACTCGCAGCAAGTTCCAGATTAAAGTGCCAGAATTGTCCGAAGTGTCTAGTCTATCGATTCGTTACTCGTCTCACGCTGGAACGAGGACCACAGAGTTACCAGGGTTCCAGAAGGACTATACTGATCAGTCAACTGCCTACGACGAGAACATAGGAGTTACCAGTAACTATGATAACTCTGGCTCTCGTTATTACTCCACCATAAAAGCTGATAGTTTGCAACCGGAGGTTCCAAGAGTTTCTTCGACAATAGCGTCCGAGTCCTCTGGATTAGGACTGTCGTTTGCATCCAAAAATAAAACTAAAGAGATTATCGATGATTTTACTGTCAGAGACTCTGTCGAAGCTCCCAGCTCGAAAGTACCTTGCTTCGATCAAACTGGAGAACCCTGCAACACGACCAAACTTGAGAAAACGATGAAAGTGACGACAGTGTCTTCGAGTTCTTCCTATTCCGTAGGCAATTTTGACGAAATTCCGACACAAAGGCTGCACAAGCAGACTCCAGTGTCGCTTTTGGAATCGGTTTCGAAGCCCGTTGCGCAAAGAAGCGTGGAGAAATCAACAGGGAAATTGGAAACAGTGGATAAAGGGGATCTCGTTGAAAGTTCGACAGCAAATGCTTTGTTGAGGTCGATCCAGCCGAAAACTGTTAAGGAAATCGAGGAAGCCATCGACAGGAACAATTCCTCCTATCAAGTAACGTTAACGTTGAACAAAGACGAGGAATTGGTGCCCATCGAGGAGGACTTGATCGATAAATTGATCTCCCAACAAGACAAAACAGCACACGAGCTGAAAATAATTAAATCCGTCGAGCCAGAGATTCCAACTACTACTTCAAACGCTTTGGACGTCAAAGATCGGTTAAACATCGAAAATAATTTCACGGACGACTCGAAAAAGCAGAATTTCAACAGCGTGAGTCTCCTTCAATTGATGTCCGAGTTGCTGAGACTGGATCGTGCTCCTCGACCCTTTTCCTTGGATGCTCAGAGACCAGAACTGAAAACGATCGCCAAAGAAGTAAAGTCCACCACGCAGCTTCGAGACTTAAGCAGATCTCAAGAGACCTCGACAGAGTCTGGGAACAAGAGTTCGGTGATCCCACTGCCTCTGTTGAAGAAACAGATCCTAGGTCAGTTGATGCAGAACTTTGGAGAACCTATTTACAGGGCAGATCGACAGCTCGTGTTCGATCTGCCCAAAGAGGAAAGGTCCCTCGATTTTCAAACTGGCCTCCCTCTTAAGAGTTCTAATAGAAACGACGAGTCGAGCAGCGGCTTCGAAGTCGAGACTTCGTCGACTGCTAAAACGTTTCCTACAACGAGCAACGAAGTGACCACGACGACGACACCTGTGCCAAGAACTGTTACGACGGATTCTACGAAGACTGTTGTGAAAACTGAGTTGGTTCCGTCGATCGGGTTCTCGTTAAACACGGACGAGGGACGCGAGGAATACGTGGAGGCTGTTCTGGGAGGTCTGATCGAACCGGAACCCGCGGAAAGCGAGAAGAAGGAGACGATCGTTTCAGGAAAAGTCGAGGAACAAACAAAGAACGAAACCTCAGTGACAGTTTAGAGTACTGCTGGTTTACACGAGGATCGACCAGATGGGCCTTAGTTTTAGAATGAAATCTGTGATGTCGTGCTGTTTTATGTTTTAGACTTCTGGGACCGTCCATTCTTTCCTTTTGTGTTAATCGTATTCGCGTAGTTTATTCAGTTTAATCCACGATCGTGTAATGTTTGTATATTTTACGCTTATCGAAAATTATGGGAATTAGTTATTTTTTTAAGGAATTTCTCCACGTTTTGAAATTGTAATAAATTGATAACATTCAGAGATTGAAAGAGATTCTTCTATTTAAACGTACATAAAAGTTATGATATTTTCCGTCCTACGTTAACAATTTACTAATAATCTATTACCAGAAAGTAATCATTGTGTTATGCATTTGGAAACCACGCAGGAAATTTCCAATTGTAATTGAGAATATTAACATATAGTATAATAGAACGCATATAAAGTTTACATAACTTTACGATAGTGTTAGAATAGAGTTACGCTATATGTGACTGTATACGCGTAGAATAATAAATAAACAGATATCGTCGATAGAATAGGTAATTGATCTTTAAAGGCAAATTAATCAGATATCATTAGCGTTCGATTAATTTTATTCCTACCAATGACAAGGAACAGGGTCTCAATATTAAAACCGAAAGCAATGGATTCGTAGATGTGTGTGTATACTTAAATGTATGTACGAGTGTGCAAGAGGGAATGGCAACTAGGTAGTTATGAAAATGTACCTTATGTAATCCAATACATTACGATATTAAATATACTTATTCGTTGTAAAAAAAAAGTTCGACAACTTTCGTGAATGAAAGACCTTTTTTCTTTTCTCGATCGTTTCGAACTGTAACTATGATTATTATTCTATTATAACATTGTATAAAACTTTAAAATTTAGAGTAGGTGTTTCCTAAACTCTTTTCCATTCCTGTCCCTTCTATGCAGTCTTGTTTATTTGCCATGACAACATCGACACATCGGTCTTGACAATCTGCAGACACGTTTAATCGATTCAAAGCATAAGAGTACGAGGTTAACGTATCCGAAACTTGCCAAGTAAAGCTAGTGAATTTCAAAAGTTTAATAGAAAAAAAGTAAACAAGTGTATGCCTAAATAATCCTAGCTTTTTAAGTGCATGGACAGTGACAGTTATATAATTAAGAAACAATGGTTCGTTGTAACGAATATTGAGATTTTCGCACGATTAATTTGTATATTACTTTGAGGAAATAGAATAGAATAGATATTCAGTGAATTATGGCTGAATTGGAGGCCGAAATTACACAAAGAGACATGGAAGATGACGAAGACGAAGAGATTGATGATGATAGTATTATGCAAACTAGAGATTCCATTCTACACATGGATTATCGGTATAAAGAACATTTTTATTAAATTTATACGAGTAAATACACATGGATGTCTTAAACATTTTATTTTAAAAAATGCATATACAGTATACGTATGTAGAAATTTGTCTCGTTAGTATTTTGATTTTTACGAATTCGGAATAGTTACATATATTAGTAGATTAAAATAGAATACTCTGTACGTAGAATTTGGGTAGAGAATTTGATTTTCACAGGATATACTGGATACGCGAAAGAGTCATGAAGTTTTTGGGAATAACTGGTCACGAGCTGCTCTTCTACAAGCTTCTAAACGTAAATTGAATTTTTCCAATATAAATTAATTAAAAGAAATTATATTTATTTAATTACTTCACCTTGATATTATTATTATCTTGAAAATAATAGGCGAACAATCGGTACTACGAGGACAAACTGTTAAATTTTTTGATACTCGACATTTCCGGAGTAACGAACCTCGAGAATAAAGTAATATTTTTCTATGTAACTTACTACACTGAAATCGTTCGAAAGGAAGTTCCAGTATGGGAAAGTAAGTACGTTTTCTGTGCATTATTTTGCTTGGTAAATGGGCATACGACACAAACGATATTTGGAAAGAGAATTAATGTATCTGGGCATATTTTCCATTCAATTTGTTCGTCAGATTTAATTAAATAATTAAGCGTGGGATAATTTCCACCGAAATATGCGTTAATATCAATGCTGTACAACTACGTATTCCTGTAATACGAATACTATCGCGACAGAAAAGATCTTGAAGACCGACAAGAAAATCAGCAAGACGAGAGGCAGGAGAAAATTTAAGAGAAGCAGAACAAAGACTCCAAAATTGGACCCGAGCGCGATTCTGGCTTTGCTCGAGCAGTCCACTATGACTATACGATCGCAACAAGAGTCAACGATAAGTACTATCAGCGAAGAGGAAACCGTGGACCTGGACGAGGAAGAGGCCGAGGGTGAAGAGGAAGAGGAGGAACCAGAAGAGGAAGAACCGCAAGAAATCGGTAGCGGCGATAGTTTGAGTCAGTCCCAGAAAAAAGATCAATCCGACAGCGTTACTACTGGTAAAACTATACAAAAATTCTATACTTATTAAAAATCAATAATCGTTTCGGTCAGACCTCGAGAAAACGAAGCTGCAACTTTCTCATCGTTTAAATTAATTTATTATTATTTTAATTTCATGTGCTTTTTGTTAACCCCTCCGTCCTGACGTTTGACAATTTTTGACGTATTTTAAATGACACGAATGCACGAAATTTAATAATTATTCGAAACGCGAAATATCCCATTGATCGTTCGAGGGTGAAATAGTGGCTAACAAATTTACAACAGTTTGGAACACCAGAGAATATCAGTAATAAATTGTAAAGGGCATAATTCCATACTGACAAATGCTATTTTGGTTTCTCCTTTTTAGACAGTTTAACTTTCGTGCCACCGCCAGGGGACGAGGACAAATATGTTCTGACGAAAGTATGAGTCTTGCACGTTTCATTTCGTAGCTTTTCACGCGTACTTGGCGTCTTGTTGTGTACACGGAAACAATGATTGTAGAAAATGGTGGAGAAAGTACGAAAGGTGCCGATGCTTCATATGATATGCGGCGAATTGGACGGTGGCAGGACAGATTTGCAAGACGTGACACTGTTCTATTTTCTGAGAACGTCGGATCAGGGTATACCTTCCTTCGACTCTTACCAGGAGTGCAGCGAAAAGATCACTAGTTATCTGGCTGTTGGGTCCCTGCATGGAAAGTTTCTAGTCTCTCTAAATAGAATGCTCGTTCAGGTACCAAAAACAGGGCAGAATTGGGCAAAATGTAATCTGACTGCACAACGAGATTCTATAATTAATTTTTTCACAATCGTAGCTTAATTTTTTTATTTATTTTATTTCATTGCGAAGTATACGGTGGATTTGTTATACCAGTGTCTTAAGATATACAATATTGAATCACTGAATTTTTATTTCTTTTAAAAATTATAATGTTTTCCATACGAAGAATTAATAACTTGCTGGAAGACTCGTATAGTAGTTAATCAACATCTCACTTAGCTATAAATACATTCTAGCAATGGGATCAGTGGTTATTATTTGAATTTTCTATGCTGCAATTTTTTCCTTCCACGATTTATTACTGCAGGTGTTCAGACCATTGGTGGAGAGTCAATTCCAAGGACCAAAGTTCTCAGAAACCATTAAAGACTCAGACTCGGATGACGATGATGAACCACCTAGTCTGATGCAACTCATAGAGACTAGAGTACGTTATATTAATTACCCGCGTACTTGGAAGTTTCGCTTCGTTTAAGAATTGCATCGTAATTAAGCACGATTTATATTTTGCTTCGTAAATGTAATTTTTTAATTATCGATCGAGCAGAGTTCGATCTTCAGGAGACCGTCAGAATTTCGCAGAGTGTCCATGGTGATACAAAAGAAACAAGCTTTAAAGTTTGAGAAAGAGGAGAGAGCGGTATCGTTGAAAGACGACGTGAAAGATACTGAACCGAAACCAGACCACGACGTCCACAAGACTTCCAGTGTAAATTTCGACGAATTGGCGGATAAAACGAGGACAATCGGAAAGGCTCAGGCAATTCAGTCATTCGACCAGAGCAAAAAGGATATCTTGTCTTATTTGGATAAATTAATACACAGCGTGGAATGGTTGGTAATCAAGATATTAACGTCGTTAAACTCTGAATTAAAATTAACAATAACCGATCGAGAAAATGTTCATCTCGTAGAAGATTACACGAATTTTTCTGACGGTCAACGTGTTAGCGTAGATTAAGTAATTCGTTTACTTCGATTAATACACTTCGTCAGGACTCTGGAAAACATAGAAGGCGACATTCTGCTGACGATGCCAAACATACCGAAGCTCGAGGACCCGAACGTCACCGACGAAATGTTGGAAAAGGACAAACAAGTGATCGAGCAACTCGAAAATGTAATAATGTCTTGGGGAGTGCACATACAAAAGGTGATTGCAAAGATGTCTTAGAATTATTTCTTCGAATGTGTGGGAATAGACGATAAAGGTTTGGAGAAAAAAATTGTCAAGGGAGAACGCACGTATATGTACATATGTGCCGGTTAAATGGAAGAAGTATTATCGTTTCAGGTCTTGGAATCGTTTCAAACGAAAGTACCTCAGGGTAACGGCCCGTTGGCTGAGTGTAGTTATTGGCAAGACCGAGAGACGGGATTATTGATGCTGGTCGAACAGTTGAAGGCCTCCATAGCTCGAAGGATTTTAGGCGTGTTGAATAATGTGCTTTCGCCGATCGCCTCGAATTTCGAATACTTTTACGCGGATCTCTGGAAATTTTACGCGGAGGCCAGGGACAACAACAGATTCCTTCAAACTGTTATAAGATACTTCAAAGTAAGAACGATCGGTTTGCTCAAAATTATTCCATGGAATCGTAAATTGGTGATCGTTTCCCAAAATTCTCAGAAATTTAAAGATAACATCTTCTAACTAAAACATTAATTATAAGAAAAAAATACAATAAAATATATTTATTTGAGTCATATTTGAATGAAGAATGATTATACTTTTTGTTACTTTCTTGGCTTTGTACACTCGTCTAAGATTTAACTCGTCTGTTTCTCCTGATTTTAAATAATCACAGCTTGCAATATATTATGTTGCATATGCACGTGAGCAAACAACGTTATATTGTTGAATTTCTGTCTCGCCAAAAGACGACACGAACTACTAAAATTGTTCATCTGATGCACATGGAAGGCAACGTAAAATATGCAATCAGGTGTAATTTGATTGTACTGTCTGCCTGTAGCTAATCGCAGAGTCGGATTCCTTCAAATCCATCACACAGGCCATTGCGTCACTGATAGAAGGATTGAGAATGATTTGGGTGCTCTCAGGCTATTATTCCTCCGAAGAGAAAATGATGGGTTTGCTGGAGAGAATATCGTGGCAGCTTTGTCAGAACGTGATCGAAAACTTGTCGATTAAAAACCTCTTCAAGTAAGTCGCTAGGACGTTAATTGGACATACTTACAGAACGTACAAAAGGTGTCGAGGATATATCTTTCATCCATATTATACATGGAAGAGTGTTTGAATAAATATAATTGTCTGTACAAGCTACCTTGCGAGTAGAGAAGTCAGGAAGTAAAAATATTTAATAATACCTACTTTACGACGTTTATCTCCTAGAAAACCTTTGGAGGAGATTCTACGTCAGACAGACGAAGCTCACACGATGCTGAAGAGTTGGAAAACGACTTATCTGAAGCACAGAGAGGACATCGAGATCTCAGGGAAAGGGATGCGTTGGGAGTTCGATCAGAAACGATTGTTTCAAGGAACAGAGTACATAGCTTTCGTCTGCGACGGCCTTAATCAAATCGCGAACGTACTGCAGGACTTTTACAACGTCTTCGGACCCCATCTGAAGTCCATAATCAGCGATCCAGCGCAAATCGATACCATAATAAAGAGGGTCGCTAGGTTGACTCTACCGATCCAGGAGGCAGACTTCAACATCTACGACGAGTTCAATAAAGAGAATTGGGAAGCGACTATGACCTGGTTTTACGAGAAAGTGCATTTCCTTGAGAACGAGGCGAGATTCTTTATCGACGAGTGTTTCATGGCACTGATAAACGCGGAGGAAGCGTTGGAAGTGCTTCTCAAATTTAAAGACACGAAGACTAGGAATACCATTCACGAGCAATTGTTAAGAAAGTTTGACGTTATCGTGCAACAGTTCAGCAAAGAAATCAGTATAGTCGAGGGCATATATAACAGAGGTAAAACGTTCAATCATCCAAACGAAGCATCAACGTTTCTTGTAAGCTCGACTGGATTGTTGTTTTTAATTGCCAGGCAAACGGAATCCACCTCTGTTAACGTATCATCCGCCGACGGCTGGCGCCATATTCTGGATCAAACAGCTGTTCCATCGATTGAGGAATCCAGTCCTGACGTTGCAAAACATTCCGGAATTGAAGCACAGCGAATTGAAGTTGCTCGCTTTCAGCCAGTACGTCGAAGTCGCCAAGCAAATGAAAGCTTTCGAGGAATCAAAGTTCAACGCGTGGGTCGACAAGGCAAAGTTCGTCGTGCAAAGCACCATGAAGAAGAGCGTTCTGAAGATGGTGGAGTTAGAACCGGACAAAGGTTAACGATATTTGAATATCAATTAACTACCTACCGCCGAAGTAAACGATTATCGTAGATTAGAGTCACGGATATATCGCTCGTCGAAAAGAAGGAAAATTCGTTGTAGGTGTGCTGACGTTCCCAGACACGGAGAAAGAGTTAACAAACGTTCAGACCATTCACATGTCGAAGAAGGCAAGGAATAAGAATTTCGGTTCCCCCGGCTCGACGTCTCAGAGATCGATTCAAAGGAGCGATGCTCAGATCTCGAAACCAAGCATCGGTGACTTGATCTTATAAATGTTACGTTTGTCTTAAATGTTTGGTGATTTGTCGATTTCTGAAACAGAAACTGGTAGTTCGGGAGCTGCTAGTTGGAAGAGGCGAGGAGGAGACGCCAAGAGCGAATCTAAAGGAATGTTTCAGTCTCATAGAGGCCCCAAGTCGTCTACGATGTCTTCTTTAGTGGACAAGCAAGGCCACGGGACGAAGATCACTTGGACAGAGTTTATGAGCGGCACGATCTCGATAGAATGTCAGCTCCGTTTTGAAGTGAACTTTGACCCGAAAATATTCGAGATTATTCATGAGGTACTTTCTGTTTACGAAGATAAAATAAAGTAAATGTTATAGTTAATCTCCGGAACTAATAGAGCTATCGACTTGTTCGAACGCTCGTTTTAAAGGGCATTTCATCCTCTATCCTATAACCATGTCAACTATTCTAATTTATGCTGTCTTCTATGTTTAATTTCACATTTACTTTGACACTATGCACCCAAGAAAGTTTCAGCAATTTCTATTAATCATACAACTAGTGTGCGATAAAACTGGATTATAAATTATATTCCGAGTATACACGTCGGTAGGTTTAGTGTTAAACAATTGAAAGATAAATAGTTACTCGATAGTTTTAGTATTCTTGAGGATCTTTTACTGTCCACCTGTTTATTTGTATTTTATATAGGCTGAATTAATAGAGCAATTGGGATTTGAAATATCGCCCGTGATAAAAGATGTCGCCATTCAAAGGGATCGATTAAGAAAGGATATCGACGTTACGGGGAGAATGATTCAACAATACAACGAGATGATTGACAAAATGGACAAGGCAGACGTATGTACGAAAGTCTGCTAAAGTCGAGTGCTAAATCGAACGTGATTCTTGCTTCTAAGATGTATTAGAATTATAAATGGCTTCGTTCCATGCAGATACAATTACTGAGCACCACGCTCCTGGAGGTTGAAAAGTATATTCAACCCGGCGTGATGCGTTTGAATTGGGACTCTCTGAATATAACAGATTACGCAAACAACTGTGTAAAGTTATTGAAAGATCTGAACTCGGTCATGGACCAAATTAACCATATGAAAAAGGATCTCGACAATAGAATAAGTCACGATCTACAGAGCTACAACCTGTTTTCTCTGCCCCTCGAACTGTACGAAACGAAAGAACTATTGCCATGCAAGGTTTCGTGTATCTTCAAACTTTAAATTTAGTCTATATTTATCCGATCAAATAATCAATACACATTGTTCTCGATTATCGTTTAAAGACCTACTTTCAAGAAATTCAGAACCGAAGGACAGAGCTGGTAACCGCGATGGTGAAGATCTACAAATCGATAAGCCCCATATTGAGGAAGCTCGAAAGCTTGGTAATAGGGACGTCCACTGGTAAAAGTTCATCCATGCAGCTTTTCTACGAAAAATACGAGAAGAAATTGTTCAACGCGTTCATAATGTACGGGTAATACTCTTATTTTGCACGGATCCTTCGTTAATTCTAACGATATTGCTAATCTCGTAGGTGCATGGTCAGCAACTTGGAGGTCTTCAACAAAATGCTGATCAGTTTCACGCCGATCTTTCAAATAGACGCCGTGTTAATCGCCTCGGAGGCGGTATTAAGACCGTCGCCCAGCGAGATTTATACCATTATACTTCAGAACGCGAAGAATCTGCTGGATCATTTGAAATCTTTTCCTAGGTGGATGAATGGAACCTGCTTGGAGTGTCCGCGTCAGAAAAAGAACGATTCAGAAGAATTCATAACGATTAGCTTCTACGAGGATGTCATGAGCATTCAAGTAAATTGCAAAAAAAGTTTTTCCTTTGTTGTAAAATAGAATTTGGAAGGAATAAAAATTATTAAATTTGTAACTATACACATTTGACAGATTTATACTATACAGATTTATTTTTAGAGTTATTATTGTCTTTGCACAGGTGGTCAATGATAATATACTATCGATCCAAGCATCGGCGCACAAACTAGCGTTGGAATCTTGGCACTATTTGCACAGATGGAAGAAGTATAGCAATCTTTGGTCCTTCGATAAGACTTTGGCGGCCGAGAAATTCGCCCACACGTCGCCCACCCTCTTCCACTACGACGAAAAATTCGTGTTTTACAACAATATTCTCGAAGAACTCGTGGACATAGAGTCACATTTTGACTTGTATTGCATACGGTAACAGAGATTTTTCTTACGAACAATTCACGCGAATTATATCACAAAGTCTATCTACCTTCGACGAATCTCACGGAGCTTGAACGATATTCATTCGGACTAATATTTTTCTTGAAAATTATACATTTCCTGAGATTAGCATTAATCTTCATCCCCTGTTGTCTGGTGTCGAGCAACACGCCAACGAGTGGAAGCAAGTGCTGGGCAACTTTCTGCTAGCCGAAACTGTCCAGGGAATGAACGACTTGAAAACGATGATCGAAAACTTCCGCGGCCAAGTCGAGCTCGTGATCACTGGCTTAGATCGTTTCACGTCGGTCATGCAAGCGATATCCGACATAAAGAAAACCGCTATTCAGGCCGAAGTTCGATTCAAAACTTATCAGGTCTGTTAAAAATAAACACTAACGGGAATCGCGAAAATGAAATAAGTCGTGGAAATTATTAATTTAAATTTAATTTGAATCTCTACCTTCGCGAGCAGAATTTCTAGCTACGGTTCGCAAACGTTGTTTCGAATCTAATTCCACGACTATTTCAGGAAACGTTTCGAACTTTTCGCGGACACGGAATTACATTTCCCGAGGAGGACGAACAAATGGCTTTAAATCTGCAACGTGATTGGGAATCGCTTTACCTGGGCGCCCTGTACAGGGCATCGACCCTCGAAAGTACTTGCGACAGGTTCTCGGAGATGACGCAGGAACAGATACACAACTTCCTGGTGGAACTCGGGCAGTTCTCTGAAGATTTCGAGAGAAACGGTCCGGGTAGCGTCGAAGAAAACTTGGAACTTGGATTGAAAAAGATGGATGTACGTTTTGAAAATATGAAGTTTATTTTCTTAACGTTCTGAACATGTATCTCGATTGTCGCTTATTTCTGTTCAAAGTCACTGGTTGCAATTATTATATTTCCAAGAGCGATCGTAATCATAATTGATCGAAGTTTAAATTAGACGATTCACATGTTCGAATTTTTATCGAATTCGTGTTTAGGAATACGGGAAACTGATCGCCAAGTACGAGGAGAGACGTATCAGCATGATCAATTCGGAGCTGCTGTTCGATCTTCCAGCGACCGATTACACGATCTTTCTGAACATCAAAAAGGAATACGAAGGGATGGAGATGTTGTTCGATCTGTACAAAGAACAGAAGCACGCTAGAAACGAGTGGGCTCAGACACTTTGGGTGAATCTAAATCCTCAGCTGCTGATCGACGGCATGGATCATTTCATCAGGATGTTCCGAAGGTTTCCAAAGTTCGTTAGAAGCTCCGCCATCGGGCAAGTCTTGGACGCGAACATGAAGAGCTTTAAGAACTCGGTGCCGTTGTTCATCGAGCTGAAGAACGAAGCTATGCGCGAAAGACATTGGAAAGAACTGATGAAAAAGACTGGACAGCATTTCGACATGGACCCAGATAGGTGCGAGGACGATTGATAGTAATCGACAACAGTGAAAAACATCGAGAAACGTGTGAATTTTAATAGTAATCAGTGTACGATCAAACAGTGACCGATGTGCTTCGTTTGTTTTTTAAATCCTTACCAATGATTTTTTCTGTTTATATTTTTGTACTATTTCTAGATTTTTGTTCTTTTTTATTTTTTATTTTATAGAATGTAATTGCTTAAATACAGTAGTAGTGAATGCAAAATTAAATTAAGATAGGTATCATCCCCCCATTGCTATTCTTAGAATAAGTTATTCGTTTTTTTTAGAGAAAGAGAGTTTACGATTTTAGAAAGACTATTTATCTTTAAAAATAATAAGAACTTTCTAGATAATGAAACAGAACGAGATAAAAATACTGAAGGGGTGAGTCTATAGTTCAGCGAATGAAAGATAGGTCGTAGGAACGTTAGGTTAATAGTTCTCTGAAAAAATGCAAAGTACGACGTGAGTTTTGTTCTTAAAGGTTCACCCTAGAAAATATGTTCGCGATGGAGCTTGGAAAGTATCAAGATATCGCCAAAGAAATTGTGATGAATGCTGTGAAGGAGCTTTCTATAGAGAGAGGCTTGAAAGAACTGACTGAGGTCTGGAAACATATGGAGTTCACTGTTGTGAAGCATTTTAAGGGTAAAAAAAATTAGAGCATCGCAATTATTTTTCAGAGCTTTCAATAAGGCCAGCCATGTATACAAAAATTTAATTTTACGCTTTTGATTAATTTTTTCAATGAGATATTATTTAAGTAAATTTAGATATTCGTTAAACATTTTTCTTCAGGCGTCGAGGACCGTGGATTCATCCTCGGGCCCATCGACGAATTGAATCAAGTTTTAGAAGACAATATGATGAACGTGAATGGCATGGCCGCATCGCAATTTATCGGCCCTTTTCTCAGAAGCGTGCAGAAATGGGAGGACATCATGCACACGATCTCCGAGGTTCTGGAACTGTGGACGCAGCTTCAAAAGAAGTGGTTGTATCTCGAGGGCATTTTCGTGGGCGGCGACATTCGGCTTCAGTTGCCAGACGAGGCGAAGAAGTTCGACGAAATCGACAAGTCGTTTAGGAAGACCATGAACGACACGTCGAAGAGGTTGAATGTTCTCGAGTGTTGCACTATTAAAGGTAAAATGGGACGATGTACAATGTTATTGTACAACGTTCGGATACAAAACCTTACTGATTTGTAATGAGAATATTTTTTCAAATAAATTGTAATGTTTTAGCTATAAGGTTAAGATTCGTTCGAATTTATAGTTAAAATTTAATAAACTACTCGAAGGTTTTAAATTGAGAGACGTTGCTCGAAATTTAGGTCGAAAGGAGGATTTCGAAGCGATGATCCACGGACTCGACAAGTGCCAGAAGTCCCTCACGGATTATTTGAACGCGAAACGGGCGATCTTTCCAAGATTCACTTTCCTCAGTGACGACGAATTGCTCAGTATACTTGGCAGTGGAGATCCCACGGCCATTCAAGAACACATAGGAAAGATGTTCGATAATTTGGACAAATTCAGGTTCGAACTGAGCAACACCGATCGAGTTGTGGCCACAGCTTTGATATCTTCCGAGAGGGAAGTGATGGAGTTTCGAAACGAAGTCCTCACCGATGGGAAGATCGAGGAATGGATGGTGGTCGCTCTCGAGGAAATGAAGAAGTCGAATCGATACTTGACGAAGAAAGCTGTCTACAATTATGGAAAGGTGAAACGAGAAAAGGAAGATAAAATTCAAGCGTAACTTGATCGAATTCTTTAGGTAAGAAGACCGAGAACAGAATGGATGCTGGATTTCCAAGGAATGATGATCCTAGCGGCGGATCAAATATGGTGGACAGCCGAGGTGGAGAACGTGTTCGTGAAAATTTCACGAGGTGAAAAACGTGCAATGAAAGAGGTACTTTCGTTTATTCGTCTGATTAAATTGTGCGAATTTTAACACTCGCTTTGCATTTAGTATTTGAAACAATTGAACAATCAGCTGGACGAAGTGGTAACTTTAATGGGCGGCGATACGTTGACAAACAACGATAGAAAGAAGTTTGATATGATACTTACGCTCGATGTTCACATGCGAGACATTGTCGAAGGTTTCGTTAGGGACAATATTATAGATCCTACGGAATTCGAATGGGAAAGTCAGCTGAGGTTCGTTTCTGTTTAGAAAGCAACTAGAAAGCTCGACTTTTCTACGTTAAATTTAACGCGATCGGTTTTTAAAATGAAGATTACAAATTTTTTGCGAAGATTTTATTGGGTTCACGATCTGGACAATGTCTGGATGCACCAGTGCACGGGAACGTTCGAATACGGATACGAATACATGGGTCTTAACGGCAGGCTTGTGGTCACACCTTTAACTGGCAGAATATATTTAACTATTACTCAGGCTCTCTCGATGCACCTGGGCGGTGCTCCTGCAGGTCAGTGCTGCATGCGTGCGAAAGATTTCCCTGACATTCACAATTACGAAACAGTATTATAAATACGACAAGTATTAACGGGATTCGTAGACGTTCAGAATCAAATAAAGAGTATAAGATCATCTCTTAATAGAGATTGTATCAAGAATCTAATGGAAAGTATTGTACCATGAATATTTGAAAAATTGCTTTCAAACGAACGATCAAAAAATTTTTAAATGTTACTTAAACACGTATAAGTAAACCTTGTAAATTTAACTGCAAAGGATATTATAATTGCTTTGCAAAAAAAGGTTTAAAAAACTGTGTTTCACACTAGAAGACCCCCTTAAGAATTTCATATAATAGCTATTGTTTTAATTTATATCGCAGTGATTTTTAGAGATATTATAAATAGATTATATTACTTGATAATTTTATACTTTACGCAAGGGCCTGCTGGTACTGGTAAGACAGAGACTACAAAGGACTTGGCCAAAGCGTTGGGATTATTATGCATCGTTACAAATTGTGGCGAAGGAATGGATTACGTGGCAATTGGGAAGACACTTAGCGGTTTGGCGCAATGTGGTGCATGGGGATGCTTCGATGAGTTCAATCGTATCGACATTTCGGTGCTTTCTGTAATTTCCACGCAACTGCAAACAATACGTTCCGCGTTGCAAGTGAAAGCAACAAGATTCCTGGTAAACATGTTGGAATAAATCCTTAACCATCGTGTATAAAATATTTTCACAGAAAAATTACATCGTACATAACATCGAGTAATTGTTGCCTAGTCGTAGGTCTCTCAAAAACTGACTAAAACTCATTCATTAGGTATACAATCTCAAAAAATATAAATGAATTTCTTTACAAAAAGAAAAAATTCTATTTCACATGTGGATTCAAGAATGTGTATACAAAGGCACATGTAGAGGCACAAACTAGTATCTATGACTCGAGAATTCACCTCACTTTGATCCATTAGAAAGTGCTGCTGCCTTAATGATCGATTGCCCATATCAAATGTTCATCGATCATTTTCTCAACATTGAAAGCGATTTTTTTTACAGTTCTTTCCTTTCTCGTTACGTGTAGGAAAAGAAAGATATACAGGAATGCCAAGTTGCTTTACACTATGCTATTTTTATTCTAAACAGGAATGGAATGTAACTAATATTTTTAAAAATAGACTTTCAGACTCGACATTTTTTCCAGTCCAAACCAAAGAGATATCATACACCTGAAAATTACAAAATACAACAACAGTGCAAATAAAACAAATATTTAATTGAATTTGTTTAAATTGCTCTATCGTTTAGTTAATGTACATTTCAAATGAAACACTTAAAAGGGTTAATAGAATTTTAATAGACTTTTAACGCCAACATTTTGTTTTATACGAACAATTTTCTCTATGCTAGTTCGAGTCCCAGGACATCGTGCTCGACAGCAAAGTAGGCATATTCATAACGATGAATCCTGGATACGCTGGTCGCACGGAATTGCCGGAATCGGTGAAAGCGCTGTTCAGGCCTGTAGTTTGCATAGTTCCGGATAACGAGCTGATCTGCCAGATAAAGTTGTTCAGTTCCGGCTTCTTGACCGCCAAAGTTCTGGCCAAGAAAATGACTGTCCTGTATAAACTGGCGCGCGATCAACTGAGCAAGCAGAATCACTACGACTTTGGTCTGAGGGCTCTCAAATCCGTGCTCAATATGGCTGGTCACCTTAAACGAACTTCCGGCGACCTGGAGGAAAGTTTGGTGCTCATGAGAGCCCTCAGGGACATGAACGTACCAAAATTTATCTTCGATGACGTGCCCTTGTTCTTGGGTCTGATCGCGGACCTATTTCCGGATCTCGATTGCCCCAGAGTTCATTATCCGGATTTTAACGAGGCTGTGAATCACGTCCTCGAAGAACACGGATACTGCATTTTGGATCAGCAAGTAATACTTGTTATTGATCATATGATAATTCGACGCGCGATAATAATTTAAGGCTGAACGATGGTTCACTTTAAACTAATATAGTAAAGAGAAAAAATGACACGTTCTTGGTTTTGTTCATCAGATCGACAAAGTTGTTCAATTGTACGAAGTGATGATGACCAGACACTCGACCATGATAGTTGGACCCACAGGCGGAGGTAAAACTGTCGTGATCGAAACCTTGTGCGGGGCACAGACTCGTTTGGGGAAACCAACGAAACTTTTTACTCTAAACCCAAAGGTATTGATTAGGCAGAGAAATAACGAAATTCGACGGATAATAATTCGAAATCCAATTCGAGGCATGCACGGTGAACGAACTTTACGGAGTGCTGGACCCAACGACTCGCGATTGGACAGACGGTCTTCTGAGCAATATATTTCGCGAAGTAAACAGACCACTGGAGACGGACTCGAGTGAATTAAGATATATTCTGTTCGACGGCGACGTGGACCCTCAATGGATCGAAAATATGAACTCGGTGATGGACGACAACAAATTGCTAACTCTAGCGAACCAGGAGAGGATCAGGATGCTGAATCATTGCAGCCTGCTGTTCGAAGTAATCTTAAATAACATGTTTTCCATTATTTTACTGAGTGTTGTTTACGTATAAATTTTGTAACAATTTGTACTACCAACGGATTTGTATACTGAACTTTTAATATAATGTTAGCTCATCATAGTTCTACCCACAATCACAAGGATTAAATCAACAGCATTGTTATAGAAATTGAATCTAAAATTATGTAACTGGTCCTGCAATGACACTGTATTTTGATGGACTGTTTAGAAAAGAAGGGAATCCTTAAAACTCGAAGTCGTTTGGAAATTGATTGCCTGACTTAATAGATTGAAATTTTCTCCTTCGCTTTAAAAGGTAGGCGACCTGCAGTATGCATCGCCGGCAACAGTGTCGAGAGCTGGCATGGTGTACGTGGATCCGAAGAACCTGGGTTACCATCCTTACATAGACAAATGGTTACGGGGCAAAAACAAATCCGACCAGGAGTTCTTGAGCAAAACGTGCGAGAAGTACGTGGACGGCGCAATCGAGCTCATTATACACGGAATGTTAGGCATGCAGGCGGTACAGCCGCTTAAGATGATCATACCACAAACTGGATTGAACATGGTAACAATTAGAACTTTATGGGCTAATTAACTCGGGCTTCTATGGCCTTTGAGATCAAGGAAAGAATCGGAAACTTTATTTTTTGTGGTCTTGTGTCGAACAGGACACAACATAGAATTTGTCGACTATTAATATATTAATAATAAATTTAATATGATTAAAACAAGACTAGGTCAGGACTATGATTTGTATTTATATTACACTGTTAGTTCAAGCGAAAGCAGTCTTCGTTTTATCAGCAACAACGATTAAATATAATTATTTCACATTCGTAAACATAAGGATTGTCTATTTTAATTATAAAATACCATCCTATGAGTAATTTAAAATTTTTATTTGTTATTTGCTTCGCTTGTATAGTAAATGTGTTACTATGAGTTAAAACAGACGCGTATTATTGCGTTATATTTTCATTTTTCGTGTCAGGTAACACAACTCTGTTACGTCTTCGACGGCCTACTATCGATTCTGGATGAAGCTTCAGCCATTGCGGCTCGAACCGAAGACGACGAAGATGTACATCAGGAGCTATTGATCACCAGGGATGAAATTCTCGAAGCAATGTATATACAAGCCTGTTACTGGTCGTTGGGTGCTACTTTAGTCGCTGAAAATAAGCCAGAGTTCGACGAGTACATTAAAAAGACAAGTGGACTCATGCTCGTTCAAGACACCGTTGATAAACCAGCGACTGTGCGCAAGTATACTTTGAAGAATGCCGAGTGACTGTTTCTAAATTTTAGAAATTGAAACAAAATGACAATTTCATAATTTATTAATAGGATACCTCCCTGTAACGTACAGGACATTGTACGATTACTATTTGGACATAGAAAAGAACGTTTGGGTGCCATGGATGTTCGTGATCCCGAAATACGTGCACGACAGACAGAAAAATTTCTCAGAAATCTTGGTTCCCACCATCGATACTCTACGAACGACTTGGTTTATCCAAACGATGAATACGCTTAATCGTCCGGCACTTTTGGTTGGCGAGACTGGCACCGCGAAGACGGCTATAATCCAGGAATTTCTACGACACCTGAACAATGAAAAATACGTAAGTTGTCGAAGATATACAACGATACGTAAAATTTTACTATCACGATGTTGAACAGAATCAACTTCTAATCAATTTCTCGTCGAGAACAACGTCGATGGACGTGCAAAACAACATAGAAGCAGTGGTAGATAAAAGAACAAGGGAGACGTACGGCCCACCGCCTGGCAAGAAGCTGCTGGTATTCATCGATGACATGAACATGCCAATGGTGGACACTTATGGCACTCAGCAACCGATCGCTCTTCTCAAGTTTCTGTTCGAAAGAGGCGGATTTTACGATCGCGGGAAAGACCTATCGATGATGTACATGAAAGATATGTGTAAGTTTAATTGGAGCATCGTGATTATATTCGCTTCTCCTTTTATTCTTTTACTTCGTTAAAAAATTATAGAAACAATTCCGACCACACAGTATATTTTCGGTAAAGATTTTTTTTCTCGAAAGTACGTAGGATTTCGGGGGTATGTCTATTCACCAAAAATTGTTGTAATTGACCCCCGTAACCAAAAATAATTTTTCCAGAACGATTTGAAATTTTTTAATTTTGTCGAAAAATTTATCCACCTACCCGAATTTTTTTCTCGAAAATGAGTAGGATTTCGGGGGTGTGTCTATTCAACAAAAGTGATTGCAATTGGCCCCTGCAACTGAAAATATTTTTTCCAGATCGATTTGAAATTTTTTTGAAATTGAAGTGAAACATATCAACGGTATGGTCAGACATGAAATTTTCGGTAATGAATTTTTTTCTCGAAAGTGCGTAGGATTTCGGGGGTATGTCTATTCACCAAAAATTATTGTAATTGACCCCCGCAACTGAAAATAATTTTTTTAGATCGATTTGAACAAATTTTTTTTCGCCGAAAAACTGCACCTACTCGACTTAACTAAACGTTGATCTCTACCCTCTTATACATATAACGAACAATTTAGGCTACCTAGCAGCGATGGGAGAACCAGGTGGCGGCAGAAACGATGTCGATCCAAGATTCATCTCCATGTTTACCGTTTACAACGTTACAATTCCATCGAACGAAACTCTCAACTATATTTACACGAGTATACTGGGTGGACACTTCGAAATATTCGAGGAGGAAGTGCAAGCGATCACCGACGATTTGGTGCAAATAACGTTGGATCTTTACGAGGTTTCGTTTATTTTATAAATTCTACCTGGAAAAATTTTACCAACGACGTCGTAGTTTTCTACGTTCTTCGTACTCTTCAGATAGTTACTGCGGAATTGCTACCAACACCGAACAAATTCCATTACATTTTCAACATGCGAGACCTATCGAGGATCACGGCTGGCCTTCTCCAAAGCCACCCGGATTACTTGCCAACGATGAAACAGATCGTCAGACTCTGGAGGAACGAGTTCACCAGGGTCATATGCGATCGTCTGATCAACGAAGAAGTAACGTTCAAACCCGTTTTCGTTAATTTCACAACAGTGCAACATTCACTGAGTTTCTTGAATCACAGGACGAGAACCTGGTCGCTGAACGCATAAAGCAGAAGATCGAGGAGCACTGGGAAGACGAACACGAAGTGATCGAATATACCATGAGAGATCCTCTGCTTTTTGGCGACTTCAGGAACGCGATCCACGAAGAAGAACCGCGATTCTACGAGGACTTGCTAGATTTCGAGGCCGTCTACAATTTGTTTCTAGAGGTACAGACACTTTAAAGACGCACAGGTATCGAGATAAATGATAAAATGATACACTGACAGATTTTCGAGGACTACAACGAGAGGAATATGACAAAACTCCACATGGTCCTGTTCAACGATGCACTCGAGCACCTGACCAGAGTTCATAGGGCACTCAGGATGCACCGTGGTCACGTTCTGGTCATTGGTATCGGTGGAAGTGGCAAGAAATCGGTAATAAAGTTGGCTGCGTTCGCAGCAGGCTTCCAGATCTTCGAGATCGGCTTGAGTCGCGGCTACAACGAGGCGTCTTTTCGCGAGGGCATGAAAACGCTCTACAACATGGTCGGCGTGGATAATAAGAGGGTCGTGTTCCTCTTCACGTCCTCTCATATCGTGGACGAGAGTTTTCTGGAACTCGTGAACAACATGCTGATGATAGGCGTCGTGCCGTCTCTGTACACCGATGAGGAGAAGGACGAAGTCATTAACCTTACCAGAGATCAGGCTAAGGATGCTGGTTTTGGGGTTACCAGGTCAAATATTTAATTATAATTTGCTTGGAATATTGATTTCTTCAAATCTGGGGTCGAGAAACTTTCCATATTCAATGTATTAAAAGAGTACTCTGGTTCAGAAGGCTAATCTTCAAGCTTTACTAAATAATAGCATTACTTCTCCGTTACAGGGAAAGCGTGTGGTCGTATTTTGTGAAGACCAGCATGTCCAATTTACGAATCGCGTTATCCATGAGCCCAGCTGGAGATTCCTTAAGAATGAGATGTCGTAGTTACCCTGGATTGGTGAACAGCACAACGATAGATTGGATGTTCCCTTGGCCCGAACAGGCTCTAGTAGCAGTGGCTAATGTTACTCTCAGAGATGTATGCTTCCAATCCAGACTTTATCACGATCATTTAAAAAAATTAAATTCTCCTATATCGTTGCCTAATGATTGTAGAATCCAAACGTACCGCAAAACTTCAGGGAATTATTAGTGGAGCACATGGTGTACGTGCACAAAACGGTCTGCGATTACACGGTCGAGTTTCAAACGAAATTACGAAGACGAAACTACGTGACCCCGAAGCACTATCTGGATTTCATAAACACGTACTTGAACCTTTTGCTGGAGACGAAGGAGTACATTAGCTCGCAATGCGATCGACTTTCCGGAGGTGTGTTCGAACAGTTTCGAATGTTTTTTTTTTTAATAGCTTTTTGTAAGGAATGTTCTATTATGTTCGACAACCGTGTTTCGAAGGTTTGCAAAAGATCGCGGAGGCCTCGGTGACGCTGACCGAGCTCAACGAGATCCTCGCCGTGCAAAGGGTAAAGGTGTCGGATCAAACGAAGAACTGCGAGCAATTGCTCTCCTCTATCGGCGAGAGCACGGATATTGCGGTTGAAAAGAAGCAGCTGAGCGAGGAGAAAAGAAAGGAAATAGAAGATCAGAGAAAAATTATTAATAAAGAACAAACGGAAGCCAGGCAGGCGTTGGCCGAGGCGCAACCTGCCCTCGACGCTGCTAGATTGGCTCTTGGGGAGCTCGACAAAGCGGATATTACTGAAATAAGGTTTTTCTTCGTTCTCCGGCAGTTAATGAAATTCCTTAGAGACCTATTTCCTCTTAAAATTGAAAAAAGTCAATTTAATAACGCCTTCCGTCAGGCATGCCAAACAGTCGCGAAGTCACACGCGGTCATCTTTATTGGAATTTGCGGTCGGCTCGTTTCATTATTTTTTAAACGCAAACTGGCTTTAATGTTGTTACGTTTGATCGTTATTTGAGATATCACCCAATCTAACAGTCGACGTTCTTAGATCTTTCGCGACTCCACCGGAGGCCGTGCAAATAGTCTCGGAATGCGTGGCAATGTTACGAGGCGTGAAGGATACCTCTTGGAAGGGCGCGAAGGGAATGATGGGCGATCCCGCGTTCCTGCGGACGTTGCAAGAAATGAACTGCGATAAAATCACGCTGAAACAGCAACAAGCAGTCAGAGCACACTTGAAGAAAACCACCAAGCTGGACCAAATGCAGTACATCAGCAAAGCTGGATTTGGCCTCTACAAATTCGTACTCGCCGTGTTGGACTATTGCGCCGTTTTCAGAGAGGTAGTTTGGATTTTCTTCTAAACGTAGAATAAATGCGTGTACACTATCTTTCAAAGTTGGAGGTTGAGGACCAGTTTGAAACCCGGGAATTTAGTAATCGTTCTCTGGTTTAGGTAAAACCAAAAATAGATCGAGTTAAGGAGCTGGAGGAGGAATCGGTACGAGCTCGAAAGGCTTTGGAGCGAGAGGAACGTGAATTGAGGAGGATCGAGAAGGCCATAGGTGAACTGAACGCGAAGTACGAGAACGCGATGACGGAGAGACAGAAGCTGCAAGAAGAGACGGATCTTCTGCAAAGGCGACTGATAGCCGCCGACAAATTAATCAACGGCCTTTCTTCGGAGACCGAGCGATGGAAAGTGGAATTGAAAAACTTACAGGGACAAATCGAGACGATCGTTGGCAACTGTCTCCTCTCCGCTGGTTTCCTCGCGTACTGCGGACCGTTTTCGTACGAGTATCGAAATCAGATGTTGTACGACGATTGGATGAAGAGCGTGGTGGAGAAAGAGATCCCTTTCACGGAGACCTTTAAAATAGAAACGCAACTGAGCAACGACGTCGAAGTTAGCACGTAAGATTTCTTACTTAAAGTGAAAGATCAGCCTACAGGTATTGGTCAAATATAGTAAACTGCCTAAAACTGCTTCCAACGTATTATGATAAAGAAGATTTAAAGATCGTTGGCGTTTTTTTGAATAGAATGATCCTCTCAAATATTTTAAATACACAATACCTGTTTTTTTCTGTAGAGCCATCGTACCACCAAAATATTTTAATTTTATAGAATGTTAATATTTTTCAATTTTCGTTTACTAAAAACTGTTATAATCATATACATTCTCCTAAGATGGACGTCAGAAGGTCTACCGCCGGATGAACTATCGGTGCAAAACGGTATTTTAACAACAAGAGCATCGAGGTTCCCGATTTGCATCGATCCTCAGCAACAAGCTCTTAACTGGATAAAGAAGAAGGAGCAGAAGAATCTGAAGATACTCTCGTTCACGGACGCGGACTTCCTGAAGCACGTGGAACTGGCGATAAAGTATGGCCTTCCAGTTTTGTTCCAGGACGTCGACGAAGTCGATCCCGTCTTGGACAACCTTCTATCGAGAAACATACAAAGTAATAAAACTAACAGAGCTCATGATTAGAACCTCGAAGTACCGAGTTACAGTCATGGAACATTGTTGCAGATATTAGCGGTCGGATGTTCGTTCTCCTCGGTGATAAAGAAGTAGACTACGATCCGAAATTTCGGATGTACCTGACGACCAAAGTGTCGAATCCAATGTTTGATCCTGCCCTGTACGCCAAAGCCACCGTGATCAACTACATGGTGACCCTAGGGGTTAATATTTCAGTTTTCTTGTCGTAATAGCGAAGAGAAACCGTGACATGGGAAAAGATCAAAGGAACAATCGAAATAACTCGTTACAGGGCTTGGAAGATCAACTGCTGTCGGTGGTGGTAAGGACAGAAAGACCGGACGTCGAGGAGCAACGCGAAACGCTGATAATCGAGACCAGCGAGAACAAGAATTTGCTCCAGCAGCTCGAAGACAGCTTGCTGCTGGAGATCGCCACCAATCAGGGCAATATGCTTGACAACCTGGAGCTGGTGGAAACATTGGAGAACACGAAATCGAGCGCGGACGAAGTGATGACGAAACTGTACCTGGGCGAAGTCACAGCGGCGGACGTGAACAAACTACGAGACGGATATCGATCGGTGGCGAAGCGTGGAGCGATCTTATTTTTCGTCCTGGCTGATATGGCGACGGTGAACACTATGTACCAGTACTCGTTGATAAGTTACGTGGAGGTGTTCGCTAATTCCCTGAAGAAATCACTGCCGGATCCATCGTTGCAACACCGTCTGAATAATATCATTCTGATGCTGACGAAGAACGTGTACGATTACGGTTGCACGGGTATATTCGAGAGGCACAAGCTTCTCTTCTCGTTTCAAATTTGCACCCGGCTGCAGCAGAGCTTGAATCGCGTCCTCCAGCCACAACTGGACTTCTTCATCAAGGGCAGTATCGAGCTACAAAAGTCGCCCAAGGCCAATCCCACTAACTGGCTGCCCGCTGCCAGATGGGTGGACCTGCTTAAACTGAGCACCGACTTCCCGGACACTTTCGGTCAACTTCCGGAGGAATTGCAGCAGCACGGAGAGGAATGGCAAAATGTACGCTGGCCAGATCTAAAGTAAAATGTCGAACGAACCTTTTTTTAATTCGATACTTCGGGAAATATGTTCTTTCTCCTGGGAGAAGGAGCAAGATTGGTTATCAGCAGATTATTGACACTAGGTATCAGTATCTTATCAATCAAAACACAGACAACATTGTTGCAGAACTTTTTCAGTATTTTTTTAGAATATTTGGAATATATAATTTACATTAGAAATGACAAGTTTCATGATCTGCACATTTAAACTGTGATCTGTGTTACCAGTGGTACGACATGGATGATCCAGAATCCGAAGATTTCCCTCTGGACTACTCCGAGAAGTTGCAACCCTTCGAAAAATTAATGTTGATACGATGTTTTCGCGTCGATCGTGTGTATCGAGGCATCATCAATTACATCAGCGAAATCATGGGCGAAGAGTATATCACTCCGCCTCACATCAGCTTTGAAATGATTTTCGAACAGAGTATGCCCTCGATGCCTGTCGTTTTCATTCTGAGCCCTGGATCGGATCCATCGTCCGAATTGATGAAGTTGGCCGAAGGATATGGTTTCGGGGGCGGAAAATTTAAATACTTGTCTCTGGGGCAGGGCCAAGAAAAGGTTAATAAAGAAATTAATTTATTCGTAACGCTGCTGGAAAATTTAAATATCAATTGTGAAAATGAATATTCTGCCCTAAGATTGTTGATAGATTCTTTCAACTTTGATCCAAGACAAGATTTGCTGGATTAGCCTATCAATTAATACCCATTTTATCACACAAATTTTGGATTTAGACCGCGATAGAATTACTGGAACTAGCTGTATCCAGAGGGCAATGGCTGATGCTGCAAAATTGCCATCTGCTGTTAAGCTTTACAAAAGAGCTGGAAAAACTTCTGGAGAGTACTGGAAAGCTACATCCCGACTTTCGTTTATGGCTGACAACAGATCCAACCCCAAATTTTCCTATTGGAATATTACAAAAGTCCTTTAAAGGTTCATTAAGGCACACTGTACATAAATATATACTTTGAAATTTGGACTAACTTAATGATTCTTATTTCTAGTGGTTACGGAGCCACCGAGTGGTTTGAAGTTAAATCTCGAGAACACTTACTTCAAAATTAAACCCAACACCCTGAGTGCCTGCGAGCATCCCGTTTACAAACACCTAATTTACGTTCTAGCTTTTTATCACGCGGTAGTCCAGGTAAACCCGAAAAAAGTCGATCGCAAAAGACTTGCATTTAACGTTCGAGTGTTAAACGAAAGTTGACCAACAGGAAAGAAGAAGGTACGACAAAATTGGCTGGAACATAAGCTACGATTTCAACGAATCGGATTTCAACGTGTGTACGACTATCCTAGACACATATTTGACTAAGGCGTTTAAAGCAAACGACACCAGAATACCTTGGAACAGCTTGAAGTATCTTATAGGCGAAGTACGTTCACAATGACCCTATTTTTTTAAGAAAAAGTAACTTTGCGTACTCCAAACACTCGGTACTATAATATTTGTGTGTTTTAAGAAAGAAATCAAAGTACAGAAAAGAATTATCTATATTCTGTTATGATGATTTGGTCGCTGAAAATTCCTTTTAAAATAGAATTTTGTTAAATCAGGTAATGTACGGTGGAAGAGTGATAGACAGTTACGATCGTCGAGTCTCCGAAACCTACATGGACGAATATTTCGGGGACTTTTTGTTCGACGTCTTTCAGCCCTTCCATTTCTATCACGACGAGTACGTTGATTACGTGATACCGCCGGAAGGGGAACGTGACGATTACCTGAAGTTCATTCAGGAACTCCCACTGGTGAATTCCCCGGAAGTCTTTGGACTCCATCCAAATGCCGAAATTGGGTACTTCACTCAAGCAGTGAAGGAAATGTGGAACAATCTTATAGAATTGCAACCGCAAACTGGTAAGGGCGTAGCAAGAATTCCTGAATCCCTAACACACATTTCTTGCTTATTTATTTTATTTTTGAAAATTCAAACATACTCTAATATTCTAAACGACACGATTTTAGTCCGCTTAGACAAAATGGGTGAGTTATTTTTACGAATTAAAGATAATTATCACCGTGTAAATTTTCCACGAACATTTCTGAAATCGTAGAGGTCAGCGGAACTGGAATAAGCAAAGATGAATTTATCGACAACATCGCCAAGGAGATCTTGAACAAAGTTCCTTCGGAGTTCGATCTGATTAAAGTGAAGAAAGCTTTCGGGGTATCCGTGACGCCGACGGCGATCGTTCTTTTCCAAGAATTGGAGAGATTTAATAAGTTAATTAGCACGATGAAGAGGACGCTATCGCATTTAAGCAAGGTCCGTATTTCTCTAATATTCAAATATTTATGTTAAAATATTTCTACGCGACGTCAGGCTATTGCTGGCGAAATTGGAATGGACACGCTGTTGGAGAGCATTGCTACAGCTTTGTACAATGGCGTATTACCAAAAGAATGGTCCAGATTAGCGCCAGACACGAGAAAGAACCTTGCTGGTTGGATGGAACACTTTGAAAAGAGAATACAACAATATACTGACTGGGTAAAATAAATTAGAATTCCGAGAAACAATCGCTTTAAGAAAACTAACAATGTCTAATGTCAATTACTACCATTTTTTTGAATATTGTAGTCAGGCGCGAACGAGCCAATAGTTCTCTGGATAGCCGGATTGCACATTCCGGAAACTTATTTAGCAGCTCTCGTACAAATGGCTTGTCGCAGAAACGATTGGTCCCTCGATCGTTCGCTCACTTACACGGAGGTATCGAAGTACAGCAAGCCTGATCAAATAGAAGAGAGACCAGACCAGGTAATAACTTAATTTAAATTTGAACACTTATACTAAGGTGATCCGTAAATGTTTTCTACTAAATAAAAGCTACCCTTCGTGTAAGCTTCATTAAAAGGAAATTATGTAGGGATGCTATGTAAGCGGGTTGTATCTGGAAGGTGCTAGATGGGACATGGAAGAAAAGTGTCTGAGAAGATCGCATCCAAAGATTCTGGTCGAAGAGCTACCGATACTTATCGTTATTCCAGTCGAAGCTCATCGACTCAGGCTTCAAGTACATGAAATTATATCATATTATATTATAGTTACTTGGACATTTGATGACCAGGTTTCTATATTGTAGAATACTTTCAAAACGCCCGTGTACACGACGTCTAATCGACGCAACGCGATGGGAGTAGGTCTGGTGTTCGAAGCAAACCTTGCTACGCCAGAGCACATATCGCACTGGGTGCTCCAGGGAGTTTGTTTAATATTAAATACCGATTAAGAGATTAGACAGTGATTTTGTAAAAAAAAAGACGCGTAGGGAAACACGACACAATCTGCAATTGTATTTGTACAGTGACAATGTAAGTATCGAAACAGTGTGGTATTATGTAAGAAAGGAATTTTTTGAAAATTCGCTTAATTATTCCAGTATTTTTATTTTATTTCGAAGAGGAATAATAGAAGTATTTACAAACATCTTATATTTGTAGTAATTAATATTTATTTATCAGTTGTTGCTATACACTTGACTTGTGGCAAACACAGATTGTAGAATGAGCTATCGACAAAGTTATTAAGGTTTTGCCATTTCACCCAGCGGTAATTTTCTAATTGTTCGATGGTCTTTGCTACACCGACGAAATGTGGATCTATAATCAGCATGTAAGTATTTTTCACGCCTTCGTGTACTCCCACCACGCATTTGCTAGAACAGTCTCTGTCCCCGCCCATCATAATGGGGCTACCAAATTCCTCGAAATGTCCTTTGATAGCGGGTATCTGTCCTGATAACAATTTACCACTTGGAACGTGTACAATCTTACTAAGAACTTCGTACAAATGATTCAAGATAAGACATACCTACGAATTATTAGTCATCAATATACTTATACATTTATCGTTGTTTAAATAACAACACTCTCCTACATTACGTGTCACGAGAACTTTTAATTTACAAACATTGAATTCTGATAATAAAAGAATAGATATAATTTCAAAACAAACTGTTGGTAATTTCATAAAATATATATAATTCCTCGCATAAAATAAATCGAAATTGCGGAATAAAACGTGGCTTTGTTTTCGAGAAAATCGACTTTGAAAATACATACGTGGAGGGCGTTTTTTACATAAAATAGAACGACGAGGATTTTCAAGTCGATGTAAAAGATATTAATTCGCGCTTACCTCGAAACTTCCTATCCATTCTCTAGACCCAATAAAGAATCTTTCCTTGTCCTCCAATGTGACAAGTATTTCTTGTATATCTCTAATACACGGGACAGATTGTTCCAAGTTCCTGTTCTTTATGATCCACGAACAAATTGTTTGTAACGTTCTGTATCCACATCCCCATCCCTATATGTATATACAACAGCTATTTGACCAAAGTCTATTAAATTCCAGCATAAAACATTACAGAAATATTGTGACAATGTTATAATTACATTTTTAAAATGACAGTTTTAATAATATTATAAAGCAACTATGACTTCGAAGTAAATATTGTTAACATATTTTACACGCACGTATAATATTCTTTATCAGTCCATTTATATTCGAAATATATGGAGGGATTTACGAACTGTAACGAGCCATATTTTTGGTTGAAGTTAGAAAAAAATGTTAGATAACAAAGATGAATGGCTCCAGGTAGACTACGTATTAACGATCATATTTTATTGTAATAAATTTCAAATTGTGCAATAGACACTCTCTTCCCTCAAATGAGTTTCTAAATTCGCTTTTATGCATGTCTGTACAATAAAACATAAATTAAATTAATATATATACACTTCAAATACGAAGTATTTGACAACAAGCATTATACATAATTTTTATAAAATATTTTAGTATTCAATCAATGAAGACCAATATGTGATATGCATAACATTTTATTGTACAAAAATTACATCGTTAATTATGTTTAATGGGAGATTCTAGAGGCCAAAATAAGACGAGAATCAAGGATACTAATTTGCTGATTGAGGCTTCGTTAAAAAGTTATAGAAACATTTCCGGCCACACAGTATCATAGTATTAATTCTTATGTTTTCTTATATTCCACAATTTAAATAATATGCACGTGTGCATTTCTAAACTATTACGAATACTTTGCTGCAATTTCTCAAATATTTCTACAATGTTCCGTGCTGTATTTTGGAATTAAAAGATTTGCATTAAAGAGCGTTCGATTACACACCTTATCGTTAAACCCATCGCAACCGTAATGCCAATATTCATAATCCCCGCGAATCAGAAAACTTTGACCGGGTTCAGGTGGAAGGATATCCCGGTGAACGTTTTTCAGCAAGCTGCTCGTATAATCAACGATCATTATATAATCGTGTAATCAGAAACGTCGAAATCTACGAACACACACGTAAAAAAAATATACATAATGCGTTTTTCTTTCGAGCTCGTAAAACCAGTATTCTAGTTTCACGTCTCTCGTAATCGGTTCGAAAAACAGTAAACAGACCGTGTAATGAACGGGATAGGAAATAGAGCGAGAAACTTTGTATTTCCCGGTTTGCGAGCGACTCGCAGCCATTCTAGTATTTTCTACCAACACCTAACCTGGCGGAAGGCTTCTGCTCGAACGTTGCGTCGTAACAATTCAGTGAAAGCGTATTCGCTTCCGAGCATACTGTTCGTAAGCTGCGCGCGTGTGTTTCGATAGAAAAGAAGTCGCAAAAAAAGAAGACATTGCAGCAGTAGCCTTTATGATAGGCATTAAATCGTGGCGTCACCTGGCAACACCTCTTGATGGTCCGCTGTTTTCGTCGAGCACCAGCAGGTCCGATAGAAACGTCAAACTCGTTACACAGTCACGCGCACTTCGTTACGCGTTCCTGGTAGTGGCGATCAAGTATACGGTTATCGGGCACTTTGCGTGGCGTTATTGGGACAAGAAGAGAAAAAGAAAAACTCAAGATCCGAGATCGTTCGCGAAAAACTGATCCGACAGAATGGACACGGGTATCTCATAGCACAATGCCAATCGTGTCGCGCGAACCTGTACGGGTAAGACAAAGAGACAAACAGCGGTAGGCAGCGGAAAAAAACTGCGAAACACTCCACGCAACACAGTGGGTACGCGAGAGGAGAATAAGAGAAAGCAAGTACACTAGTTTTCGTCGAGGATGAGAGCAACAATTTCATGTACGGTAAGTCGATTCGACGATGCCCGAAGTATTATTGAATTAGCGATAATTAATTAGAGAAGCGGAAGGTGCGATTTATCGTTCCGTCGTCGATCTGACAGCTACACAATAGGGTGACCACTTATCGATTTTCGTCCTTTTAAATGGAGTATTTAGTTTTATTCCGCGTGAACGTTCTATTAAACTATTTGTTTATGTGATTATACGGATCATTCGTCGCTTCCTATCGCGTCCGAAGGTCGCGGTTTGGGAAAATTGCCAAGAGTTTTAGGTTATGTTTATAATATCACTGGTCGGTGTTAAATATTTTACGATGATTTGTTCGAGCGAAGCGTTAAAAGATGTTTTGTACCTTTTAAATGTGTAAAACAGAAAAATGACATTTATTTATTTTTTTTTATTGTGTAAAGATCACACAGTTCTGCCAGAGGAAGAACATACATTGTCATTTGTTTGTTTATTAGTGAAAACTCAAAAAATGGTTGGGGTATAAATTGTACTATAGAATAAAAAGTATGTATGGTGCAGTACGTGAACAAGTTTCTGAAAGTTGGTTACACACGTATGACTTAAGCAGTACAATGATCCCTAATGTTAGTTCACCGATAAACGATGAAGAGCATTTTTGCAAATTCATCTTATACAAAGAAATTAAAGACTCAAGGTATGTAATATTAAACAAATTAATTTAAGTCTGCCTGTACCAATCTGTTTTTGTTTTACAGAGTACGAATATGGGATATTATCATATTGATACCAAACCTTTTGTTTCTTTTATTCATTGCTATAAGATTTAACAGGGCACGGCTTAAATTACGAGCAACGAGTAGTCCAATATATTTAGCATTTTATGGACTTGTCATTTCTAATGTAGTAATTTCAGTAATACGATGTGTTGTTTCGATGAGTGTAAATACAGCAGCTACTGTTGGTGGTAAAGCAGACAAAGTAATGTGGGTAACAGTAAGATTTTTCTTGTTATCCACAGAAATGAGCGTGGTTATTTTGGTTTGGCTTTTGGTAAGTTTATTTTTATTGTTCAAAATTGAAAATCAAACATTGCAAATACATGGCCTTTCTTCATAGGACACATGGATAGTCGTTCAAGTATTCGTAGAGTTCTAATTGCCACATCATTCATAGCACTGGCGTTTACGGTAACACAAGGAACTTTGGAACTAGTTTTACCAGATGATACATTCCATATACCCAGTAGAGATTTTTATGTGTTTGGTCATGGTGGTATGATGTTTTGGTTTTGCAATAGTATTGTTTTCACAATGGTAAGTTTATAATTTAGTATAAGTTGGTATAGCCAATATGAATTGTATTATTCCTTATTACAACCTGATTGCAGATATATCTTTTTATATTAATACTGCCATGGACGCGATTAAGAGATCGATTAACTCTTCCAAGTATGTGAATATCAATATCTGATTCATTCCTAGTTTATATTGAAATGTATATCATGAGGTAACTTTTGTTGCAGCAAAGAAAAGTTTTTACATTTATGCTGGTACTTTAGCCATGCTAGACTTAGTACAATCAATTGGTGCAGGCTTTTTAAATTATACACAAAATCCTATAGGACTATGTATTGTGGATTTTACTGCGGCTGTCTATTTAACACTTTTTACACCTTTGGTTTATCACACATTCCTGTCAGAAGTTTTCGGGTAAGTTATTATGTTCGGATATATTTAATATGTTAACACTAAACCTACCGGCACCGGAGAAAACAATTATTTACGAAAAAAATGACATAGTAATTATGCAAACACCCTGTATACAAATTTAAATTCATTTTCGATTAAATGAACAATTAATGATCCAGTTTTATCGCACAACAGTCGTACGATCAATAGGAGTTACTGAAACTTCATTGGGTATATAGCGTCGAAGTAAATTTCAAAATAAACATAGAAGATAATAAAAATTATAATAGCTGGTATAGTCATTGGATAGGGAATGAAATGCCCTTTAAAATGAGCGTTTGTACGAGTCGATAGCTTTATTAGTTCCGGAGATATAGCGATTTTAGTTTCAAGTCGATGCGGTGGCTAGTTTCGGAGATATAAGGCTCCGAAGCATTTGTTTACGTTCATTGACGCGTGGCGAATGACCTTGCGCGTGAATAGTGAAGAGTGCGTAGTAAATTCTTGGAAATACTACGATTTCCGCGTCACGACTGTCTCGATTCACGTGCGACAAGGAGGTACGACGCGACGCGTCAGACGGAGACAGAGATAGTCGAATTAAAAAAATTACCCCTTTACATAAATTACGATATCTCGAAAACGGAAAGTCGGATCGCCAAAAACCAAAAGCCATTTTAAAGGGGAAGCTTTGCCGCTTCTAACAGTGGCACAATAATGGATAAAGCACTAGTAGTTTCGGAACTGTACGCATCCAAAGTTTAACTATTTTTAATACGCGTTGTTAGACTGTTCTAAGACAGTGGAAACTGAAGATTCTCCCCTAACGTCTTTGCTATACATATACTTCCTATTTGCATCGGAAGTTAACCAGAATTTGGTACCAAATTTTGTTCAGCTGTTTACAAAAAAATATAAATCATTCAACCGGTCAGATGACTACATATTTTTCTCAGAAAACAAACAATACGGATAGAAGTGAATATTGTAAAATTCATTGTACGTGTACTGTAAGAAAATTCGTGAAGTTGAATGGCGCTAAAATAATATTGTGTGTCAGAGATTCTAAACGAAATTTAAAAAACGGTCGTTTGACCGATCGCGGTAGGTTTAGTGTTAAAATTGATATACTGTGGCTGTCTAATAAGATTTATTTTAGGGTTTCGCAGCCGTCGATAATGTTCTCATACAAGGCGCAAGTAGATGATGCAATGGATGAAGATACAGTATCATTACCACATCAACAGAGTTTCTCCTCGTTAAAAACAGACAGCGATTATATTTATCAGGTCCATACTCCGTCTATTTATATGCCCTTATACGATTCACAAACATTAAAATCATCTCACTTAAAACACAAAACATCCTCACACTCCATGTCATCTACCCGTGATTCTAGAAGTGATAGTGGACTCACTTACGAATCACCGACCACTTTATACCGAACCACATCCGGCATTAAAAGCTTTCCTAGACGTCTCAGTGCAGAAAAAGGCACTACTGAATTAAAAAATTACCCACTGACAAAGTCAGACAATTGTATCGATTCCAAAAAAAGTTCGCCGGATTTGAGATTCTCTAACACAACTTGGAAAAGTAGTTCTATATCGCAATTCAAATACGGCGGTTCCAGTAGCGTCTCGAACCTACTTTTCTCGCCAAATACTGCCAGCAACTTCGTTTACAAGCCTAAAGTGAACGATAGCAACACGAATTTGTTTACGTTTACGAGAAAGAGCAGTTTAGAATACGAGAGGAAAAAGTCTGTAGGAAACGCGCCAACTCAATTTTTCGAAATTCCACCGCTCGAAAGTACATTGCAATCGATTTTGGATAACAGTATTAACGATTCAGAGGTGAAAGGTAGTTCGGTTGTTCAGGAACCTTTAGCGAAGAATGTTGCACAAACTTCGAGAGACGTTATCGATACGAAAGATTCGAGTTCTTCAAAACGATATACCGATAGTGACAATTCTGAAATCGATGTAGAAACCATATCGAATTTGACTGATATATCGAGTGCCACGCAACAATTACTTTCTCCGTCGTCCGCGTTTCGAAGCAAAGAAACGTTCGGTAAACGAACGATTACTTAATGTCTTTAACAATTTCTAGCGCCCATAAATTGCAGAGAGATACTGAAGCAGACCCGAGTCCCTCCCTTCATGACACAAAGACCTATACACAGACTGAATCGTTATAAATATTCATTAGAGCTATTGGTATAAAGTATAAGTTATTACATGTAGTTGTATATAAGAGAAAATAGTTTATTTAGTTAATCCATTTTAATAATTGGAACAGTGAAATATCATGGGATGTCGGTCGGAATTACATGTGTTTGTTAACAACTAGATGTATATGTAGTGTATAATAGAAAAGCGCACAAATGCTTTATTATCTGTATATACAGCATGTTTAGATTTAATTAAACTTATTAATGTAGTCAATGTACTTGGTTTTATTTATTTACACTAACATGGCAGTGGATAACGCTATTATTTCATCTTGTGTTGCAATCGATTTGTCCCTTTCACGAACGCTATCGTCTGCTTTTTTTAATTTGCAAGAAATTAATGCACCTTGCATAATTGATAAAAAGATTTTGCAATCAGCTTGAAAACGTTCACAATTTGTTTTATTGTATATGTGCAATTGTAATATTGAACACTTAATATATATAGTGCCTTTGGACGAGATGATTTGTCATCAAGACACATGTTTATTATTTTCCCCATCGTTTTTACCGTTCAGCGGCACGATATAGTCTATGGTGTCTTTACAATGGTTCAATCTTTTATTAAAAAGTGCAACACGAAATATTCTTTTGTTTACAGAATCACAGTGTTTATGACTCAACCCAATTCGACACAAATTCCACACCAGTGAATCCACTCTACGCAGCATCTCTACAAAGTCCAGATAGCATTACTGGTTATAGTATAGATAGTCAAGAAGGTCAAACACAAGCAAACGGTTACCAACAATGAACACGATGGTCGTGTTGGACACGATTCGATTCGTATAAAGAAATATAAACAAATTTGGATGTAACGATTGTCCAACAATCAGGTTTCATTTTGAAAAAGAGGTTCGTGAGACCCGTTAAAAACGTGTTCCAACATCGTTCAATCGCTCCCCGGGGAGCGGTGACGTTATTCGAACAGACTGGAATCATAACAAGGTCGCAGCCCTGTACGATTCCGTGAAAAGAATCTGGTCGTTTTTTTTTTTAAATTGTTAGGGCAACAACATCGAATAAGTATTTTAGTTTCCTTGTGATAGACAGCATCGATAGCACTTGAGATCATAAGTTATTTAAGACCAATAGAAGATCTGAAAATATTTAATTTTTCTTTACTTAACACGAAACGATTTTATACCTTGAGGAAAAGCAATGTTGTCGCGTGTCTTGTAATTAACTGTTTAGGCAATGTTTTCTTAGCGAAAGCGGTGTAGATGAGATTTAAAATGATATCACGGCATCAATACCTAATTGCATTGATCAGCGAGCTGCTAAGGTTATCCTATATTTACAACAGATTTCATCGGTTGAATTGACTTTGGAAACTTGCTTATCGTTTCTCCGTCCTCTCCACCAAAGAGACCTTCGATCGCAGGTCTTTCTCATGCAAGATTGAGCACGATTCGCGCCGAATCCTTCGCTATTTTCCTACTTTTGCATTAAGAAATCGCTAGAACGACGCAAGGACAATAGGAGTCGTTGAGATAAGCGCGCCACGAGGATTGAAAAAATAATTAGAGTTAAGGAGAAATCTTCGATGCTCCGGTAACTATTACGAAGACTCCATCCATCGTACATGTATATACACCCTGTACTCTAGTGTAAAGGATCGTGTTATTTATATACTAATATATACATTATATTTATCGATATTATATGTTCGTACTTGTACCGTACTAGTTTTGGCAGAGTTTTAAATGGGCGGGTATCCTCGCCACAGAAATTCGTCTGCCTTTTTCAATTTGATACGTAACGAATCTCAAAAAAAAAAAAAAGCGGCGCTAACAGAAACGATTACGTCAACAATCAACACCCTGAGATGTCCGAAACGAATGTATCGCGAAGTCGGCCCTTCGAAGCGTTCCAATTCCTTTTAATCTTTCTTATCCTAAGCCTGATTTTTGTACGATTTATATATTTTTAGTAAGGGACCGAGACTTGGAGTAAAATTCTCATTGGAACGCGTGCTTCGAAGGAACGTACTTTAACCGTTGCGTGCGACATAGGTTTCTCTCAGGATATCATTGACAATGAGAGCGAGGAGTAATCAGTAGCAATACAAGTAACATACATATTTTATAGCGTCCGATTCACTCGGACATTATAAATACGAATGGATTCGTTAGGTCAGCAACACGCAACGAGTTCCCTCTGTCAATTGCAGTTGGTTTAATCACTTTGAAACATTTGTTCTCGTACTTTGCAGGTCGACTGTCTGTAACCGTTTGACAATGTGATGTTTTTTGTAATTGTCAGATTGGGATAAGCAAAATGGCAATACTTTGAATGCGTGACACGGTTATATATTTAATGAGAATAAAATTACATTTTAATCCGATGTTTAATTCTTCCCATGGTACCTATAAAATCTGTTTTGCAACGACGTATAATAATCTCCATTTCCACGGGACGGTTGCGTAATTTTCAAACGGAAACGTCAGCAACACCCGGGAATATTCTTTGCGCGAACCGATCGATGTCAATATTGTCTTTGCGTGGAAACTAAAGCCTCTGGCTTCTATCCCTATTGCTGCTATCTTTAGCTGATAATTGAGTATAGTCGTTAAGCAGGTACTGTAGCATTCGGTTGGCCCGCAGCATCGATACTGTCTGCCGGGGCAGAATTCATTGCAGCGTCTGACATTTAATCATCGCTGATACATCATTTTTCGCTTGACTTTCTCCGCGAGCGTTGATGCAGTCGGAGACACGGAATTAAAGCCAAACCGATGCCCGGACTCGTTACGTCCGTGTCGTTATCACCGTCGAGTCTCCAATCGGGGAGAAAAAAAAAGAATTTGGCAACAATACCGAACGAGCGAATAATAGATTCCAGGCACTTAAATTTTGCTCTGCTTGGATCGCGACCGGCAGACTATAAATACAAAGTGCATGCATGCGCGTCATTCGCGCTCCAACTTCCACCACCTTTTCATGGACAAGGCTAACAGGCAACAATTACTTACAGTACACCGATCATTGGTTCTTTCCATTCAAGTGAATCTCATTGTACAATATCAGCGTGCAGTTTTTGCGCGTGACGTAAAAAGAGTGCATCAACTCTCCTCGACGGTTGTTTACGAAAACAACCGATAGAAAAACTACGCATTATGCCCGGTTGAAATAAACTTATCAGTACACTGGGGATGTTTGTGCATTTATGGGACATTTTAATTATCAAAAATCTACAAAATGCACTTAATATGCAGAAATATAAGATACGAATTATTTAGGGGTTGAGAAGCTCCCATTTATAACAGAAATATAAATTTTCATAACGATCCGCAGTCTGCTTATTATGTATTTTCAAATTTTAGAATGTTTAGGAACCGTGTTTATTCGCGCGATCTTTGACCTTTTCGTGGAATTTGCAAATTTATTCTGGTTGAGAAAATTTCGTTAATCGATAAAATATACACTTTTTGAACATTATTCCGGTAATTAACGGTCTGCCGTAAGATTTTTCTTCGGTGGTCGTATTTTTCAATATTCCAACGAGCGGGCAAACGTTCGCTGTAGCTCGAAAAAAGCTTCCACGAGGATGAGTTCACGGGATACGTTGTTAGCCGCCGCAAAAGAGGGTGAAAAATTTGTTACATAAATGAGTTCTTGACCAGGCACAGGCGCGTTATCGAGATCGAGTGAGGACGCCTTCCTCTAATGACACCGGCTTAATTAAGTCTTGCTTGATTTTAATCAGCACACCCTACGTACCCAAGCAGTTTAGACAATGTCGCCAGCAAAATAAAAGGGTGTCCCAAATACTGATGGGCTGTCGCCAGGTAATTAAAGACACTTCCAGAAAGCAATAAGGGAAACAAACCTATTTATTAGTATCGATCAAATGGGACGGTCTTTTATAATTAGAAATAAGAACTCCTGTCACGGACATTAAATTACACCAAACTTTTTTGAAAATGCGAAAAACGAAGTTTAAAGATAAAGACTGATATTCTCTGGTGAATTTGTTGAAAGGCACAACGTTGTTTGTTAATTAATCTTCACTATTTTAAAGTTGAGCTATCGTATGAGAATTTGTAAAAAAGTCTAAAATCAGAATAATATTAAAAGCTACATCTAAGATTCAATATCAGCTATCGGATACTTTGTTAACCTCGAGAAGCGAATAGATTTAATAGAATCATGTTATTTTATTCTCGTGATAATTGCAATTTGGCCCACAGAAAATATTTTATTTGATTTAGAATATAGATTATAAATAGCAAAGTAGAATCATAGCACACGATCTGAACAATAAAGTTTTTCGTGGTACTATTAATTTTTGGACGGTCAATGCGAATGAATTCTCGACGGTCCTGCGATGTATTTGAAATCCTTGATACCGATCGCTACATACATACGCGTGGACGAAGGATTCGATACTATAGAGAAAATGCGGTTTTGGCGTGGTTCCAAAAAATAGAATAGTATCTCGCTGGGTCGTGTTAATATGCGGTGTTTATTTGGATGGAATGTAACGCGAATCGCGAACCGTAAAATCGACCGACCACATGGAATTTTTTATGTTACAGAGTTTTCCAATTTTTCGATTCCATGTGACTCGTTCGAACCCTCAAAAAGCGATGAATGTTTCGTATTTTGTATCTTTCTAAATTCTTTTGTGAAATACAGTAACGACATATGTGGACTTAATACGCCATTTAGAAAAATTAATTAAAATTTAATTATTTATTTTATCTAAGCTGTGTTTAAAAAAACCTAACAGAAATTAGACACAATTGACTTTTGACCGAGCAAGAATAAAGTTTCTCATCAAAGATATAAGACTTAAAGCTTCAAACATAGTGGTTGACAAAGAAAATTGATGAAAGACAATTTTCTAATCGAATAAAATATTGTACATCTCAAGAAATATAATTACCATTTAATTGTTATTAATTACGAATAATAATCGTTTACGTACGAGTGCAATAATCTATGATGCTGTGAGCTTTGAGAAGTCTAAATAAATACGGTTTAGAGAAACTTTATTGATACCCAACGTAGTAAAAAAATCTCCTTCATTTTCTACGGAAGATATCCACGTAAAAACTGTAATAACCACGAAAGAAAAACGCAAAGTATCTCGTTAGTGTGTAAAACTCGTAAATCCCAATGGCAGTTATTTCGACAAAAGTGAAACTGGGGTTGCGTCGAAACGAAATAATTTCCCACCTAAATCAGCAACATTTTCGCATCCTCAAATATAGAAAACAGTATCTTCTCGCCTGGCAACAAAACCTTGCATACGAATTACAGAATATACGTGCTCCGACCTTCCATAGAAATTTATGATTCACAATGTATTTCGTAAGTATTTATGTTATCGCAAGTAAACCGTGTTAGAGTGGCCGATGCTTAAATCAACGGCGTCTGATCCTGTTTTTCTCGTTCAGACACCCCTCTGGAAGTCCCCCCAGGCTTCTTATAGCGGATAAACGGCGCCCGAAGACCTAGTTCCAGGATGTTCAAGGATACTATGGACATTAAAGGGGAGCCACGCGAATTCTCGATTTCAGAGCTACCCCGGTTCGATTCGATCCCTGCTCGATCGATGCTTGTCTATTTAAGGATAAGACTGCCATTTATGTTAATCCGTCTGGCACTCTGATCCGTCGGCTGTCGATAAAGGAAATCGCGCATAATGTCGACACGCGGACGCTTTGAGATACGTACGCGCTTGCCCGTCTGCCGTCATCTCAAATTGCAATCAATAGATACCCGACGAGACGGCGCCGAAACGTGCCTTTATCCAACGTGGCCACAATACAAATAGAGGGTGTCCAGAAAGTCACGCGACCAGAAATGACCAGGCCAAAGAGACCGTTCGCCCCGTGCCTGAGGGACCGGTGCAACTCGTTCGATACTCGGTATCTCGTTTACCTGTTTATTTAGGGCCGCGGGCTGTTTGGATTGGTTTCGCGTTGTTTGACGTTTAAATCGAAGCACCCGGTTGTTGGACTCTCGGGGCGCCAACATTGTCATGGATTGCGAAAGTAACCGAAGCGGTGGCGCCACGCAAAGTGACGTCTCAATGTCAAGATCATAAATCAGGAGCATAATGTAGGCGAGCGCCATAGCGCATTCTCATTTGGTGGAGTATTCCACCGTGAAACGAATTTTTACGGTTTTAATAATTCCTTGATAATTATGTAACTTTTTTTGAAATTTAGAATAATGTTATGAATCGCCTATTACAATTTTAAGAAACGTTATCAAGTGTCCCTAATATTATTACTTTCTTTCTAAGAATAAGGGGATCCACTAACAAGTAGTATTGGACTATAAATGGCCAGGCGCCACAGCTTCACTACGCCTGATGATACTATTATATTATCAATAATATAAACCCCATTCCCATCATAGTATTTTAAGAGTAGAGAATTACTCTTTCGATTCTCAAATATATCACATTCACCGTTTCCTAGTAATTTGGAAGAACATTTACGAGCCTATCTTTACCGTGCAGTGAAATTAAGAATTTACAGCATACACAATCCTCCACTTAATGCATAATACATCGCGTATATTTCATCCTTTCACGAAAACGACCTACCGCGTTGGATTAACATTATTCCCTCGTTTGAACGATAATATTGTCGCAAATCATTTTCATCGGGACAGTGTTTAATCTCCACCGACGCGATCTCCAACGTCTGCACGCGTGAAAACGGATATCGCGGTGGATTGTTATCGGGTGCCATTATCTCATTCGCGGGATCGATTTCGTACTATATTTAACAGAAATCATTTCCAATTTGTCTATCGAAAATAAACTCGCACTCGTCGGTGCAAAGTTTCGAATATTACAGCGTCGATCGATTGATAACCGTCTGATGTAAATCCAGTCGAAAGTTTCTCGATCTCTTTCATCGATGTGTAGAATCTATTTTTGCGTCGTATCGAGCCAGCCGGTTTCATTGAGGAAGGCAACGATATGGTTGTATTTGTATGCGAAAAGAGACCGATAAGAAATTCTAAATTAAGGTAGAACCAATGAAGTTCAACCATACAAACATGAAACTTCTCTCGACGAACAACGATATGACTAAACGAACGGGGAAGATTCAATTAATTGTTTGCAGTCTGCAAATACGAAGATTGCGAAATTAATAATTGATACGTTCCGCTGGGCGCAGACGGCTGTCGCGATCGTTTTATAAATTCATTCCTCCGGGCGGCATAGATATTCTCGCGGATAACAAAGTGGAAAACGTGTTCTCGCCCCGGCGCCGTATAATAAAATTTAATCCCGGGAGCTATTAAATTTTTCTGAAAGGGCAGAGCAACACGCTCTTCCGCGGCCTGTAATTTTTATCCCTGACGTGCTCGCGGTCTATGGTTCTCGCATCTTCCCTCTAATTATTTTGATAAACAGTTGCGTCTTTCCAACGATCGTACCGTGCAATCAAACGCGGTTAAATAATTACCAACCTAAATAGAACAACGCGGGTAAATGCCGTTTAAATACCCTTCGATTGGGACGCTTTGTACGATGAATTTTAATCATTTTTTATACGCCCCAAATTGTAGAACTATAGAAATTTGAACATAGTTAATTTTAGCGAATTGGAAATTAAATATTCTTTCGTTAAATAGTTATAGAAACATTTCCGGCCGCACAGTATATTTTCGGTGAAGAATTTTTTTCTCGAAAGTACGTAGGATTTCGGGGGTACGTCTATTGACCAAAAATGATTGTAATTAATCCCCGTAACCAAAAATAATTTTTCCAGAACGATTTGAAATTTTTTAATTTTGTCGGAATAATCCACCTACCCGAATTTTTTTCTCGAAAGTGAGTAGGATTTCGGGGTGTGTCTATTGACCAAAAATGATTGTAATTGATCCCCGTAACTAAAAATAATTTTTCCAGAACGATTTGAAATTTTTTAATTTTGTCGAAAAATTTATCCACTTACCCGAATTTTTTTCTCGAAAGTGAGTAGGATTTCGGGCGTGTGTCTATTCACCAAAAATAATTGCAATTGACCCCTGCAACTGAAAATATTTTTTTCAGAACGATTTGAAATTTTTTTGAAATTTCAGTGAAACATGTCAACGGTATGGTCAGACATGACATTTTCGGTAATGAATTTTTTTCTCGAAAGTGCGTAGGATTTCGGGGGTATGTCTATTCACCAAAAATTATTGTAGTTGACCTCCGCAATTGAAAATAATTTTTTCAGAACGATTTGAAAAAATTTTTTTACCGAAAAATTTCTCCACTTACTCGAATTTTTTTCTTGAAACAGCGTAGGATTTCGGGGATATGTCTGTTCACCAAAAATGATTGTAATTGACCCCCGCAACAGAAAATAATTTTTCCAGAACGATTTGAAAACATTTTTTTTCGCCGAAAAATTTCAGCACCTGCTCGAATTTTTTACTCGAAAGTGCGTAGTAAAAAATTCTTGAAAATTGCCTTTATTTTGCCCCCTTTGACCGTACCATTTTCGTATTGAAAACATCGACGAAAGCGAAATATTCCGAAGCGTCGAATGGGTAGAGAATACCGTGTCGCGATCGTAGTCCTGGTGGCACAGGATGAGGGATGAATGGGTGAGCGAGGACAAAGGCTGGCCACTGGGGGACGCAGGAACGCGGAAGCGGGCGCAGCCGCGGGAATCGGTGGCGAGAAGGGCGCCGACGCCGGGGAGCGACGCCGATGCTCGTCGTCGTCGCTGCTCGTGGACGTCAGTAGAGATGCCGCGTCCGCGAATACGGTGTATCGACGGTGCCAGTTAGCCCGTGGGGTAGCTTCGGGGTGGATCCAGCCGAAAGTACGGCGAGTGGGGCGCGTCAGGACGCGGGGGACGTTCGCGCGAGCGACGGTGCGTCCTCGACTTCCGCTTAAGCCCGTTCGAATACGCTGAAATCGAACTCGTCCGCGACGCGTCTCCGATCGACGCGTACGCGACTCGCGTAAATTCGCGCGACCTCTCCTCCCGTTCTTTGCGCGTTCGAGATTTTTAATCGAATTCAGGATCCGTGCTCGCGAGTGCGATGAGAGACGAGAACGTTGCCGGAGGACGCGTCCGGGATGGCGTTACAGGGCGAAAGGCCCGCGAAGTACGATAAGTAGACGCCGTTGTTCGACGATGATTGGTCTTGTCCCTTCGTTGCACCCTCCGATCGATTTTATTCCTCGCCTTGAGGATGAACGACTCGCCGCGGACGAGGACGCGAACAATGCCGCCTTCGAGTGGTGTCGCGCGTGTGATGGTTAACCTTTGAGCAGACGACAGCTAGGCAAACATTGTTAAGCGGGGAAATATTTTTAGATAGCGCTTTTTAAACAACGACTGGGTAGCCTCTTTGTGCCACCGGGGAGGGATCGAAAGTTCCCTTTTCGCGGTCGTTCGCGATCCGTCTACGGCGGCACGTCGATCGATTCGAATCGTTTAATCGCTTCGATTCGGGATCGCCGCGGGCTGTTCGCACAAACGTGCACACGGGACGACGATGCTTTAAATACGACTCGGGGATCGCGTAAAATGTAAAAAGAATTTTTTTGAACGCGAAGTTACGCGGTGATATTTTGTATTTCTTCCTTCCATTTTGAGAAAAAATATATTACGTTTTCCGTTTGAATAAATTTCTAATTGTGTGTAACTGATATTCGAAATAAAAATAGTCCTGAGATATTCTCAAACTTTACAGCTGTTATAGCAATACTGTGCTCCGTGTTTATAGCTCTAAATTGTCTATTGTCTCGTTTAGGATAGTTTACATAAGAAAACTTTTTTATCAAACGGTTCATAGCATCAGATATTACTTTATATTTTCGATTTCAAATAATTTCACAAAATAAAAATTTGTATCTCGTAAGTGAAAGTTCAGGTATTGTTCATAAATAAACGATGTGGCCAATGTATAGAATACTATCCGGTTACGTATTGTCCGTATTCAGTCGTATCGGGGGAGAACTTTTAATTGCTACACACATATCGTTATTTTCCCATACAATGCTACCGACGCGATGTAATTTCTTTAATTGCCAAGGGTTATTTTCGGTTCATCGCGTTCGAAAGCCAGCGTCCCCCTCGACTCTCGCTCGTAATCAAAGCAAATATCGTAATTAAATTCTTACGATCGCAGCACAGAGGCTGATATCCGGAAAATGGGGGAGAATAAGAAACATCCGTGAAATGGAAAATCTCGTGTTTTGACCTCAGCAAACGTTCGAACGTTCCCGGAAGTGGCTCAATAATTTCAACGATGAATCGAGAAAACGAAGAAGTACGCACTCCCAAATATCTTTGACAAAATATTTAACACTTTTCAATATTTATTCTACGATACTCTGCTTATTTATTCGACTACCTCGCTTCGCCACGAAGTGCCCTAAATTTCGTCAAAAGTGATCGAATTCTCTCTTGAATATTTCATTTTTCATCGAAACTTTTGTTACTTTCGTTTACCAACTTTCATTTCTTTTTTTTTTAACAAATTTCACTGTTAGAAATATTATATCGAGTCGTTTGACAGTCTTTCCCTCGCATCGAGGACAATAATGTTTAATTATTTGTGGCGATATGTCCACAGCAGCGACCAGTCTCTCAAACTGTTTGCGGGGTGTTGCAAAAGGAACCGAATTGCAAGTGTTTGGTACTTTCTGTGTTAATATACGGATGCCTTGCCGCAGTGACGTGGTGTAGATGCGCGAATGTCACCAAGGTACGTAGCTTTCTCTGCATTAACAGAACACGTCTGCGAATCGTATGAATTTATATCATATTCGAGTTCGAATATCGCATTAACGTTATCGATTTTTTATTTTCTTCGCGGGAGGAAATCGATTTAGCGGTATTTTTTGGTATCGATCACATCGAATGCAGCACTGTTTTAGATATACAGCATCGTCGGCGATTATATATTTAAGATACACTATGAATGCTTCATTAGTTAGTTACTTGCCCCGGACGGAATATATTTGCCCAAGTTTCGCGAAATTCTTGACGTTCAACCTACGTAAACCGATCGCAATTTCGAACTAGCGCAGCCACCTCAAGAAACTAATTTGAATAATTTGCATGTTTGCACGCAACTTTATTTCGCTGGGCATTTGTGTAACATAGTAGTATCCGGAATTGGGGAACAATGCAGTTTATCGCAAGCGTATGCTCAAAAATATATTTTAAACGTTTCGACCTCGTTTTGTTTGATTACTAGAAACATTGTTTCGTTCTATAACGAGAAGCAAAATATGTAATTATACAGACGAAAATATAATACAAAGTTGTGCATGTATTGTTTTCTGTTTTCTGAGGTCAGTGTTGTTCAATGTCCAATATAAATAGAAATATATATCAAAAAATACATCGAGTAAATATTGTTGTAGATTGAAGTTACGTACCTTATAATTTTTGTCCGAGGTCGAAACGTTTGAAATATGTTTAAACGTGTGGTTGCGCCAGACTATGTATGTTCCTCAATTTGGGTCTACATCGCGCAAGCACTTGCTATTAAATTGCCAATAATGTCTATAACGAAGTACTGGAAATTCAAAGTAAACAATTTTACCGGAAGTAGGATTTTTGTTGTAGGTTGTAATAAACTTTTCGAGGTATCCGATTAGAAGTACGAGACACGTGTCTCCCTGCGACGATGGTTACATTTACATTCCCGTAAGTATGCGATGACGAAAGCATTTAAAGTAACTTTCAGTTTAAAAACAAATATTCACAGACCGCGACGACACGGTGGAAAACATTGAGAAACACGACAAAACAGGCGATCGATTTTCGTGAAAACGACCGATTGTTTTTCAGGTGGCGTTCATGGGAATGCTGTATCTGGTTTACCTGGTGGAGTGTTATCATTCCCCTATCAGAATCGATCTGTTGCACGCGGAGAGTCAGGATAGCGTGTTATCGAAGCTGTTGCAGCTGAAGACCGCCCAGCCAACGATTTGGTGGAAGGCAGTCTCTTACCACTATGTCCGTAGAAAACGACAAATTACCCGGTACAGAAACGGAGACAATTACACTACGACGCAGGTAACGCATAGCGCGCAACGTGCAACGCATATCTCGTAATCCAGACGAAAGGAAATCGCGGGATGGTAAATCGTCGAAACGCTTCGCGCGAGCCTGAACGATCCTGCTGCGAGGATAGATGGACCATTCCCTTCGAGAAAACTATCTAATACTTTCCTATTTTTCTCGCGAGACATCTGCTAGCAGATTTAGAATCTCTGCTTCTTTCGCGGGACGCTCAAAGTCACGATTTTCTATACGATACTGCCCCTCTTCTTGCAATCGAATCAGAACTGATTATTCTTGGTTCAAAATTAAAGAAACACTAATACTTGCGAAAGAATGCAAGTGCTATAAAATACCAGGTATACCATTGGCTTTTCCGAATATTTCCGTTTCAAAAAATATAAAATGGTAGAGGTGATTCAATTGCAAGTATCCCTAACACAGATTGTTGCAAGAAGCGAGGCTGTACTGTATGTAGTTCGAAAAAATAGACTCTGGATACGTTTCACCATTCAACGCGATGAACAGAGTTCTTCCCTCTTTTGTTGGACGATGTATTTTGATATGGACGAATTTAATGAACGAATCAACTTTATTAGTACCGAGATACATAATTTAAAAAAAAAACAAATATTCTGTGCCAAAGAAGTAAATGGGGAAGAGTTCCATTGAACGATACATCTGTTCCAAAATTATGGAAGAAATCGAAAAGTGTATTGTTACCTACTTGCAACCAAAGGCTCTGTTTGAGAGATACGACTAGTTAAAGTTCCAGGTAGACTAGGTGCAGCTGACAACACGTAAAAATCGATATTCTTAACTCTGTTTCGTTAACTATTCAATTTGAAATCATCACGATGATCTTTCTACTTTAATGGCCCATCTTTCCTCGATCTACCTCCTTTTCTAACGACCTACGTTCTTCAGGTGTACTACGAGAGAATAAACACTCACGCCGCTACGTCCTTCTACTATTACGACTTCTGCGGCTTGAAAGACATCAGCAAAGAGTTGATTCTGGATCCGAAAGTGCCAATCACGAAAATCAATCTCAGCAAAGGTTTCGCGTTCTCTAACATGAGATCAGCGACAGAATTCGAGGAGGCTAGGTCGCGGTTCTTCGCAGAACAAGTACGATTCGAAACGTTAAACTAATCTCTGTGATCAATTGCGATCGTTAATTGATTGATGGAATTTGTTGCTGTTCTAAGGAGCTGAGGGACGACTATATGGAGATGAGGGAAGGCCTCGATCTCGGATACAATCCTAATCCTACGACCTTGGTGGCTGTCCTTGGAAACCCATGGTTCACGAATCGCTATGTGTATTGGTGCTTTAGCGTTCTGTTGCTCAGCTGGCTTCTGAGGGTGATCATAGAGTACAAAACGCAATATGCGGACTATCAGGTGAGAGGAATTAGATCATTAGAATCCACATTTGATATGTAAATCTTCAGATTTCACTTTGAAACCTCTAACAATAAGTAAATAACGACTGTACCAAGGTAGACTTTGATGATATTTGAGAAGGTGTAGCTAAGGATCGAACGTTAATACCCAGTACAAGTTTGGGGTTCTAATCCTCGTGATCCTAAATTTGAGTTTCAACTTTCATTTTGAAATATCATCAAAGTCTCCGATGAGACAGCTACGGAGTAACGAAGTAACCGAGTAAACCGATCGACAGATCACAAAGTTATTCGGTATAAACTACGACACGCCAAGCGGAAGCGAGCCGATACACGCGTCCATGAGCCAACAAACGATCAGCCAACCTGGTTCGTACATGCTGGCACCGAGTTACAGCGAGGCTCTCCTGATGGACCCGGTGCCGGATCAAAGGCCAGTCGAGTCCCAAGAGGCGAGCATAATGGAAATGGTGCCAAGTTACTCGGAAGCGTTGCTCTATCAGCGAGCTGAGCAAGGCTGCTCAACAAACGAGGATGTAAACTTAAACAGCGAGGATCTCGGTTGTCAATACTTAACGTTGCGCGAATGTTCGTGCTCCTGCCACGCCGTAGCCTCCACTTCCGACGCGAGGACGCCGGAAGAAGGTAGACAAGATGGACAACCCGAAGACGCAGCCAGACAGCCGCTGATCGAGACGACGATCGACGTCTATCCGCCGTCTTGCGCATCCGTCAGCCAAACGGAGGCTGGAAAATGCGGAAGTTGCGGGAAGTTCTTGGTCGAGGCGCAACTGGAGAACGAATCTACCAGAGTGGATCCTGGTACCAGTTCGTTGGAGACGACTCGAAGCGTCAGAAGAGGAATCATCCCGCGGGACATGTCCGAGCCAAACCTGAGATGTCGATCGGAGTTGGTGGTGGACGATACGCGGTTCCTTCGATTGAACGGGCAAAGTTTGTGGAACATTTTGGAGAACGATCAGGAGGAGGAGCTCGGTAGCGACGACAGGATACTAGACACGAGTCAGAACAAGTTCAGTGCTCCCACGTCGCGAGAGAAGTTTAGGTTCTCTCTCTGCTCGCTCGACGAGGCGAACTCTCGGTCCAGAGAGATCGTGGACGTGAGCAAAGGCGCGATACCCAAAAGAACGGTGGGCAGAAGCAGAGTCATAGCGAATCCAATGTCGACAGAGACTTGCACGCTGCCAGACTCGAAGACCTACTTCTGTCTGAAGTCGATTCTCAAGCAGAACAAGCGGAGGTACACGCTGATCACTGCTCGAGAGCTTCAGAGCATCTCCAATCAAGAGGAGGGGTATCTGGAGGATTGCCGAATCGCTCGATCGTCGTACCACGAAGGTTGCTCCCCTGTTTACCCATCTACGAGCAACGCTGGAGGGAAGTGCAACTTGTTCTCGCGATCGAGAGAGAGCTTGGACAGCGTGCTGGGTAAAAGGAAGAAGCAGTTGCTGGAATGTTTGTCCATAGACAAGAACGAAGATGCTCCAGCGTGCTCGAAGCGCGACAATAACAGGTAAGCAGTCTCTGGTTAGGTGGAGTTCGAGCTCGAACGTGAATTTTGTTTGCAGAATGTTGATATTCGCGAGTCCCATTCAAGAAGTCTGCCCCGGGGATCCCTTCGGGGGCAAAGACGTGATCCGCACGAGACAGGAAGTGGATTCAACCCCCACGGAGGAGTCACCGAGTCACACGATGCTCACTCAACTTGGACGATCGTTGGCTTGCGACCGGAAGTCGTCGCGACGTAGATTCCAAGAGTCTCGCAGGCAATGTTACTCCGACACTCCTCATCCCGCCTCCTTCTCCTGTCCACCAGACCGTCAACATCCCTATCCGTACGCGTTCTCAGCGTCCACGGACGCCGTGGACGGTATAGACTTTAACAAAACGCAAACGACGAGTCGCGTCTACCAACATGCAACCTCTTTTCCACCGTACGAGGGTTCGATCGCTGTTCGTAACGAGAAATACCCCGATCCGCCGATCGACGATCGGATTTCCGCGGAAAACGTTCCGAAATCGCCCAACAGAGAACTGACTCGCTCGTTGACCGAAAGACGAACGAAACCAGTACGAAACGAGCCCGGTCTACGTCGGAGCTTCACCGGCAGAGTCGAGGATTACAGAACGGAGAACAGCAAATGGCCAAATCTGAATATGGAGACGTCGTTATAACGAAGGGACGCTCACGAACGGAGTCTAACGTAATTGTAAATATCCGTCCTCACGATTTTCACGGTTCAAGATTCTGTATATACGGCGTAAATACGATTCACTAGCATCGAGCCGGGCTATTGCCCCGCTGAACGTGCCGCCTTTGCTTAATTCGACGGTAGATCGTTGGTTAGATCGAGTCACCCGTTACCCGGACAGAATGAGTACGGAGCGCCTGAAACGCTAATCGATGTTGTCAATGGAAATTACCGAGCGCTCCTAGAACGAAGAACAATGATAGAAAATAGCCAAAATGTGAATTCGTCCGGCACCTAAAATATTGGTATAATTCTACGTGTTTTAGGATATTGTAAAAGCACAATTTTATATCCGGCAAATGATGAGAAAGTCATGAAAAAAATGGACTGCAAGATATAAAATTGTGCTTTTATCTTCATCAATATTTTAGGTGTCGAGCGAATCCAGATTTTAACCATTTACTACCATTGTCCTTTAATCTCTAGAGGGAACCTGGGACGAGTTTCGTTCGATCGCAAATGCAATTTCGCGCGTGCAATTGATTCGGCGTCAATTATACGCACACCGTATATAGCATGTAAGCTTCACACACCAGTGAAGGGTTTCGAGACGAAATTCGAAAAAGAAAATGTACCACGGCGTACTATTTTTAACGTTAAAATCAATTTAAAGCGGTATTCTGCGGATCTTTAAGCAAATTCGTATTTTTATTAATAGAATGAGACGAGAGCTTCGCAGAGGGTTGTCTCAACCCCTAAATATAATAATTCGTATCCTATTTTAAGTATTTCTTATATTTTTGCATATCAAGTGCATTTTGTAATTTTTCGATTGCTCTTAAACGTAGTCCTGTTGGCATTTCTCGTTTCTTCCTCTATTCTTTTATAGACAACCATACGTTTTCTTTGCCGTGTCGTACCTCGAAACCCTTTTCATTGGATAATATACAATTCCGTCTTATACACACACATGCCATGGTCGTGAACTTTCAAAGAATTTTATGCTTGCAGCGCTACAATTATCGAGTAAACACGAATCGCCTTCCGTTGTTCCGTGATTTATCAATGCTTAATTTGAATGATTTATTAAATAGACTTGGCTGTAGTTCTACCAATACAATCGAACGTTATCTCCTATCGAATGCAAGAATTTCAATGACTTCTCGAAACTAGCGATTCAAAAATCAAACATTGAGATTTTTACGCGACGACTGAAATTCTTGCGGCGTTCACAAACACATACGTTATATTTGCACTAAGAAACTTTCGTGAAATTCAATTTACGACCAAATTATTTAACAACTCTCCGCGATAGAGTATGTTAACATTTAATGGTATTTGCTAGGGTTTGGGTCAATCTAACCTCGGACAAAAAAGTAAGGATTTGCTGGATCACAAAACTTTAAATTCAAACGATAACCAACGAACGATAAATTTTAAGTATTACTTTTGATAATTTGAAGACTCAGTGCACGAAAGTTTAACTTGAAAAAAAAGTTTGATAACTTTGACCTTGCCAGAACAGTTGAGAGTTAATGATCGTTACGAAAATTTAAAACATCGAATGATCGTAGTGTCAATTTGTACGAACGTGAAAATTTATAAAAACCGTTCGCCCAAATGCAAGCAAGAAACATAGATTTTACACAGTTTAAGCGAATCGAATCGAAAATCCGCGCCGAAAACGTTTGAAAGTCTTCGCTTGTCTGTGCATAGATACGAAAATATACAATATATTTTTGTCTACACGTTTGCTAGCGCGAAGATCTAACCGAGTCGACAAATTCATACGCATAAAAATCGTATCCCGATCGTTTTTACCAGTCTCTCGAGATTTCGATCGAAAACTTTGTATTATTAGACGATACATACATATACATAAATATATACTACTATTATGTATATATATATATTGCGGACTCAACAAACGCACCGTTATGCTTTTAGGGAAATATTTTTCATATACTCGGAAAAAAATGTGTATCGATGCCAATTGTTGATCGTGATAATCCTTGATAAAAAATATTACGCCAACAATCGTTGTGATTGTGGTATAATTGAGATTTAAATTGTTACGTCGACAAGAAATTCTTGGAACTCAATTACAGTCGTTTCAAAATTTATAGATATCTACAGGGTGATCCCTTTTAATCTGTAAGTGGATATACATACGTCGAAAACAATATTTGATTGAAAAAAGACGAGATACGTTGAAAAAATAAGGGAGGGTGTCGCGATCGTTTCATGATGATAAATAGGTATCATCAGTAGGTAAACACTCTGTACAGGATCCTCTTATAATTGAGAATTACGAAAATGGCTGACAGTGGTAGCCACCTGGTGATGAACACCATAGATAAAAATATTTGCATGTACTTCTAAACGCATACTGATGAATATTAATATGTTTTACCTTTTTAATAATGAAAATGGAAAAACCTTAAGAACACATTAACAAACAATATTCTATTATTTAATTTTTATTATTGAATAATTAGAGCACACGAGTGATAATTGAAACTGATAACCATCCTCTGTTGACTTTTACATGCCCACAATTGACCATCATATATTTATCCATTCGCTACGAAACATTAAACGATAAAAAAAAATAAGAACCTTAATTATACCACAATAATTGTCATATATTATAAGTAAAAATGAGGATTCTGGAATCCATACTATGTGCATATGTGTGTACGTGTAATTTAACATATTCGTCATCCCTCGTTCTCGTCAAGAGTAATAATTATTCGATTTCGATTATTTATTATCAGAAAAAACCCATAATTAAGAGGTTATTCCAAATTTTACACCAATTACTTATAAATATCGTGTTTCTTTTCTAAATTACGAACGAAAAAGTATGTAACGAACGTAGAATGTGTTTTAATATTTAAATTACACTCACCCCGTGTGCCAATCATGACGAAAACGATGAAATTCTTCGTGCAGCTACTAAATTTCTTGAGTAACAGGATTTCTTGGAAAAATCGTGATATTTCCCTCTTAAATCCAAACTTGGAACACCATTTGAACACTACACACCACTGAACGTACGCACATTCACATTTCAAACCGCGTTTTTCTAACGAAGAAGTTGTCGTAACGATAATCACATGTGATTCAATGGTATATTTAGCGCCAAATTCAAATGCGCCAGAATGATACATATTGTAGACACTTTAGCCCAGCCGCCGCATAGACGTAGACGTTGCAATTTTTTGAACAAGCGACGAAGCATGTGATACAAGAAACTCGAATTCACGATAACCGTTTAAGTGTTAAAGCATCTCAGGATAACGCGCGCGATTACTTTTTAAATTTATGTGTAAAACGAATAATCTATGGCAATTTTTTATTCTGCGTATAATAGAATTTTTGATAGATAATCTAACGAACTCCGATTGCAAAGAGACACTTTCCGTGATAGCGGATGTACTACGTAAGTAATATGGCAGCTAACTTGGAATATTTTTAAAACAGCTGAGACCCTTTTAAAATTTGAAATAATAAAATCAATTTAAAATTAGATTCATAATTTTATAGATTAAGTCACATCGCACGTATTAAAACATAATTTTTATTAAACAGGATATGCATTGACTAGTTTGCATCGTGCGTTACTTTTGAAAGTGTCTCTTCTAACGAACCACTCGCACCTGTAACGTTCGAAAAAATCATCGATCCGTAGACGCATAGAGGTAAAATCTAGGCTTAAAGAATTTATCGAAAATTTCAAAGTCAAATACGTGAATGAAAGATCGACGATCTAAATTTGAACAGTTAGAAAACGTTGATATATAAAAACGGGTTATAAGGCTAAATTTATATAATATTCATGTCGATTAAAATTTCACTTTGTTACAATTTTCGATCAATTAATTAAAAAAAAATAATGTGAATATTTGGCTATTGCAAAACGAATTGCACGCCAGCAGGAATTTTGCTGTTATCGCTTAATTAATGTTCTTGCAAATTATTCACGCGATGTATTTAAAGCCTTGATATACAACGGAATCTTCGTTACCGTGCAATATTAATAACAAAAAACCCATGCCGTCTCAGAAAAGTGCTCTTCTAAGTAAAATTGTTGATATAGAGCGAATTGTCTATTATTATGCGATAATTGAACACGCGTATGTATGCGATACGTACAAGCATATTCGTTCGCGTAAAAAGCCTGTAAGTGTATACTGCTGCGTATGTAATTACTATTATTATTACTAACGACGATATACAAATCACTCCTGTAAAAAAAATAAAGAAAACGATATGATTATAGTACAATAAACGTTGACGCGAAAAAAGGAAGTGTCTCCTTGAAGTTTTTGAGACTTTGATTATTTTTTTTTACATATATAATTATGGTTTTCAAATTAAACATTTAAATATTTGAAGTTTAATGTATTTCACCAAAATGTGGGACAATATCAATAAAAGTATAAGATACAGTCATAAGTGAAATATTAACAAAGAGACTAAAATCACAAAAAACAATATTATGCATTAATTTACCACTACATCACTGACATAATGTATGTACAATTGAGTACAATACTAATATATTGAACAGAATGAAATTCTTTTATGCATTCTTGTGTATAGTATTGTTACTGATATTTATGAATTTTGTTTGATTGCTTATAAACATGCATGGGAAAGGGAATAATAGGAACCTTTTCTTCTTTTGTGCCCACTTTTTTGCCATATTAAACAATAAAGTGTCTTAACATAACTATAATAAGTATATTTTTTATAGCGAACACTTCGCTTAATGTTTACAGAAATAAGATATAGGACTCTTCGTTTAGTTGGACTAGCAATATCGGCAGATCATCGCATTCGGCTAGTTCTCAACGGTTGTACGTTCAGTGAATTGCCGTAGCTTTTATTAAAGCTAATTTTTCACATAGCCATTTTGGGTATAATAAACTCGGTAATAAAGCGTTTTGCTTCGCCAAAGTGAATATGAATTGTCGAACTTAAGAAGATACACTCCCTGCGATAAATAAATTTAGAATAACATTATCATATATCAAGAATACAGATGTAAAATTAATTTCGAAACATCTGTATTTTTAATGAATGCATTTACTCACCTGTCCTGGGTATCTATGACTTCCAGCATAAATTTCTTCTTGGGAATCCCTCCTATATACCTTTTAAAAATAATACATGATCATGAAAATGCTGACAATATTAAACTTTATTCAATATACTGAAAATATAAATATATTTATTTGCTTACAGGTACTACCACGCTTATGGGTGGTGATGGTGGTTTATAATCAGGTTGAATATTACCATTCATTACCCCACTTTCCAAATCTTCTCTTGAAACATAATCATCTTCTTCCTCGTCCTCATCCTCTGATTCACTAATATGGACAGACACTTGATTTGTTTCCGGTTTTGACCATTCAAAATATACTCCAAAACCAATATCGTAACCATCCGTTGCAAATTCCCAAAACAGACAAGAGCCATCTTCGTGTGTTGGCACTCTAACAGTCACTGTCTCTCCATGTCCAACTTTAATAACTGCATCACCGGCTTCTCTCCTAATAGTTTCCTTAAATTCCTCCACACCTTTCCTTGTCCACATTTCTGCAGGAGCTATAGGTGGCCACTCCTCTGGTAGTTCATCCGAGTCTTCTTCATTTAACAGTGCTGTTTCATCTGTCTCTTTGGTCTCTTCCTTTTGATCATTGTCGGCTGTGGTATTATTTACTTCTGGGGTTTGATCTTCTATGATTAATTTATTTTGGCGTAACTGCTGCATGTATTGATGGTAATGTTGTTCTTGTAATTGCCTTATTAAAACACCTTGCTGCTCTGGGTTTCCAGGATATTGTTGCTCCGCGTACATTTTAAATTGATAATACGTTTGTTGGTTTAAGGCATCCTGTATTTGTCTCCTTTGTAGTTCATCTTTTAATCGTGTTTCTTCGTCTTTCTTTTTTTGTTCTTCTATCTCTTTTAATCTCCTTTCTTCTTCTAATTTCTTTGCTTCTTCTTCCTTCTTTAGCCGTAATTTTTCTTCTATGTCTCTCTTTTGTGCTTCTACAACTGTTCTGAATAAAGGACATAATTTATCCAATAAAACTATAAATCCTTCCATCGCCTGTTCTTTGGATATATCTCCCAAATTTTGCCATGCTAAACGTCTGTCTTTTCCAATTACATCTAACACACCTAGTGGTGGTGCATTTTCCGCCGTACACTTCCCATGTGTAACTTGTTGTGTAAAAGCCACTAACTTTAGTTTGTCTTCATAAGACAGATGGACTGCTTTCCCCTCTTTCTCTATAATAATTACTCATTTCACACAACATTGTGTCAATGACAAAATGAAATTTACTAAAGTAATTTCTCATCTATTTACTATCGAGCGCATATAAGGTGAACAACATCAAAATCAACACAGTGGTCACAAATGAAGTTCTCATAAAATTCTATACTTCACGTTTTCAACGTATTACGAAAATACAACGTAACAATATGATAACGCGAATTTAGACGAACATTGTTATTTTTAAAAAATAAAACAAAGTACTGAACCGCAAGATTATTCTAGTAAACTGTCACTATGACTAACTCACCTTTATAGAAATTTACTGCCATTTTATACAGTTCTCGGGTTTCGAAACCCCAAAGATGAGGCTCGGATGTTTCTTCGTTTTTCGTATTATTTTCATTTTTCGTCGATTCATCCGCTGATATTCCTAATTTTTCGATTTTCTTCTCTAGCGGAGAAATGTCACCATTGGTGTCCGCCATTTGCAGTTGCACTGACACGTCAATTACTGTCGGTACAAATACCTTAACCTTGTTTCTTTAAATGCGTACGTTAATTGAAACATTTCCAAGATCATTGAATATATAAAGCACAGTGACTAAAAGTATATTATATCGCAATGGTCCTTCTATAGCAGCACTTGTTATTTATTGTGTTAAAGGCTACAAACATTCTCTTTATTGGTCTCTATTGGATTACTACATCGTAATATGTATTCGGCGAACGGGACTGAACGGAGGGTCGTAAAAACAACTTTAACGAATCGATTGGTATATTTTGCAATCACAGAACAAAAAAATTACAATATATTAATTAGTTTCTAAAAAACGTGAGATAAAAACAATAGTTTGACTGATAAGTTTTTGGTTCGTCTCAGATCTGACATTAAAAACACTCAATTGTGTTTAATAACTTATATTAAAACACGTAAGATATTCCAGGATGAGTGAGAATGCAGAACTAGCTGCTAACTGCATTCGAAATGATAAGAGTTGAGAATGTTAAATTAGAAACCAAAAGTAAGCACATTTATGACGCGATAAGTAAAAAATATCTGCGTCTATCGTAACCTTCTTTAAACGAGCAATAGAAGTATCAAAATGATAAAATTATTTTAAATATTAACAATATCGTGGAAAAATCGTCAAAGGAACACTATAAGACCGTCATATGGTAGACCGAAAGGCACAATAGAAAAAATAGTCGACTGTAACATAAAACTTATATCTTTTCCATTTAAAATACGAAGTACAGTTAATTTTTAAAAAATATTACACATCTGGCAATGTCACGATGATGCATGAGTATTGTAAAATGATTGGCGAAATTGTATCTGAAAAAATGGGGCCCCTTGAAGGGTAAATCCCGGGGCTACAGTCCTCTCTAGACTTCCCTTTAATCCATACCTGATTCTATGTCATAAATCGAAAATTTTTACTACACATTCGGCGTATACGCACGCATTCCCCACCGGCGATCCCCATTCATACGATCGGTCGTTCAATTAAAACTCACCGACGGCGCAGTTCGTTACCAGCGACCCCGTCAGATGGCCAAGTAGTCTGGAGCAACACGTTCAGTCGGCGAGCGAGGGTCGCGAGTGTGTGTTCGTGTTTGTGCGGAGCGTCGCTTATCTCCGCAAAGGAGAGCGTTATGTAGAGGCGCGGGAGAGGCAAAAGCCGTACGGACCAGTACGGATTCCGTGAGACCTCGTCGAACGTGACGGACAGATGCGTACGCGACGAACGATGCGTTACCGAAACGAATGTCTGTGGTGCAACTGAAAAAACGAGTTGGACCGTGCGCGCGCGGGCGCGGCAAATCGTGCCTCTTTCGTGTTTTCGACATGGCTGGGATATACCGTTATCCGTGAACATTTTTTTTTTCTTTCGTTCGTCTCTCGATGTCTCCCTCGAAGCCTCAGTCGAAGGGTTGATTCCGCGAGCGCGGCTCGAATCAATCAACGGACGGTACATGGAACTTTACTCGCGGAGAGGGTTACGCAGATCTGGGAACTGAGAAAGCGATCCTGCTGCAAGGTTAGGTAAGCATACTTTCACGATCCGGCTCCTCGTATTTCGCCTCGTGCACCGTGTTTAACGTCTTCGCGTGGCTCCATTGATTTTTTACCGCGTTTTCCGTCCGGGTTCTCGACCTGTCAGGCCGCGTTTCGTTATTTATCGTTTGTTGTCCTGTCGAGTCAGACCGGAGCAGGCTCCCCGTACGTACTAGTGCAGAACAAAGGCGTAACCTATTTGTATGTTCGCCGCTTCGTACGCTAACACCTACGTGAACATTTTTCCGAAGCACAGGTGAATGGGAGATTGTTGTAAAACTCGAATAACGTCAGTTCATTGGGGTGATTCCTTTTTAAGAATCGGTTTGTGGGTTGTGTTCAGGTGTGTGTCAGCCGGCTTTGAATCGACAGTATGGCATACCTGCGAACTTTTTTGGAGTAGACGCACACGAGTGGTGCGTCGCCGTTGCGTTTCTTGTTTTCTTTGTATCGCAATTAAAACGACGAAAACGGTTCTTACGTCTGCTTGGTTGTTTTCAATGGCAAGACAAGAAAAAATATAGAAATGCGACGACGACGTACCGCTCGTGTGCATCTAGGCTTAAAGGTTTAAAGATTGACGCGAATCGATGTTTAAATGCGGAGTGATTACCGCTCATCTGTTCGAAGCCTTGTGAGAGAACCAGGGCGCACAATAGGTACTTATATATTTTACTTTTTTATGTAATTGCTGTTTCGCGTTACATCGTAGCACAGTCTCAATATTTGTATTTATTTTTACAAATATATCGGTGTTTCTCAGCTGAGGTATTGTTTAAGTATCTTATCTTCCAAAGATTTATCTAATTTCTGAAAAGCAGTATGCTCCATCTCAACGAAATTATCTTTGTTCAATTTTATGGTTATTTTATTACAATTTAATGCTTGAAACATATTCATCATTTTTTATTTTGTTTCAGTTAAAGGAAATAAGAGTGAGCATATGTTATTGGATTTTTTTTACAATGAGCTCGTTCTACTTAAAAGTCAAGCTATACGTATTTTTCAATACTGTTGGATAAAAAAATTCCTTTATCGAAGAGGTCTGCAACCCCTTCTTCCCTCACCTTTGAAGGGGATGTTTGAAAAGCAATGTTTTGTAACGAGGACGTTTGTTTGATAAATAGTATTGGTTAGACGAAGAAGAAATTACAAAGGAGGCATAACAATTCTGTTTGTCGATTCAAATAAAAATTAAGAATATATGTTAATCAATAAATAATTAGGACGGTATTTTGATTCTATTTTTTAATTGGAGTATTTTATTGGGATTGGCGTGGCCTGTATACTGAAATGTTCGTAATTTAATAAACAACAGAAATGTGTATTAAAATTGTGCGAATAATTACACTGTGACGAATACGTTATTTAATTCTGTGAAAGATGTACATATAGGATTATTTAATAAGCTACTGGAACGAATTTATATTTGTGCCGTATTTGAGAATTCATTCTACCGAATATGCGTTGAATTAAAAATAGAATCTATTATCCCAGAGTGTTCGTGTTTCATTTTTCGTTTAATAGAATCAAAATTATTATATAATTCTCCCTTTGCGAGCGTTTAAATCCAATCTCGTCGAATGTAATTTTTCTCAAATAGCGAATCGTATATTCCTCTTTGAAGCGCTGAAAATGGAATCTCGTTACGTAATCGCCAATTCAGAATGATTATTACCTCCTTCGAAGTTCGAGCAATGAAAAATTTTAATCGTATCTACGATCGTTTTTCAACGCCGCTGCTGCATCAACATTTTTCATTATCTGCTTAATGAACGTACGGCTCTAAGCTGCTAGAAGGAAATCGTCGTTAATTTAATTTATATAGATGTGTGCGAAATCTGGGTTAGTTCTAGATTAGAATCGGATTAAAATTAGGGCAGACCACTCGCCACTGCATTGATAGTTCTTTTCCTCGAAAATGTTCGGGCTGATTAAAGGTTTTAATGATTCTATTCGAACATAGATATATTAGTCGTTCATTGTGCGAACAAAGCAAAATTTTCTGAAAGTTTCTGAAAATATCGTTAAAAAAAAAATACGTTAATTTTATCGGTATAGAAATTCCAATGTTAACGAGGTAGTATCTATTTACGATTTATTATGAGAACGATGTAAATCCATGAACATGAAACGACACGCCAAGAAAAGTTGCACACACATAATTTTCGTCTTTAACTGACCCGTTTTAAAATTTACGCATGAGACGCAATGTCTGTGCTGTGCGTTACGCACAAGGAAGCTGCAGAGTGAGTTGTGCAATTAATAGGCTTTATGTATCGTTCAAGGTTTCGAGGGCAATGAAATAGAGCGTGGTATCTAAAGAGCGTGGGTCGGGCTTATTAAACGTGTCCGTGGTTAATAAAGGCTCCGATGTAAAAGCAGACGATATAGGACCGTGGTCCGTTATTTGTTATCGTTGTTACGCAAATATGATAAATTTACTAACATTCATCTGGAACAATGTGCCGTTTAAAAAAGAATAGAGAGCAAAGTTGATAAGTTTATCGTCGTGCCCCCTCATCGTTTCGATGAAATTTTAATGGCTTTAAATTGTGTGCCTTGTGATCGACGTTTGATTTATTATTGTAATTTCTCTCGCAGCGATTCAACGTGTTTGCAAAGAAAAATCGTTAATTCACCACCCCGAGACACATTTTTGCATCGTTTATGAACGAGAAAATAAATTTGATTGTTACCGTGATAAGATTGTTCGTTGAAGATTTTTTTTTACATACATATAATATTTAAGTGCGAGATGGTTACTGATCAATAACAATTATAATGGACTTTAGGTTCGGTGATAACAACTGAACGTAATGACTGTTTTTTTATGCAATATGTTGTACGTATATAGCACTTAGTTTGTCGAGGATAATCAAACAGATATCGATACGGTAATTAAATAGATGCTTGTTTCGCAATTGGATGTTCATCTTTTTAATAGTACAGGGATATTATGTAGGAACATTATTTGAAAATGTAAGAATTTGTCGTATTTAAGACAAAGATAGATAAACTTATGTCTCCCACAATGTATCGTTTAATAAGAGTATTACTAACTTTTGCAATGACACGTTTAATTATCTTTATCTTATTTTGTCTATGTCTTGGAGATAAACCTTGAGTCTATTCTGAAATTTCACTCGAAGTACACAGTTTCAATTGTACGCGGTTTTTTGCGACCTTTGTAATCCTTCGATGATACGTTTATTAGAGTTTATCCTCAGCATATCATTTTTAGTACGAAAACTCTCTAGAAAATGTTTATTGCTAATGCTGTTATTTGCTTGTGTTTACCTTGAAAGCTTAAACTTGGCTCAAAATTACTGGTGCAATTATGCGAATTATGTGTTTGAAATACCATGAATACTTACAATTAGTGCGTGTGCAAGGTTGTGGTCATTTGTCTTTTTGAAAAGAAGTCACGCATGGCATAAAGGGATTGTCATTTTTAATTACTAAAATTGTATAGTACTTGTTTTGACACACGTATGCATTAAAATAATTACAAATCACACGTTTCTTCTGTAACCGTTTTCGCTATTCCGTTTTGAGGACACACAACTTCTGTTCTGATTCGAGACAATGTTGTTACGTGTCCCATTGTCTTCCACGATATCGCAGGTTGTTTCGCCAACCGGTTACAATATGCAACGAATCGGTTATGTGTCTGTGAAAAAAATTGAAATATGTAACTCGCATGTCCAAATGTGTTCTTGCCTGGTCGACATCTAGTCTTTATCGTGCACGTAAAGTACCCATATTACTTAGTTTTTAATTAAACGTTCGCGTAACGCACACTGGAACAGAAACGTAATTTACTTTATTTTTCATACATGCTGCACTGTACAGGCTGCCATAGGCGTATTGTTAAAAAAAAACTTGCTACAGAATTATTTTTGAGCATGATTTTCAAGATAAAAATGTTTCCTTCATTGCGTGGTACTTTACTCAAGAGTTCTCTTTAAAAAACCAGTATCGAAGCTTAAATAGAATTTGTCAACAATTTTTTAAGAACAGAATTTCCCTGGTAGATGTTACTTTTCAAAAACTAGAAATTGGTTCGTTTCGAAAAATCGAATCGAAAATGTGGGACGACATTTTTTCGTGCGGTTGTTCGTTTTCGAGAGAATCGACGTAGAATATATATGGAGCACTCTACTTAAGTGCGCCCGCGTTTCCCAAACACTTTCAACATCGATTTTCGCGAAAACGAAGGCTCGTATAAAGAAACTTCATTTGACAGTATCGATTCATTTTTTTCGCGAGCATCTACTCTGTACAAAACGGTCCACGTTCGCGAGATTCGGAGAATGGAAGATTCGGTGATTATTGATATTTGGATTAGACGTTCCCAAATAGATGCGTTATCACGTTGGATACATTCTCAAACGAGGACAGCCAAGTGCAAAGTGCAAGTTGCACTCGCGCGTAGTCCCCTTGACGGAAAATATCCCATTACGTGTAAAGGGGAGAAACGGGGATAACGGGGACGGAAGTCTTTCAAATGCCAGACAGGGTCTCCTTGCCCGTCGGTAAGCCCTAAATCCGATGACGTTGTAAAAACATACTGATTATCCTGTCGACCAGCAGTCCACGCGGATAATAATTCTAACGGTGGCACCATTAACAGACAAGGCCAATTAATCAAAATATATTACGCCGTTGTTTATAATGCATCGGGAGCTAAACGAGCGCGAGCGAAGGTGGCTCGACTTGGCTCTTGGTTGACGTTATTTGTGAGATGTGGACATTACGTGTTTACCTTGGAACGCATTATTCTTTTTAAACACGTGTCTTACGACGTATTTCGTTTATCTTGGCAACATTAAATATTGCCATTAATTTAGACGCTATGCAAAAATTTTTGAAAAGATAAGTGCCACGATGAACGTCCTATTTATCAGTTTTCGGTGATATGAATATTCGTTAAATAAAATTTGGATACTATTTGGAGAATCAATGTTTTGATTGTTTATCTGTTAAAAATATTCAGAAACAATTTATGCACTTCTTGCAAGATACAATACTCGTACATTCTTTTTAAATTGACAGTCACTTATAAACGAGTTACGTACTCCTTAAAAAATATGCTTTGCTTACAAACGTAGAAGTTGAATTTAATAATACGGTCCATTCTTTATTATTTACTTTGTAAGTTTGAAGAATAATCAAATATGCCTGAGTAAGAAAAATCACGAGATCGTAAAATTATCGAGAAACATTCGAGCAATTTAAGTCTATGTATTATCGAATACCTTACTTTATGGTTACATAGTTTTCGTTGTGATTGAAGTCGATCCTACTAAATGTTTTAAATATGAAAGCCTCGCACGAAATGTTTTACCCTCGGGATCGGATAATCGTGATCTACTTTCGTCACAGTTGCGCTGAAATCGCTAAACTATTTACGAGGGTCGTCCCGAAAAGTTTTTCGACCCTCTTTCTCCGTCAAAGGAGGTGGAAAATTATTATACAGCGGTATAAAACTTTTCTACTTTCGATTACGAAGTTTCGCGAACTTCGAGCGAAGTAACATGGCTCCTCGTAAATAGTCTCATTGACCAAATCTCGCGTTCTCTGCGAAGAATTGTATTTTATAAACGCCACGTCAAGATCTTTTACGTCGAAGTTGAAACAACAAAAGGAACCCAACTGTAATTACTGCGAATAGAAAATTAAATTAATTAAATTATCTTAGCATTTGCTCGGTGTAATCGAATGATATACAATTTCTCTATCATCTTGTAGATATAGTCACACGAGCAAAAAGTAGATAAAAGATTCTGCGTAATGTAATCAATTGCATTCAGCGAATAATAATGATATTTACCTTTTATGTGAAATATAAACTTAAAAATACATTAAAATGTGGTTATGCGTGTTGTTTTGATTTGTTAAATATTTTCATTTGATTTCTTGAATTGGTGCATGGTTTCATTGATAAGATATGCACAATTGACTACCTCTTGGAAAATAACCTTATCGTTAACGTGACTGTATTTGTTTTTCGCAGATTTGATATACTGCTTATTGGTAAATCAATTATCTTGAAATTTCGTGCGACTGTTCGTCGTTTTTTTAAATGTACAGACGGCGAGAAGTTATCGCAAAAGAATGAAAAAATTCCAAATTGGCTGGAGAATGTGCAATTAACGACATTAAAACGGCAGTTAACACGCTCGTTATTTTAATTATAACAAGCTACTTAAGCTTACTGATAAGCCTTGTCTGTAATATTGCTGAACTCGGGTGTCAAACTTCAAACGAGAACCGTGATTGCAAGCAGATTTGTTTTCGAGCTTATTTTAATATGTTACTTTGAAAAAAATCAAATGTTAATTTTATTAGGCTCTCGATTTTTAGAAGATACGGTGAATTGAAAAATGTTGGACTATTTCAATCGTATTCTATTTTGTAAGTAAAGTCTCTTTGAACGCTTATAATTCGTTTTAAAATTTCAACATAAGTTCAACATAAAATGAAAAAGAAACTTGTTACAAAGATTTTACTTTGTTATATACAGGGTGTTCGGCCAGCCATAAGACAAAAATCAAGGATACTAATTTGTTGTTTAAGGCTTCATTACAAAATTATTAAAAATTTTCAAATCGTTGTAAAAAAATTATTTTCGGTTGCGGGGGTCAATTACAATCATTTTTGGTCAATACATACACCCCCGAAATCCTACCCACTTTTGAGAAAAAAATTCAAGTAGGTGTGAAATTTCTCGGCGAAAAAAAAATTTCAAATCGTTGTAAAAAAATTATTTTCAGTTGCGGGGGTCAATTACAATCATTTTTGGTCAATACGCATACCCCCGAAATCCTACGCACTTTCGAGAAAAAAATTCAGTAAGGTCGGAACTTCCAACTATAATAACTTCTTAACGAAGCATGAATCAGCAAATTAGTATCCTTGATTTTCGTCTTATTTTGGCCTCTAGAATCTCCCATTCAAATTTTTCCCAGGGGTGGCCGAACATCCTGTATAAAATATATGTTAAATATATTTTATTTTAATTTTGTAGGATTAAGCCTACTTACTAGATGAAAGTGCTATTTCACTTGATTTAAAATAGTCATCTACGTGTATATGGATAAATGCAAATGACAAATAACGAAAATATAGCAAACTCACAAAAGAACGTACATTTTCTTTTACATTACTGACAATCTTGTGAACAATATCAGAAAAATAAATGTTTCGTTTTGTTATCGATGGTCTAGGTGTCCATTTTTAAACTGAATTTCTCTTTCCATCATTTCAAATTAATAGGAACGATTTCTGTAATCACTATAGATTTGTTTCAACGGAATAATATTTTTCTCCCGCGTAGTTTTAAAGGCCGTGTACGTTCGCGTGAAATAATTGCAGCCATTACGCGACCAGTAGTCGAATTTGCGACATTCGATTAGTTTTACAAAGGACTCTAAATGAAGCTGCGATTCAAGCCTCCCCAAAGTGATCACTTTAAGCTGATCAACGACGTAATCGAGGACCGGTGAAATGGCCTTCGCGCGTCGAAGGTTAAGATCTCTGATTTTTATCCGTGGCTTCGATCAAAGAACCTTATAGATGGTAAAAGATGACGCCGGGGATTTGTCTCGGCGAGGTGTAAAAATTAATAAGAAGAGATCGCGGCGTCAAAGTCGCTAATTCTGACTCTTTATTTACACAAATTTACATTACCGTGCAAACGAAAATGCTCAATAATAGCAAATTCACAAGGGAACACGAATTACGCGTTTAAAATATTCGGTTTCGGTACTTATTCTGCGTCAGTTCTCCGATTATCTTCGTGGATCGTTAAAGGACACTTTTCTGATCCATTAAAATGTTCTGTCGACAACATTGTTCTCGATGATTATTAAAAAAACACTCGATAGGCATTTGCAATGCAAAATTGTGGCTCGAGAAGCTGACCGAGTCCAGCTATTTAAGTAGTTTAAACTAGTTCACCGTAAAGTTTGTCATAGCATCCGGAGACCGTAGTTTCACTTAGTTTCAATCGTCGAAAATCGTCTCGAACTATTTCAGTGTCTTTATAACGGGTTTAAACGTCCATTTACAGTAGCGTTCAGCCGATCGATCGCTAACGAGCTAGTTCTTTCTCAAACAAAATACTCATAAATTTTGATCCGCTCGATACAACGATGCTCGATATAGTTAGAGCATAGACGTTCGATAGAAAGCTCCAAAACGTTACTATATCGAGTACAATTCTCTTTCGTTTCTAAAAATCGATTTCTACTCCGTAAAGATGATCCCCTAATCTTTTCGAGCTACGCAGCGATTGAAAGACTTTCTGAAACAGTATCGACGGACAAGCAGCGTCGATCGAGCAACGTAACTTCTCTCGAGAACCGAAACTAAGAATCGAAACCAATCCCAACTTAGTTTCGATTCCCTCGGCGTTCGTTCATCGTTTTAGTCGCTCGATCGAGCATAAGAAACGCGTCGAGCGCGACCACCAAAGGGAATCGACGGTAATCGATTCGAAGAATCGTAAAATCCTCCGCTTCCCTGATTAAAAGCTAGGCGTGGCAGTTCGTCGGTTACACGTAACCGTTGGCGTCTAATTTTAAGGCTGCCTCGTAAGACGGTAAACCTTCGTCGATCGCGGACGTTTCTTGCTCGACGGGCTCGTTGCATTCCGCGGATCTCACCGGCGATGTCGTCAGACCAAGAAACGTGGACACCATGGAAGGAATGATGGTTCTGGGCGTGTCAGGGCCCTCTGACTTTTTCTCTATGCTGGCGGGTAAACTCCGTGGATCGAATATCAAACTGTCGTAGGTTGGGGGTGGACCGGGTCCCGAGCTAGGGCTCACTGGACACGAAGGAGCCCCGTACGTGCCCTCCTCTTGGTTTCCTTCCGTGGCTGATTGTCTTTCGCAGCACTGGGGGCAGAAGAACGTCACTGGCGAGATTAAAGGGCACTTTTAGTCGTGGCAGGGTGCAGTAAATAGTTGATGCACAGTGGCGCGTTATACCTTCGCGGGGACGCAATATAGCATTTGAAAACTCTGTTTAGAAAGAGAAGAAATGGCCTATATTAGAAGCACTATTATGGGTTTCTGTCTAATGATGGTCATTTTAATTCTGTATTATTATTTTAATCTCTTGTTACCGAGACAACAAAACAAAACAGTTTACTGTAGTGAATTGTATGCCTTAAGTCGAGCTATTAAAAGAAGACGACCACAAAGTACTTTTTGAGATTACAAAATTGCAGTCTAGCCCATCGAAAATATGTTTTGCATTTGAAAGATACCATTCCATACCGATTTGTTAAAAATTAAAAGGAATAACGAATTATATAACAACATTTTATGATCAACGATTAGAGTCACTTGGAAATATAAGATGGTTAGATCAAGGAACGGAAATCTGCAGGTTTTCTGTATCTGCTATCAATTACAGGTAGATTTTATAAAAAGTACGTTTGAAATTATTTCTCGAAAAAAGTTCAAGATAACAAGTTATTATCTCCAGAGCCGGCTACGCAACATTTACCCGCTCTTATCTGTTAACCAAAAAATAAACAATTTGATACGTGAAACGTGCAACAGAATTACTGTGAATCGCCTTAACTTTCATTGCAACACATTTTCTTCCGATAGAATACGCTTTCATATTGATTCTGTGTCTAGTAAAGATAATTTCAAATAAATTATGACTAAGTTCCTCAAATAAAATACTAAAATACTCTTTTCCGCTTATAGTATAACGCCCCACTGCTGATACACGAGTACATAAGTGGTAGACATTGAATATTTGTATATTTATCACTGAGACATTGATCGTCCTAAGGTTAAATACCTACATACTGATTACTCAGATCGATTGTTCGGTCGTTGATGGTTTACACTTTGATAATCTAGTCCGAATTCCCATTTATACGTACAAACGTTGCGTTCTCCGGCTGTAAAACACTCAGTCGTTTAATCCTACAGACTTAGTAAAGCGATAACAATGTCGAATAAATATTTAACTGAGACGTTAAATGCCAAAGTTTTCTCGAGCATATGGCCACGTGCTAGTCTACAGATATCCTTAGAAGAAACTGGAACGCCTCTTCGATCGGTAAGAAATATGCCAAGCCCGTGCAATGCGTGAAAGGAGGCTCTCCAATCGCGGGTCTTACTAATTTTACCTGAAACCGCAAACGATTTCACCGCAACTGATATCGCTGTTGTGCACATAAGGCGAGCCAGTTATGTCGTGTGTCGTTGGATCCGTGCGCTGTGAATATTTTGCATTTAATACGCGACGAACCAGAGAAATTGATATCTGTCGGATGAACCGTTGCCAAACTGGTTTCGCGTCATTTATACTAAACGTGTATCAATCGAGTTTATTTCTCTGGATTTAAAGAAAAGGGCAGTTGATTTTAAGTAGTCACCAACGATTAGAGCGGCGACTTTGAACAAATATTGTGTCGCAGTTAGAAATTTTAACATTCAAAAGTTCTAATTTGTTTCAAGTAAAACGTTACCGCGCACCAGGAAGACTTTGGTTCAACGAACCTCGATCGTTCGACTGATAAATACTCGAAAAGAAAGTTCCATTGTTCGAATAGCCTCGATCCCTAGAAAGTATAGTTAGTGGCAGAAAATATTGGCCGTTGAAGGTCACTGGGCGGAGCTGTCCCCACCATATCGCCTCGATACTATTCGTCTCCACCGTTATATTTGAAAAATGGGAATTTAAAATCCACGGACACACTCTTTCGAGGAGGCGAGTTTCTATATATTGTTTCGTTATTTGTAGTGGGGGATAGCGTCTCGTGCAGTCAGTTCTTTCTGCGTTCTGTGTACTTATCGTTAGTCGACCGTCGTCTCGTTGAAAATCACTGCGTTTCGAGCGGAGAAAGAAAAAAATGAAGAATGAACGATTAGTGGCTACGATGCGTAAATTGTTGTTCGTTAATAAAAATCACTCACAGCTGCGTGTGCTTCGGTAGTGAAAACCTCGAGACTGTGGACGTCCGGTTCTGTCCTCCAGTACTGTGGATACTCTTGCGGTCGGTTCTTTCGTATGCTCTTGTGACAGCAATAACACATAAGGGCCACAACCATAATCACGCCGCTGAGCATCGCTCTGAAAAACAGAGTTCGCCACAGAGATGTAGAGCATAAGTGAGAGAACGTCGACCAGGCGTATATTTAGCGCGCGACAACCACGTCCCAAGACGTTCTACATAATATGTATTAAGGCTCAGTCTGCAGTATTATCAAGCTATAAAACGTGATACGTGCTACTTTTACTACGTGTGCAGAGTAAGTCATAGTAAATTGAAAATTTCACCGTTAATTGCCGGTTCTACTTAACGCTTTTTCGACTGACGCTCGTGGAAAAGTGAAACAATTTTATATCCTCTGATAAAATAAATGTACCATTCTTCGAAATCTTCCTCACTAAAAAATGTGCATTCTAATCGGTTGCAACGACTTCGAGACTGTCGAGAGAAAAAATTTGTATGGCTTGTTCCCGGAAGAAAACGCAGTCGAATCATTAGGAACTTCAAATGTCAAATATTTTTTTAACACAATTTTCAATATTGTATTGCTTTAGGGGGAAAAAATAGTATCCTACCTGTTGAATTTTCTTTTATTGTTCATTTTTAAATGATGGGATAGCTTCAAGAATATTTTGATGATCGAGATTTTCGTTTAAAATTTCTTTCTTGATTAAACCTTCCAAAATAGAATGTACAATTTGAAAACGGATTTGAGGCTTGTATTCAAAGAAGTGTGCAGTTTCGAGCGTTAAAATTTGACTTTCTTTTTAAACGTTGTTTTCAGTATCGTACCGTTTGCGGAAACGCATCATCCTGTTCGTTGAGCGATCCCTTACGAAATGTGGAGTTCAAAAAGATGGTGTGGCCTCAGGGAATTTCGCGGAAAGGAAAGAATGTGCCGACGGATTTATAGTTTGTCCAGGTAATTCTTGCGCTTCGAGATTAACGCGGAAACAGGCAAACCAACGATTCCGTAGTCGTTGTTTGCGACTTTGTGTGCATTAAGCGATTACGGTTAATCACCGTAATACAGTTGTTCCCGTGATTATTGCGGTGACGGGCTCGCTTCCTATTCCATTCGGTCTTTTTCTGCTCACAAATGTCATCAAAGATCTCAAATCTCAGAGAATGTTTCGATTTAAAGTCTCTTAGCTCGATGAATTTTTAATTTTTCAAATTTATCTAAAGTGTCTACAAATTCTTTTATCTGGTATAACTGTACCGTTTCATTATATTTAAATTATTTGGATTCTTTTCATGCAACAAACCGTGCTCCGATTTGTTATATTTAACGTTGTTGTTATAGTCTCTTGTTTTTTAACGCAACTTCGATCTACGTTGCGTTGCTTGCACAGCGAGCATCTTTATATTATTCTTTCACATTCAAGGCGCTGGAAGTTAGGGAAGTTTCAAAAGATTTGCTGCTTCAAACCAGCCTCTTATACTAATCGAGTTTGAGAGGCACTGATCTTTACTCTGTAAACACGGTCTATGGTACGGAAAGAAGGCTAAACATCTTACCGGATATTATCTTTTCTTTACTTCGCCCGAAAGGTCTGTAAGGAAATTCCATGGAATGTAATTAAGGAAAGAAACATCGTGTTTGAGGTCGCTTCCTGTACAACAAAGTTGGGCTTGCAAATACAGAGAGACTCTTAATCTTTTAAAATTAGAATCGGTTTCGAACGGACTCGCCACGCTGTGAGCATTCGAATTGAAAATAAACTTTTATAAATCTATTAACGTCCAGACAAATCCTAGTTTACAAACGTGTACAAAGGTTTTCATTCGATAGTCGCGAATGAAATTTCTCCAACTCTTGCGGATACGAATTGTGGCTACTCACCCACCGAGAAGAATGTTAACATTCCCATGTAAATCCGTATCAAAGTGGTTCGTCTTACTAGCCGCGCCGCTTGCTGTCGTTGTGACATTGTATCCTGGCAAAATGGCCACGTCCTCGTTCGTTGCGTTCCGTTTGTTCGAAGAACCGACCTCAACCGCAGCTAGCACCGGCAGCGTCTTCCGGAACGTAGTCCTGCAATTTTCATTTTCAACATGATCAGTGATCGTCCGGAAGTTACTCGGTTCCATTCACTCGGCGTGTCTACAGTTAACCACTATGCTCCAAGTTAGAGCTTCTAAACCTTTTCGACCCTAATCCTACCGGGACGTGACTTAAGATCACACGTAGAGTTCGACTAACTATATTTTTAATAAAAGAAACATGCGTAGACAGATCTCGATGATTTCAGAGTATACTATATGGGACGAAATTCTAAACCATAGTGGCCATGAAATCATTGTTTCACGTCCTCTATAACATGCTCGAATATCTAATTACGTAACCATTACCTGCATTATTTAAATCGTGCAAATAGATACTTTCTTAAATAAGGATATCGATTCATTTAAATATTGGGAGCTCATTCCTAATATTTTGATATCTATAAAATATTCAAGTAACTAATTATTCGAATAATCCTGAGCCTCAATGAGGATCTGAAGTCTTGAAGACTGGAATTCTCGCGTTAATGTCGAAGTGTTCGTAGAGCATTAGGGTCGACTCGGAAAAGTAGCATCGGGGACCTTTTCTAGTCGACTCGTAGTTTATCGATCACGTCCTTTACAGGGAATTCAACCTTAAAGCTCGTGCGAAGTCACCCCTTACCTCTTGTTCCGTAGATGCGAGTCAGGGGACATTTTCAAACGTTGCAAGAAGCACACCGTGTTCTATATTGGTGCTATCCTGGACGCCTCTTCAGTGAATTTGCATGGAATTATTCGACCTTCAATCCCCCAGGGTTTCCACGATCGAAATGCTCGTTTCGGTCGCATGCCTTTACCTGCAGAATTTTAATTTTCGTTTTTAGCCTTTGATCCCTGTTCTCGTGTCCTCGACGCTATTACTCAGCATTTCCTTCTGGCATTCGAACAAAAAAATAAACAGAGAAAGAACGTTCCCTCTTATTGCCTGTTTCGTTTAAAAATATCCAACGCACTCACATGATTTGATTCTCGCGAAATTCAACGATACCAAGTTTCAGAAATGTTTGACTCCGTTAAACAAATGAGAATTCTGGATCTACTCGCTAGAACTACTGAAGTGGTCAAAATTTTCGTAATTTCTAATAAAAATTTACCGTAGTTTTCGATAAGAGAATGAACATTTTCTCGAGTACTTATCGTAATTTCTTTGGTACCAATAAATGCACCATAATTGTCGATAGTTCTAGTGTTAAAGTCGCACGATTATTATTCAAATTTAGATTTCTCGTACAGTTAATGAACGAGTGAATGCATAATGTATGCTCACTATTGTTTTTTGTTAGAAAAAAAAGATTACGTGCAAGAACTGCATCGAATCAAGAAGTGTGTTAAACGGGTTTCCACGATCAAGACTGTTTTACAACCCAATCCTCGTAATTCGATGAATATTTTAAAGTCGAATACAACAGTATTGTCCATAATAAATATACCGTTAATTCATTATTAAAATTCTAGGGGGATTTAAGCGAGATGTTTGCTTCTCGTGACACGAATTCTCCTAGACTGAATATAATGACTGTCATTTGCCACAGACAACGAGTTTCATGCGAATTGATATCGATAACGGGAATACGCGTTTTCAGCAGGTCGCCTGTCAACTCGCATTTTGAAACATTAACGAAGCCAACGCGTTTAGAAAACTAATTTTCTCCGTGTAATTCCAGAGGGTACTATTTAATGTAAATTAAGAAAGAAATTGGAAATTGAAATTCATTGGAGTATCGTTGGGATAAAGTAGACATAATATGCAACGCGAATGAATGTAGCTGAGTCGAGGAAAACTGATACAGACGCGTACACCGTGCGACAGAAGAAATGTCTATTGGCGCAAAGTGAATGGAGGCTTCGGATGAATGCAAAGAATTTCATGGATATTAAAATACGTTTATACGTCCTAGTTTCATTCTCGTGTCTTCGGTGGGAAACGATCTTGAATACTAGCATACATTACTAACTCCTTGACATGGTATTAAAATAGGAACGGAACAATGTTAACAGGATTTCATTCATTATTAGCTTTTCATTGCTTTCTGAATTTCGTAGTATTTACCGAATACGATATCCCTTTTCGAACGCACTTCGCTACTTTGAAATATTTATTACGTAAGTAATCATTTCCCAATGCTTTTAATAGAAAATGCCTGTTTTCTAATACCTCCAGCAAAGTATATTTACTTTCTAATATTTTCTATACGCAACATTCGTTTTCTAATATTTCCTGAAATATATTTAACCCTAAAATACTATTAGAGTATTGTTATCTATCTTATAGTTGAAAGATAGTAAAATAGAAAATAGTTTGTGCATACATAATTGCATACATAATCTTCTAACCGTTGCAATACCAACTGGAGTAATATTTTAAATGTAATTATTCCGACGTGCATGTATTTCTAACTTTTTCTATAATTAGTACAAGTCGCATAAAAAATCAATAATTTGCATGACACGAGATAGTATCAGATCTGTACAATAACAATATATCAGTATCAAAAATATTTTAATCCCTTCTTAATAATTCTTTATTTTATAAATATTGATTTTAAAATACCAAATTAGGGCTTGTCTAGTCAAATCAATTTACGTTTTTCTAGTAAATAAATTCCCTTTTTTATTCTAACAAGTTTTGCACTTTCGTTCGTAAAGCAGAAAACCGTCTCGGATAAATATACCTTGAAATTGACTCTGAATCCAAAAAACGTATGAGTATGTAAAAATTAGAGGCAACTCGTGTTAAAAATTTCAGGTTTACAAAATACGTATAAACTTTGAAAATATTAATCGAAGAGGTAGAAAAACTATTGCGTTCGTGGTGTGCATGGTAGATGATTAAGCGAAAAGCGCTCCTCCATAGTTCTTGCGCCATTTGTTTCGGCCTTCGCGAGTACACGATCGATTTGTGCCGAGCCTACTCAATCGACGAAACTTTTAATAGCAAATGTTATGGAAGTTGGCAACCCATCGTTATCAATGTTAAATACACAATGTTCGTGCACACGCCGATATTTCCTCTGCAATTTTTAATCCTTGATTGTTTATATCTTTTTTGTTTTCACTCCAAACAATCGAAGATATTTCCCATGTCGGTCTCTATCAATACAATCACGACGTAATTAACTTCACTCAAGCACACTGTTTAAAATAATTACTTCGGTGCAGTTAGTATTCTGAACTCTAACAGTTTGTACGAACAAGATATTTAGTACATTCAATCAGTGGGTACGATGTTTGGGCAATTCAAGAGGACGAATCAAATATCAGTGTAAAATATGCCTATATGTATATTTGGTACAGTAATTGTTAGCCGAATGTTTAACTTATGTACAGTTTGCTGAAGTTTGGAAAGTATTGGACATTTTATTGAGCGACGAGGTCACGTGAGTAGGTGATTCCCTAATTATTTATAACTGTATAGTATTCCTTTCGTCCTTGATATTCAGTGTCTTCTTTCGTGTCATTCATATTGTACAAGGTGATCCAAAGGATAATATATAAAAATATATTCGATAATAACAAACATACAAACGCTCTGCCATGTTACTTTACATACTTACAGCGAAGAAAAGACCAAACAAATTCTCTCAATTAGCAATTTCGAACAATCAACGTGCTTCCAACGCTGTAAAAATGGCTTCAGACGTTTCCCGGAAATTGTTAATTGCGGTAGTCGATTAGTCTTACCGCGGATTTCGAAACACGGAAAGTAATTCTGTGCCCAATTAAGATTGATTATCAGAACACTTTAATTCATTTCTGAACAATACACCTCTAAACTCTCGGACCTTTTCGTTTAGATCACCCGTTAGGATTCTGATCGCGATCGTTGCGAACGAGCCTTAACAAATACACAAATCTCGATGCAACATAGATTTAAACAGAAACATCCCATGAAATCGAATTCGTTGCTTATCCTGCATGGATCTACGTTATACTAATATGAAATGGAAAATATATTAGAGATCATCGACATAGGCCACTTTCGTAATTACCGGGTATATCACGCGTTTCACGTTTCACGAACGAAGTACATTTTTCGAACCGTGTCACGATGCAAATGAAAATGCAGCATTATTTATAGTGGGCGGGCGGTAAGTGCATACGTACGAGCGTTTCCACGATTTTCTTTCTTTTTTTTTGTTCTACGTTCCACTGGTATCGCGAGGCTCCATTCGTTTTCCCGTCGATCGTTCGATCGCGGCGACGGAAAAACCGGCCCGGAAAATCGCGTGGCTTCCACAGAAGGGATCTAATAGCGACGCGAAAATCCTCAAATTCCCCGATCCGCTCCCGCAACCGTTTCGTTTGAAACTATTACGGCCGGTCATATTATGCGCGTTGCCTGGCTACGCCACGCGATTCCAGTCGACGCGACATTACCAGCGGCGCACGCCGCGAAACGTCGCGACGCCTCGCGCGGCAGGACGAGGCGGGAGGACGCCGACGACTGACGTGGAACTAGGACGAAGCGGGACGAACAGGGCCAAGGTGCAACTACCCTGGCTGAAAGGGTTGGACTCGACCATTCTGCCGCGACTAAGGTTGCCAGATTCGCCTTTCGACAAACAAATTCTAGAGATTTGGCCTTTTCCAAACACTTCCACAACCGTACGCGAACATACGAACGGCGGAAAAACTTTTGTTAAAACGTAATATCCAATTGTAAACGTAGTAGCCTTTTTCACGATTCAAATTCCCCGCCTTCCACTTTGCAAATGGTGGCGCATTCGTTTTATTTGATAGTTACATACCTAACGAGGTAATAGACAATTTTGTTAATGTCATTTTTATTTGTAAAAATAACCCATTTTCCCAAATGGGTTCGTCCAAACAATGAGAAACAAATGAAATTTGGGGGTAGTCTTTTGGCAACTACCATTTTATGTTTTATGCCACTGAGGAGTTAACGAAATTAATTCTCAAAATTACAGTCGTTTTCCAATGTTTCACACGTTTGCAGATTCCAGTTATGTAAAAGTCTGTTTTGATGTAGCGATTGTTTTTTTTCGAAATGCTTGTTTCCACGTTTGTCGTAGACAAAACTAGATGATTGCCGTAAAAATAGAGGTTCGCACTATAGACAGAAAACTTTTCATTCCTATAAATAATAGAAGATCGCTTTGAACTCAATTCGGATAGAAAACCACGCGAACTTTTCCCGATGGTTAATGGTAATAGCGGCCACGCGAACATTTTCAAATAGGAAATTTAGAAAAGCTTTTTGTTTGAGGCAGACGGGTTGTTATCGCGATACATGGTGGAGCTCGTGAGACACGCGTTACGTGACTCACGGTGGGGTACGATGCTTTTGTGCAATTAGGTCTCGCGACCCCTTAAGGCGTGTCGTGCAATACGGCGGTTACGGAAATAATTCGCGTTTTTTGGCTAGACAGTCGGTTAAAAACAAAAATAACAGCGAGAATTCATCGAGATTCACAACCCTCTTCTAAATATTTACCAGTTGACTGAAATTTGTACAAGAAATAATTGCGATCGAATGAACAAATCAAGGATAAAAACTTGATTAAAATATAACATGTAAATTGTAGTGTTTTCATCCCTTTTCTCGAATGTGTTATCAGTAAATAAATTCACAGAATGTGTGCTTTATTAGTACATAAATTTACCATTTTAGCAATTGTTCTGACTTGTATTTTGCAAGCAACCGAATTCTTTTGTTAATATATTACGTAACTAAATTGGAGGAATAATTAAACGAATGTTATGTAGCATGTTTTTCATCAGTTCCATATTCACGTTATAGAACTATACATCAGATAGCAGAATAGCTCTTAATACTGTAAAATTATACCCCAACACAGTGATCGATACGTATTCCCATTTTTCATGTAACATGCTTTATGATCATACATTATTCATCTCTCTTGATCGTTTAGCCAATAGTGATCGCAATTGGTCCTAAATATCTGTTACATTAACTACATTTTGCGCTTTCATTTGTTTATGCACAGTTTCGTTGAAACGAATAAACAAAATCGAATTACTCGAATGTTTTTCGAGCTTCTAGAAATACTCGACTCGAGATATTCGAATTTATAAATACGTTTAATTTGTTTAAACTATTCGACAGGACGCCGTGCACTTTTGCAGTTGAAATTTTCATCCCTCTTTACCCTAACGAAACGCTATGCGTCGCGACGATCGTGCCTGCATAAAATTACCGCGAAACTTCCGCTTGTCCTTCGAGTCAATTTATCGTATAGGTTGTCCCAATCGATTCGCGGCCGACGGTTGTTCGTTAACACGAAAACTTCAGTCTTTCGATACGCAATAGTAGCAGAGGCGAGTTAGTCTTGGTTGGTCAGAGCCAAACTACGGAACAGGTCGCCTTTCGTTTGTGGTCGATGCCTGTAGGTTCGAGACATGGTTACCTGTTTCCACCTCGATCGAGTAATACCATCCAATTCGACGACTTTCTCTTCAACTATGTCGAAAGGTAACATCCACAAAACAATTGTTTCTTTTGTAATATTTTTTATTTTACCGTTACTCGCGACCACCGAGCATTAGGGTTAGATAAATTTGTCATATTCGTGGTATGTTGTCAGCTTGTTAATACTGTTTAATGCTTAGCACAGGATAAAGTTCAAATCCGCATTAAGTCTATCCTGTTTTGAACGTAAGCAGATTTACGAGGATTTGCAGTAGGATGGCTTCGTTCTTGACACTCACGAATGGTGCTTGGAAAATGGTAGTCGTAGAAAATTTATGCTTTTTCTTCGAAGGGATAATATATATTTTCTGAATTTTATTCGTCAAAATATTGTAGGAAATTCAAATAATGAATTAATTGGATAATAGAATACTTGGTTTCAAATCCGTGTGTTTTTTTGCTCTTAACACGAAATATTTCCGACGTTTGTTTATTTAGTATAGTGAACAATAGAAATATTTATCAGTTCAATGATGTACCTGTTATTTTATAGCATTCCAAGTGACAGCAGTGTTATTTAAAATTTTACAAATATTAGAACTCTTTCGTTGCAAACAATTTTTAAACACGTTTTTGAAGTGCAGCCAATGTGTAGTTTTTAATAATAGTTTAAACGTTTTTATTGGTTTCGACGTTTTGGCCCTGTGTATTTAGTTATTAAAAAATTCCTTTTTCGAAAATACTGTTTATTATTCTCGATAAATATTTACTGATCAAATTGATTTTGTTGTGATAACTGATTTCTACTTAAAGTATCAGCCACTATTAAAAAGTTCATTTTGTTTTCTTGAAATTACTGTAACTAAGTACTGAATAATATAAAGTGTTCTACTTTACTGTCCATGAATAATCAAGGTATAGATACACCTCATACTTAGAGCTTTCTAGGGATCCTGGCAGCATGGTTTATAAACTATTCCTAATTGTTATAAACATATAGAAGATGACCATGAAGAGATAAATTAATTAGCACCTAGTGCTTTATCAATATACAACAGGGATTGATAATCATCAATCATTTAATCATTTAATCAAACGTTTTAAGCTTCAGTCTGAAATTCAAGAGGACAGCTTTTGAGACGGGCGTGGCACTGTAAATAACAATTACAAATAAAAATTGTTTCAATAAACAATTGCTCGTGCGATATAATACTTGTTATCAAACGATAAATAATATCTGTTTAAGTATAGCATTATCACGAACCTTGAAAGATTTTTAGTTTTCAAAGAAGCTCTTTTATCGATTCAGGTTTGCTCTTCGCTGTAGTTCCATACAATATTCTTGCACGAATCGTTTAAGTCGTTCTGAAAACGAATATACTCAGAGTAAAAATTTCGATTGCCAACATAAGGGTTAGTTTGAAAATCGAGAGTAACGAATAAAGATAGGAGTTATAGGGTAATCACAAACGCACGGTTATTTAATTTTATTTAATTAATATTGAAGGTATATTCTATTGTTTCAGACTCGCCAGGATGGTGGGTAGCGTGCCCAGCGGATGGATGAGGAAGATTCTCCTCTTCCTGGTCCTGATGACTGGGGTCCTGCTTATCGCCATGTACGCACACGCTCCACCTCTTGTTTCGCTTCAGCCGTTCTCATCACGACGGTGAGTGCATCATTATCATTCGCGTGGAACCATATGAGTCGATAAGCTATTTTGTTAAACCATCACTTCTTCGCGTTATCGTCGGCGTTTGATCGAGACACGATTGCGAAGAATCGATCGAAGGAACGCGTGGTTCGATATTCTAACGATCACGTGCGTGAGACGGTTCATTACTCATAACGGTTCAGTCGTTCTCGCTCCATTATCACACCCTCCCCAATCCCGATTCTCGCGTTTAACTCGCGATCGCTTATTTATTATACACACATATTGACACTTTTGTTACCGCATCTTTCTGTTTTTCTTTTTCATTTTTTGTTAATTACCTCGCACTTCCGATGACTCGGTGCGCATCAAAGACTGAAGGAGTTACAACGAGGCTTGGTTACTTTCCTGGTCGGTAATGAAAGCACGAAGAGACCGGAGGAACGGCTCTACGAGTATCTGGAAGAGCCTAGGTAACGTCTCCCTCGCCGAGGGGCGAACCCATACTTGCTAAAGCTTTCTTTGTCCCTGAAATTTCCGCACACAATCGCCCCCCCCCCACCCCCTCAATCCGCGATTTCTTCCCCCTGGAAGGAAGATATCTCGCATTCGCTTTTGAACGCGTCTAGAGCACAGCTCGACGTCTGCTTGATCCATGGATCCTCTGCATGTTCACTCCTTCTCTGTCTTTCTCGAGCAATCTGGCCTTGGTTTTCGATCGGTCGTTGGTCGATCGACGACAGCGAATGAACAAGGCATGATTTATGCTAAATAGTAGCCCGCTCACGATAGGCCACAGTACCGTCGTTGTCTGAACGTTGCGCGATGATCTCTGATTTATTGATCGAATATACTAGCGTCTAGCGATTTAGATAGATCTGATTTTTAGTGGAGTCGAATTAACAGTTGGATGGTGGATATTCAGTGCATTAGATGCACATAAATTTAGATCGTCCAGGACGTACAAGTGTAGTTGTCCGCTGAGCATCAGAATTTCTGCGTTAATTGCAAAATTAAAATTAGTACCCTACCATCCATCAAGTGTGGTATCGTGTTTTTCTTAGATCATGATTGTAATCCCATTACGTTGAGACTCGGTATGCACCCTTTGGTATGCACTGTGAGAACTATCATGGACTTGGTTTTTCTTTATAAAATAATTAGTAACGATACAAAGTGTTTCCACTTTCTGGGCGTAACCAACTATTATGATCCCTCGAGACCAATTAGATTCGCACGGTCTTTCTGTCCATAGCACCAGCTCATGGGTATTATCTGATTCTATAAATCGCGTATGCATTACTGCGAATGCACACTGTACCTGATTAGAATCCTTCCAGGTTAATTTGTCGTAATTCGGAAGTCGTCAAACTTCTTTTAGATTAATCTACCTGTGTACGTTTCGTTCGTGAATATGCACGTACACTATTGGGACCTTCGTTAAATAAAATAAGAACGATAATAGGTAAAGAATTTGCAAATACAATAAAATATCTTGTACTTGATTTTGACTACCCTGTTTGTTGGTGGTGGAGATTGAAATTGTATTTCTCCGATTTTCTTCTCCTTTCAACTGCTATTGATCACGATGACGGTGTTGTCGTGGAGTTTAACGGCAAATGGCTACGTCTTTGGCAACCTGCACGGTATCTACCTCCTCGTGGCTCCTGCTAGACGTCCCTGCGACGTGCAGGACTGACTAAATGAGTCGCTTCCCGTAAGGTTAGACCCAATTTGTCCAATGATTCCCTGCAAATGAGGGCAGGGTATTTCCAAGCTTGAGTCCGATATAACACTTACGATGGACGCTCCCTTGATAGTGGGTTGCTCAAGAGCAGCGTGTATGCCATTAACATCCGGCAAATCAAAGCCAATGCGATGAGAAATCGTCTAGGTGCCTCGTCGTCCCCAAATGACTAAGAAAATTGGAACTCCAGAAAATGTCTTAAGAAATTCCACAGAGATTCGTTCGATCGAGTGTCAATGTTTATAATGTTTAATTTCTCAGTTTGTCGAGCAAAAGTCACGCCTGAACTCAGCCTGTATCTATTCGAGATATAATATTTCAACGAATCGCGACTCCGCTGTGATTATACGTATAATTAACGAAACGCGACCAGCCTAACGAGCGACTTTTAAACCCGGGAAATGACTTAGAATTTATTGAATATTGCTAGAGTGTAACGAGATGTCTGTTAGTACTTGCAAATCTAGGATCGTTCACTCTGATATTGTGGAGCGTTAATTGAGAATAACTGATGCGTCGCATGAATATTTATTAGCCTGATTTTATCTGTTCAGCAATAGCGTGTGTTTCTCGTTGTTTCTTGCAAGCCACCAACTATCAGTTTGATTCTCTTCTGTGTTCTCGTTCTGTTTCCCATCTACCGAGAACTATTTCAATCGTTTCATCCGTCTAAACTTGTTTATCTGGTCTTCGCAGAGGACGTTTATATTAATGTCCCATCAAACGTCGATATTCCTTGTTGAATAGAAAATAAGCTGTCGTTAAAATTAGAACGGTATATGTAGTGCTTCGATCATAATTAACGTCTCTGGTATATCAATCGGATTGTAATTTTTCAAAGGATTCTTTTCTGGTCTTTCTAATTTTTTCACCTTTCTTCTTGCAATATATAATATAGTCTGGCAACAGATTATTCTATAGTTACTCAGTGTATTCTTTCTTCATCAAGCATTCAGTATATTAGCTCTACATCCTTTTTAGCGCGCGCTTCCTTTTAAGTGCACCAATAACTTACACTCAATTCCCCACGTATGTTCATTATGTGTATATTTTTGTTACGTTTTGTGCACAGCTTTTGTATGTCATCCTCTATATCTCCTCCTCGCGTATGTTACTAAATTTTCGCTGTAAATCACCGAAACGTGACGTCAAAGAAATGAAAATAGTAGATGAAAAGAAGATCAAAGAGAACGTCGATGTTCTTGAGACTCGAATCAAGGATCAGAGTCCGGGTTCTTGAGGTTAGTACCCGTTACTTATTTCGAATTCGAACGTGCGACAGATCCCAGAAACATTCTCAAAATTGATACAATTTGGCGGACGAAAACGTAAGACAGTGTTAATTGGCAAACAATAATATACAATCTACCTGTATCTTTGTATTCATCCTCGTGTCGCTTTTCTCAGCTCGTCGATACTGTATAGAAAAGTGAAGAACTATAGTCGGATCAAAATCAATTTGTCTTTTTAAACTCCTTTCTTATTTCAACCAATTATCGTCGTAGCTACACAGATAAGATCAACGAAAGGAAAAGAATTTGATAATTTCATATTTTTATAAAATAATGAACTCTCGTAAAATGGAACGACCAAAATTTTTGAAACACGAGAAAATCGAAAGAATATAATAATCTCAATCGATTAGTAACAAAAGAAAAGTTCAGAGTGGGAGGCGCCATCGAAAGTGTTAATCGTCCAACCACTGGGACGTTTACGTTAGCGTCTGACGTGGTTCGAAGTGGAGGAAATGGCCTTGGGCGACCAATTGAGTTTAATCCGACTTTAGTACCCTTTATCGTCGCGGTGGACTCGGTACACGCGTGGCACGTTTCCGTAAGATTACCGATTGCTGGCGATTCAGCACGTCGGTTGGGGATCGGGAAAATGTTTATATTTGCTTGGCGGATCGCAGGACGTTTCAGAGCCCGTGGTCGTGGGCGTGCGTAGCTGGACGATGCGAGAGGAGAGCAGTGAGATCCTCGCGGACATCTTTGGCAAGCTGCATCGCCCTGTGCGGTGGAAATAGTCGACTGCTTTGGCCCAGACCAACCGGCAGCGTCCTCCTAGGCGAAGAAAGCGTCATCATACATCATCAACAGATAGAGATCGTCACCGTCAACACAGCCGATCAGGAAACGAAGAACCTGCTGGAGCACGCTAAGGACATCTTCATCGGTGAGAATCGAACAGTGATAAATCTTTCTTTAATGCGTTGTACGGCGAGCTAGTTTTAAAAGACAACGACCAAGAAGCCTCGTTTTTGTTTAAAATGATTCCACAAAATCCATCTATTGGTTCTCAAGGACCAGCATGTCGTTTAACGCATTAAAAGTCTGTCACGTTCATGACACGAATCGTTGAAAGAATTTACTTATACCTAGGTCACGAATCTAATCCAGACCTAATCTCTAACTCAGACATAAATCTGATCTATAGTACATCGACTATGATCCTACACTTAACTTAGAGACTAGATATAACGGAGACCTAATTCTTCATTTTAGACCAAACTTACACTTTACTTAGTACTTTCTCATTCGGTTTTATAAAAGATAAAAGTAAATTACAATGTTTCGACCAAAGATTGCGATGTGTTGATGAAAAGAAAAGCCATGTCTGTAAAACGTGACACGATCTATTCGTTGCAGGGAACATCAGGAGTTTGGTAAAAGTACCGAACGCGAAGAGCAGGTCCGGAGTGGACAGTTTCGTGATATACATCAGCGCTGGAAATGATCGACCCGTTGGACCAAGTCTGGAGACGGATGAATCGTACACTCTCGAGCTGTTAACCAAAGGGAAAATGTTGGAAGGTCGAATAAACGCGAAAAGTTACTTCGGCGCGAGACACGGTTTGGAAACGCTCGGGCAGATGATCTGGTGGGACGAAACCGCTGGCCGAGAGGGTGCTTTGAGGGTGCTATCTCGCGCTTTCGTGGAAGACAAGCCAGTGTTTCCTTATAGAGGGTTGCTCGTCGATACCGGCAGGCAGTTTTTTCCCATCGAGCAGCTTAAACGGGTGATCGATGGTATGGCTGCTTCGAAGCTGAACACGTTCCACTGGCACCTCACGGACTCGCAAAGTTTTCCCTTCGATTCGGCCCAGTTCCCCGAAATGGCCAGATGGGGCGCCTATAGCGGAGATCAGATCTACACACCCGACGACGTCAAGGATCTCGCGGATTACGCGAGAATCCGGGGTATCAGGGTGCTCGTGGAGATCGATTCTCCTGCGCATGCTGGCGCCGGATGGCAATGGGGTGAGTTGAGCACCTTTACTCGAAGTTACGGTTAAAAAAATAAAAAAAAAAACGACGGAAACAGAAGCGTTAACCTTTGACTGCTAGGCCGAGATCAAAGTGATCTGTAACGTTCTTTGATCGTAGCAATCGTCCAATAAAACCTTTGTGCGCTCCATCGTCAATCTGCTTTTGACTATATTGATTATACAGTCTATAGTTCCTGAATAAGTTAATTTAGCATCGACACAGGTACAGCTGTTGGACAATGTACTTAAAACACGCAATCTGAACGATTCTCTTCTTTAGAGGTGAATATTTTAGGCAGCAGTTGTTTGATCTCGAAAGGAACACATTTAAATATTATTGACACATCTTTTAAAACCCAAAACTTTCAAATCATTCTAAAAAAATTATTTTTAGCTAGGAGGGTTAATTACGATCATTTTTTGTGAATAGACATACCCCTGAAATCTTACGTACTTTCGAGAAAAAAATTCTTTACCGAAAATATAATGTTCTTCCAAGTTGTATATTACGTTGTATCTTCCAAGTACTGTTTATGTTTTGAAACTGGTTAGGTCGATAATAGATAAACTATGAGCGTACGAGTGATTCTAAGGCCAAGTACAAATTGTTTACTATTTAATATTTATAATACCGTGCAATAATCTATAAAAAAATTAGTCATTTTAATCGCCTGTATCGTAGCTTTCCCCAGTTGCGCGGTACACGTTGTATAATACACTTATCTTCATCGTGACCTCGATAGTCGTTCGAAAACGCGCTTGAAATCGTCTGTAATGCTTCATGCAATAATTCGTCTCGTTCAGGGACGGAGTACGGATACGGGGATCTAGCACTCTGCGTTGATCAGCAGCCATGGTCGTCGTATTGCGGCGAGCCGAATTGCGGACAGTTGAATCCCATCAACGAACACACCTACAGAATATTGGAGGGGCTGTACAGAGAGCTGTTGGACCTGACCGAGATCCGCGATATCGTGCACCTTGGCGGCGACGAGGTGAACCTCGACTGCTGGGCTCAGTACGGGAACATAACAGCCGCGATGCAGGCGCAGAACATGACAGACCATCACGCCATGTGGGCCGAGTTCGAGACCAAGATGCTGCAGAGGCTGGTCAAGGCCAATCGCGACGAGACACCGAAGGCCGTGATCCTCTGGAGTTCGCCATTGACCAAAAGGCCTTACATAACGATGTACTTCGATCCGAAGGTTCACGTTATTCAGTCCTGGGGGGGAAGCAATTGGCCGGAAACGCCGGATCTTCTCGAGGACGGTTTCAGGGTGATCCTGTCGCACGTAGACGCTTGGTACTTGGATTGCGGGTTCGGCAGATGGAGGGAAACCGGGGAAGCCGCCTGCGGCGATTACCGTACCTGGCAGACTGTCTACAATCATCGTCCCTGGAGGGATTATCCTCAGCAGTATTTGAATTTAGTTCTTGGCGGAGAAGCGGCGATCTGGAGCGAGCAAACCGGCGACGCGTCTCTAGGACCTCGACTATGGCCTAGGGCATCAGCTCTCGCCGAAAGATTATGGTAAACGGAGCTTGAAATTTTAAGCATAAGACTGCAGTCGAATCTGATTTCAATCGTATTCTCATTCTCACAAAGGTATGCTAGGATTGGAACGAGCGTAGTTTTCTATGGAAACGGGCTTAAGGGTGTACTCTAGTTTAGACTTCAATTTTTTATATATTCTTTGAGAAAAAAAATTCACACTTTTGTATTAAGTATATACAGTATTGCATTTCCTGCGTTATTTTAATGCTTCAAAGTATAGAATCGAGCACTAAGCATAGGGTATAAACATATCGTTTCACAGTAACAGAAATTAAACTACAATGTTATCGTTGTTCTGTGTAGGAGCGACATGCCAACCAATGGTTACTCCACCGACGAAAACGTGTATACCAGGCTAGCAGTTCACATGGAGCTTCTCACGAGCCGGGGACTAAAAACGGAGGCGATGTGGCCCCAGTGGTGTTCTCAGAATCCCGGGAAATGTCTCTGACCGTTCGTTAGTCCGAAACTGATCGCTGAATCGTTCAACTGGAATCGTATACGTGAGTGCAACAGTCGCGCAGGGGGAACACGTTGCAAAAAGCGATTCCGTCTGTCATCCTCGGATCATTTGGCACGATCAACCATCGACTCTGTGCAACTCTGTAACGATCCTAACGAAACAAGCTCGTCGTATGTTGTGATCGTGACGAGCATGACGCGACAGAGCCACCCAAGATCGGTAGTTCTCCGATAACGTTTCTGTAACTCCGAGTAACAAGTAATCGTTCATGTACCGGTAGGGCTATCAACGCTACAACGTCGATCCACAAAACGTTGATTACGTGGGAAACGTAAGACGACCTAGAGACGTGGCGAAACGAGGAATACTCGTGAGAAAAGTGTGTCAAGATGACACGAAAGAGCAATTGATCAATCAGTCGTTAGACTAAATTCCTTGAAAACTCGCGTTTGGTGCGTGGAACGAAGGTTTGGGTTAGAAGGAGATCTAGTTTAGTGGAGATTTACTTAACGAAGAAAGAACGGAAGGAACTTTTCGAGCGTTTCTCTGGTTTGCCAAGAACCACAGGCACAATACAGTCATCTTTTTTTTTCTTTTTTTTTCTATTCTTTTTCATGGAAAAGGACGCGAACTAGTCGATACTCCTGATTGTACGTACGATCCATGACAAAACGCTATGGTAAATTAACGTCAATTCGAGGATTTACGAGCGCGAGTCTCGCGTATACGCCTTGTTGTAGCTCGATGCCATACTTTTCGTTCGAAGTGCCTTTCCAATTGTAATCTACTCGTGGCGCGTGATGCTGCATCGTTGTTGTTATACGATTGAAATGTAAACACCGCGCGCGTTCCTATTGTCTCGTAAATGGACACCGAGAATTTCATCACTCCCATGCAGGATCGATATTTAGGACAAAAATTTAATGCGTTCTGTATCTATACAGTGGTCGCAACACCTAACGACACCGCTCTGAATGTCTCCTCATTCAGACTGAAGAAGAAGGAAGATGTTTATTCCTTATGAACAAACTTAAATTCATATTAAGAATTGTTGAATTCTTTTTTAACGCATTATTCATGTTATTCGGTATGAAGAAATATTTGGGCCTTCGATGTTTATGCTTAAATGCTAGAACATAAAGATACTCAACAAAAGTCGTAACTCCACTTACGTGGATCTGTTTTAATGTTTGGCACCATGTCTCTGTGTGAAAGGACATTTTAAAGTCAAAAATAGGCGTAATTTCGTTACAAGATCAAATTTATTCCACAAACATTTGCAATCGATTTTAACGATGGAGAATCGTAACCCTGAATCTCAATCAAGAGTAATTGTCTCGTCACACATCACATATAAGTGACAGCAATGATTTTCTATTTTAAAAGCATGCACCATATTAAATAAAATGACTATAAATATAGCGTAGTCTATGGTGGATGATGATTTGTTTAACAAAAAATAAGAAAGATACTCAGGGTTGTGACGTCAGGTAAGACACTGTATAAACGGTAAACAAGTGAAACTGCAGAGACATTGAACAAAAGAGCATAAATCTTCGTCTTGATTCTGCTGGTACACATTTCTTTTACCAGGGAACAAACGATCCACTTCATCAAACGACACCGAAACTAGAAAATGACGCCATATGCATAAGCTTTTCTGTTTAAACTGCCAGATTTAGATTTTATGTGTAGGGATCATAAAAAATTCAAAAAAGAGCAATGTCGTTCGCAATAGGCAGTTCACAATAGCGAATCGATGATTCTTCGAAGACTCATATCCATTAAAACGAAGGAAACGATATACTGTGTGCTTCATTATTAACGGAACCAGCTTCAAAAATGGTGGTTTGATCTCTTAAAGATAATATAGAACAGGCTCCGTTGAAAAAATCTTAATAATAACAAAAAAAAATAACACATATGTTTTTTATCGTTTATCAGTAGCTAATCCATTGTTGAAGCAGGTTCCACCATTAATAAAACGCCTTGTATATTATTGACGGGTGCAAAAGTTTTATGAGAAAATTTTAAGGTACTTTGCGCGGCATTTTCGCTCTCATTTCTACTTGTAATTGTCAGAAAAATACAGTTAGAGCATTTATAGGTCAAATTTCGAGAGCCACTGTCGCGGATCAGTAAAATCGAGCGTCGATCGACCAACTGGAGTCACGCTTGGTATCTTTTACAATTAGGTTTCGAGCAGGGGAAACGTTCACGAACTGTTATCCCTTTGCTTTTCAGAATACCGTATGGCCTATCGCGACAAAAGTTACGTAGATTTGTAAATACGCAATCACTTCGACGGTAGGGAGCAAAATGGCGCTCAGAAACGAAAGATAACGCGTAGCTAAAATGATCAAACGGGAGCCGAAGATTTGCGAGAGAAACGACGAATCGTCTTGTACTTACTGACACTTACCGACGCCGATGGCTGTAAAAAATGAAGTGATTTTTAAGCTCGACCTGTTGGATCCGTGGTGCAAAATCATCCGATGCATTCGTTGTGTCATGCTCAGTGTTTAATCGCGTTTCGATCGTGCGAATCAAGTATGAAAATGAGACGGAATTTTGTACGAAAAACTGGTACAATTACTTACGACTGCCAAAAAACGCGCTGACTTCAACTGCGTGCGGATGATTTCTCGAATCGATCCACGAGGAACAATCTGTTGTAAAGCGTGGTTGGTGTAAGTTTAACAATAAAACGAATTTTGAATACAAACGCTATTCCTCACTATATCTTTTTTATTTTCAAAACGATACGTACAATTTCATTTAAGACGACGCTTCGATCTAAGTTGAAGACTTTCTCTCGATAGTTTAACTAAAGCATTATGTATTATTTTAAATACCAACAAGAAGTTCATATTATTTCCAAGTTAATAATTGTATATATTTGAACAAAAAAATACAACGTATATGTATGTATAATGTGTTTAAACATGGAAAAAGTATTATTCTGGAATTGTCTTGTAACTGGTTTTAATTCTTAATATTTTTCTGTCAACATTGACATTTTTATTTAGATCGTCTATAAAAGATCAATTTTGCAGGTTTGTCTAGTACTTTGTTGCGAATACAATTTCATAATCGATTACTCCTACATAGTTTTATCAGTATTAACCGCGAATATACTTAATATTATACATTGGCTATCGAGCTTTTGATGGATGGAACACGCGGTGGCTAACCGATTACTTTACTATATTTGTCGTCTGCAGTGTATTACCATTGACAGTAAGTAATTTCATTATACTATACAAATGCACCTAATCGATCGACGCAATATTATTTTTTTAATACCATATAATACAAACAAAGAATTTAAATTGAATGAAATTCAGGTACAAATATAATATTCTAAATTTTTTCAAATCGTCCTAAAAAAAATATTTTCGGTTGCAGGGGTCAATTACAAGTATTTTTGGTAAATAGACATACCCCCGAAATCCTACGCAGTTTCGAGAAAAAAATTTCATGTCTGACCATACCGTTGACATGTTTCACTGAAATTTCAAAAAAATTCCAAATCGTTCTAAAAAACATATTTTTGGTTATGGGGGTCAATTACAATCATTTTTGGTCAATAGACATACCACCGAAATCCTACGCACTTCCGAGAAAAAAATTCGAGAAGATAGATAATCAGTTTTTTATAGTTTATGTTATGATAAAGTTCTTTGTTACTACTGCTAAAAAATCATTTCATTGTTACGTTAATGTATTCTAATCTCTTGAACTATCCTTGGCTGACTCATGGTTGACTCTTTTCACTTCGTACTCAGCCCACCCATGAGTGACTACAATTGAAAGAAAATGGAGGGCGAGGCACTTTGTAAACACTTCGTTTGCCATCGTATACACCGGTTGGGTCACTTCAATCCCAGGTTTCGAAAGGTTCGCATTGGTCCGATCGTGCTACCGTACCGTTCTCCAGAGAATGTAACGCTTTTCCCTCTGCATCGAGTTTCTATCGCATCGAATATTGCCAATAGACTTCGCCGATTCATATCGCGTTTTAACTTTTGTCGTCGTCTCCACGGGACACGTTGAAGTGTTTTTTTTTGTCTTTGTTAAAAATTATACGCGATATCGAATGCTACGAGGATCGCGATGATTGCAACGGTAATTGAACCGGTAGCAGAAGCTGATGTTGTATCGGTGGTGGAACGTTTCTTCGCGGAGCAAAAGAAGAAATGCAATCGACTGCTGGCAGAGTGTAAGTGCAGTGTTGAAATTATTATGTTTGAGATAAATTTTGACCGATTAGAAAAATTGCCACGAATCAATAAGTGTAATAAAAATAAAAAAGGATATTCTTTGCGTTGCAACACCTTTTGTTGCATTTGATGTGTTGGTGTTCTTGACGAACGGATTTAAATTTAAACAGATCACAACGTAACGTCAGAAAATAACGTCGGTGTACCATTATGCCATTGCCCACCGTACTTCGACGGATTGCTATGTTGGCCGTACACGAAATCTTCGACGACGGCGGTTCTGCCATGCCCGACTGGAATCGAATTCGGATTCGATCCGGAATCCTCGAGGACCAACCTGGAGTCGAATAACCGCGGTGCAGCTATGGCCACCAAGGTTTGTCTGGCGAACGGACAATGGTATAAAAATTCAGTGGAAATCCCATGGAGCAATTACAGCCTCTGCGAATCGTCGGACGATCTCAGTACTCGTTCTCTCTTGAAAACGATTGCGGATTTGGGAATTGAAATTACGCATTCGCAAGACTACGGGAGGTTCGAGTCCTTTTTGTTAGACGTAAGGACGACTTCTTGTTTCCAAAGATCTAAGAAGAAACTTGTTCTTCTTTAATCGACTTGTGTTTTCGTAATATTAAACAGTGCTGAATGTGTACTTATTTACGTTCGCTAATAAACAATTTAAAGAGATAAAAGCAACCTCAATTGACTATCTACGTTTGCAGAAATGGTTGCCGATTGTCAGAATTGTCTCGCAGATCGGATATGCTACTTCGTTCATCATGTTGGTTGTCACAATGATCGTGTTTTCTCTACTCAGGTATTCGTATTTCTTTTTCAAGGAATATTTCCTTGCTTTTTTTAAATTACTCCCACCTCTATTTTACTTCTTAATTGGCATCTAGCGGACCCGAGTTCTCGTCATTGAACGAGGGACTACTGTAGTTGATCCTTGATTTATAATATCGAGTTCGAATTTCATGTTCAGGAAGCTCAGAAACCCGAGGAACAGGCTGCACATGCACCTGTTTGCCTCGTTCATAATGAGAGCGTCCATGGCACTCATCAGAGATTGGATCTTCGTTGACGGGGTTGGACTCGCCGTGGACGTCGTCTACGTCGACGGGAAAGACGCGTTTATCAAGCAACGAAACGTAGGCATGTTAGAAACTCCTTAAATAAAAGGGAAGAAGACCCGTTGAAACTGATTGGATACCGAAACGATTAGTTTCAGACGTTGATCTGCAAGACTATCACGAGCGCGTGGCAGTACTTCATTGTTGCCAATTACTCCTGGATCCTGATGGAGGGTTTATACCTACACAATCTCGTGATCTTAGCATTTTCTGCCGACAGTGCAGCGATTAACTTGTATATCTTGATGGGTTGGGGTAAGACTGCGCTTATCAACAATTTCACGATTTCAAATTAACTATTCGTTTCTTTTTTTAAACAAGGATTACCCGTTTTCGTGGTGGTACCTTGGATAATTATCCGTGCAACGATGGAAGACACGCTTTGTTGGACGACTCATGGGAATCCTTCTTTGTTTCTTCTCATAAGAATTCCCATCATGATATCAATCTTGGTGAGTGCTTTGAGTTTCAAAATTCTCCCAATCGTGTCTATTGTCTTTGATCTTAACTTGGAACTAATTTCAACTCGGAAAATTACAATAATCAAATTATTGAAAATTACAAATGACTGTTGACAGTTCAACTTCCTGCTATTCATCAACATAGTGCGAGTGCTGTTCATCAAGTTCAAGACCTCGGTGCATTTGCAACGCAAGAAAATGCAGTATAGGTGAGTTTATACTTCTGGAAACGTGAATACGTTTTCAAAGTGAAATTCGTCTTCTTTGTGCAGCAGATGGGCCAAGTCCACGCTAGTCCTGGTACCACTTTTTGGGGCTCATTACACGCTTTTCCTAGGCCTCTCTTATTACAAAGACGATCGCGTGGAACTCGTCTGGCTCTTCTGCGACCAATTCTTCGCGTCCTTTCAAGTACTTTATCAGGAATAATAAAAAATAGCTTGTCAGAGACATGAATGTTTTGATATTTTCTGAATCTCCAAGCTAAGATTTTAGATTCATTTGTTTCTAGGGTTCGTTCGTGGCTCTGCTTTACTGTCTGCTGAATCTCGAAGTCAGAACGGAAATAAAGCGTTCCTGGCGAGCTAGGTGGTCCAAGAACTTCACCACGCGTCGAGAATCGGGAAAACGAAACATCAAACGTCATTACAGGCAATGCCACGAGTGCGATCATCCGACCATCTCCGCTACGACTATGAGGAATTTGTTTGTAGTGCAGGTAGATAGAAGATCGAACGAGTATTGGCCAAACATGGTAGAATTAGATACAGGATAGACAAATTTGTTAACAGTAATTTTGCAACTGGACCAGACTCCAGCTTCTGTCTGTATTTTATTTTAATCGTCAGTTCAAGTCATTCGTAAATGACTGAACTGTGTGTTACTTACTATTTTTACTATGTACTACGTTATTGATTTATTTGAATTTCAGTTTCGTGCTGTAGGAACCTTCTGCTGTAACAACTGTTTTATTTAATCCTGTTGAGATTCCTAGGTTCTTTCCTGTACAGCCATTTTCTATTTTTATATACGTATAATAATTGCTACCTCCGTGAAAACTGGATTATATTACTGCAAATGTATTTAAGGAATGGAAAAATTTATTGTATTTATCTGTGACTGTGTAATAAAATTCGATGTGTAAATAAAAGTCGATGCAATATCTAGGTAAAAAATAAGAAACGATTCAAAATAATAAAGTAAAAACAGGCAAACGGTTAAATAAACTTAAATTGGAGAGTTTGAGGTTTAAATTGTACTCGGAAGATGTCATTACTGGTCACTAATGGTCAGCAGTGGTTACCATTGATCAAATGGTCAGAAATCCACAAATGACCACTAGGTAGATGAGCAGAAGATAAACCGTCTGACCATAAAATCCAAAGGTCTTAAATTTACTTCCCAACTATACATATAATTACAAGCTATTTTCTATTGGCTTTTCTACCGATAAAAATGAAGAGAGTATCTCTGTACCAGCAGATACTGAAATATTGATTATTTTAGCTGACCAGATGGCCTTGTTTGTGCTGCTATCTTGCGTTTGCTGTCCATCAGGCTGTCAAGGATTCATTGTTACATACATTGATCGTCACGTCATCATGGCACATTGTTTTTCATTGCCAAAATGATATACAAGCTTCTGACACCACTGAGAAAAGCTATAACTCTAAAAAAAATATTCAAGTACTTACGCTCTGAATCTAATAGTTCAAGAATTCTAACACTTTAAAGTTAACTAAATTATTCCATTGTATCACTGTTCATTTGTACTGTGCCCCACTGTGGTGTTTAAAAAAACTGCATCGAATAGTCCAATCAAAATTATACAGGTCCATTCTAAAAAAAGGATACAATTTCATTTTTTAAATTCATAGATAAATAAAAAGAAATAAAATTACATTCAGTTTCTGCATAGTTCGATGTCGTTTAATTTTTCCTCGTGATATTTTGTTGATCCTTTAATAGTTTCCTATTTGCTCTTTCCATTGAAATAATTTTTACCTCGTAAATGTTATCATCTAATTTCGTACAAAACTAATGTTAAAATTGAAAGCATCAATCATTTCGTATGGAACAAGGTGATAAAAATCAGTCTTCGTACCCTATTACGGAGACTGTGGCTCTCCGGAGTCGCGTGGCACGCGACAGGGTGAGAATGGGCGTCGAGAAGGCGGGGATAAAGTAACGAACCGTGAACTATCTCATGACACTTGTAACCACCAGAAACATTAATCGGGAAGTGGTCGATTAGAATGCGGCTTGCCTGCTCTCGTCTCTCGTTACAAAGATGTAATCTGTGCCACGTGGCTGTCGTTGCATATTGTATAACACGCGTAACATCCATTGCGTGAATCTTTACCCTTTACTTCTTATCCACGCCTTCCAATCTGCCCAACGAATTTGTCTGATTACAAGAACGACTCGTGTTTCCAATCGCGAAGACAACCCCTTCGAGTTTAAAGACTCGTTTGGGGTTCCCTTTGTCGTAGTATTTTTGTCACAGCTTTCAATTCGTTGCTGTGAATCGAGGAAGACCTCGCACAAAGTTAAGGACGAAGTCTAATTTGTAGAAAATAAATTGCAGCGTTCCATGTGGAATGAAAATTAAGATTAACAAAATTGTGTTTCATTTCATTTAATTTTATTTTCATTCGAAAATATGGGGCAAAAGTTTATATATCTTTGGTTTCACTTATTATTATAACACTTTTTCTAAATCCACTTTACATAGCAAAAATAGAAAGAAATTTAACAAGAACAATACTGAGGCTCAACTGAGTATGGATTTCCTTAGAGGATCAGGTGCTAAAGGAGGAGCATCTGCGCCAGCGCCCCTAACATAATAATCTTCTCTCCTTTCTATGTTAAGTTAGGTCTCAAGCAAGATTCTGCCCCTTTTGTTACGTGCTTTTACAAAACATTACGTTACGTTATTTTTTTCACGATTTATAGTATTCATTTTTGGTTTAGAAAATGATAAAACTTGCAATGCAGATGTTTAAGGGCGAACCTCATGAATAGCTCTTAAAATTATTTAACAGCGAAGGAAATTAAAAACGAGTCCAAAAATTTCGCTTTCGATAAATATTAACGTATCGAAATTTATATCATTCGTGCAAACAATAACAAATCGTATAAGCTGGATTTATTAAATGAATATATGTGAAAGACATTAAGTAACATTTTGATCTATTTGCAGAAGCAGTGACATGTTCAACAATTCATTGACACTTCCATGTAAAATGAAAAATCGAGAAATGTTTTACACAAAAGGATTAACAGGATGTGAAACGATTCCATTTAAAAATGGAGATAATAAATATTCGTAAACTATTTATAATTAGTGACAACTTGAATATATTTACAAAATATTACTCAATGTTCCTGAAAAGGAATTAATGAAAATGATTTCAAAATAGAGTGTTAAGTCGACAAAACCCTTTCCAGATATTAAAAAATTTCCACGTTTAGTTTGCGTTTTAGAAGAATTAGAGCCCACATTTTGACTTTCGTAACAGGGAATTGATTGCTTATGTAAAGAGTACGTATTTGCTGTTGACCAGTGTAATTAATAATGAAAAGAAAGGGATAACTTCGCGTCCACTATGGGTATCGTAAATTTCACGCGCAAGGGAGACTCCAGGATTGTAGCCAGAGGACTAGAACCAACGTCCGGGGACCCAGAGACGTCACATGATCGATAAAATGGTCCACCCATCCGCGAATTCGGATCATGTGTTCCATCGTACGCGCCACCGACAGAATGGCGGGCAGTTCGGGGCGGTTCTGCACCACCTTTCCAGCATTTCCATTGGAGAACGCGAGGGATGCTGCGAGAGAAAGACGAACGTACCAGGAGACGAAGGGTGAACGACGAGAGGACGCGTTTCGGGGCGTGGACTAAGGGATGAAGAGATGATCGTTTAGATTCTTTCGGGGGTTGCAGCCTGCCCACACGAGAACCGAAGATCTTATCAGAGGAGCTGTTGATCTCGTGGAGTGCTCGTCCTTGACAAATCGATCGCGCGAAGCAGGTTAACGGTTGGAAAGTAAGAGATAAAAATATCAACGTCGTTGGTCAATATTTTTATAACGAAACCGAAATACTATACTCGAGGATCGTTCGAATACGACGTTTAATAGATAGGAAGTGATTGTGGAGAACGGGGTGGTTGCTGGAAGAATATATTTGTTCCCAAAAGCTGCACAGTGATTTGGAAGAAGATCCTGATCGCGAGGATTGGACGATTCTTGAATAATTCAAAAGATCAACAATGTATCGCGGCGGAGAACTTGATGGCTTCTTCGAGTTGGGGATGAAAGCTGCAGAATGATTCTAAAGTGAGTGCGCTTTTTCTTCAATGTTAAGTTTAGTGATAATTGAATTTCGTAAGTAATATGTATGTAGATTTTTTGTTGAATATTTTTTTACTCGTGTTCTATTTGTTAACTTATGTAGAATTCGTAATTTCTTTATTTCAAATGCGATCGTTCAAACTGTGTTAATTTTTTTATCAGCAAATAACACGTACACCTAACAAATACACCTGTAATATCAGTTATTATTTAATATGTCACAAGATTGTGAGTAACAAATTTTATGTTATTCTCCGCGCTTTTATTCGTTTTTTCGTGTCGCAAACGTTTGAGGGAGAAACGATAGGAAAGGAAAATATTGATGATGTTAAAAGATTCACGATGTCATTAAAAATACAGAAGAACGAGGATACTTGACACTCGGGTTTGGATTTTATTTGCTCCGGTTAAAAATTCACAAGATGGAGAACGTTACTCTGGTCTTTTTAAACGTTGATTATTCTACTTATTTTTACTATTTCACGCGCGACAAGACGAACGAATGCGTGATTATTTATACAAAATAATAATTATTACGGCGTCAGGGAACCGTGGATCATAAATCGAAGTAAATAATCATTATTCCCTTATTAACAATTTCAATTGAAATAAAATCCTTTACTTGAAACGTTCGAAACATGGCCCATATTTGTTAGAACTGTTTTATTCGATTCGAGGTGTAGTTCTCGTTGGTGCAAACAAAAGCTACGCTCGATTTTCCTAGAGAAAAGACAAAAATGCGTGTCAATGAAAGTTGAACGACTCCGAAATCCGGGAATATCCTGAAATATTAAAGCAGCCGCAAGATGTCCATACGAATTGCTGGATTTAGCATAAGAATCAGATCGAACGAGACCAGGGGTTATTTTTCGTTAATAATTGAGGAGGGATCGGTCGTGGGTTATGCAGAACGGGAACGTTTCTTCTTCTTGAATAATACAACGCTATCTTTCGTCGGATTTCATCGAATTGCTTGGAATTTAAGAGCCCCTCGAGAACTGGAACTATTCCTTCTTTAATACGTTCCTGTTTGACTCACACTTTGTCGGACTAGTCGTTGGTTTATTCACTTGAATGCAACAGAATTTAAGAATGTTATTGCAAAAAAGATTTAATACTATCGTGTATTATTAAATAAATCTTGGTGGTTTAATTTCTCTTCTCCCCTTTCAACAATTAATATCCGAAACCATTACAGTGACTTTTCTAGTCCCCCGAAGGTTAATAGAACGTTAATAGAAGAAAAGCCACGAAATAGGGGAGCTTAAGTAACCCCGGAAAATCAACCCTTTAGTTCATTGTAACAACGTTTTCGAAAATATGCGTGACAAATATTTGATCAGGTTATTATTTCTGGTGGTGGAAACCCCTTATTCCGAATTTGGGCGCACGAGTCCCGCCGGGATTCAGGCGATTTCGGCCAGAAGGCACGTTTACTATAATATTTTCGTGCCTCGTAGGGTGGCCCACATAAAAGGGCGATTATTCGAGATACTACTCGCGAAAGTGAACGAATGCTCGCTAAATAACGATACGAATTTCGCGGAAGGTGATCGATGCGTTTATTCTTTCGCGATTCGTTAGAAATTCTTCTCCGTTTCATAAAAATTAAATAGAACAAAGAGTAATACGGCTGAAGGGTGTTACTATCGTTAGGAAATTAAATCTCCTGCGAATAGATACGAAATTGAATTCCAGCTCCGTGGCATGAAAATGGTCGTTCCGAGCTTCCACCCACGACGAAGATAAGAAGCGGCCCCTCGACACCGACACGGTTCTACCTAAGACAATTATCCCCCTGGCAGGAAGCGTTAGAGGTTCACCTCCATTTTTTTTTAATAGAGGAGAACAGAATTCGATGGCGAACGGTGGACACGGGGTCGTGGTCAACGGGGTCGGTGCACCTGGCGGAGGCACTCTCTCCAGAGAGGAGAGACGTAGACGAAGAAGAGCCACGCAAAAATACCGAACGGCACACGCTACACGGTGAGATCCCGACGAAAATGTCCAATTCGATTCTAGATTGTCTCGTAATTTCGTTACACTGAACCGCTGCTCGGCGATACGGATGTCTTTTTACGGTGTAGCCACTCATTCTGGCCCCCCTTCAACGTTTCGTCACTGATACTAATCGTTTCTCAGCGATTTCATACTAATATTAATCATTTGTCTTCTTAAATTGTTCTTACTTAAATAAATATTTTTGATAACTGATGGGTTCGACTTTGCAGTATTTGCATACGAGTATGAATATTGTAACTACCGTCCAATTGTGGTGTAATTGTAACTGTAAGTCTTCAATGCGTGTAAATACTATTATAATTAATAGTAATCAGATTACGTTATGTGGGCACTTTCGATCGACTTGCTCGAACATTCTGTAATATAAAGTACAGTACAAAAATCATTTTTGAATCTCGAGTCGACGTAATCAGTAAATATTCATTTATTTATGAAGAAGTTTTTTGACAAAGGAACAAGATACGAGTACAAATTTATGTTCGATGGTTCGGTTTCGTAAATTCTCTCTATATTCAAGTGATTGTTAATTGGTTACAGAGAGAGGGTCAGAGTGGAAGCCTTCAATCTGGCCTTCGCGGAGCTTCGAAAACTCTTGCCAACCTTGCCACCCGACAAGAAGCTCTCGAAAATCGAGATTCTCCGATTGGCCATCTGCTACATCGCCTACTTGAACCACGTCCTGGAGGCTTGACTCGAAACGGAACTAAATTTCTTACGCAGATTATATTTTTGCAGATCCTGTTTCGTATTACTATGAACTATGTATTTATCAGACACGATTCTGACCAATTTCAGCCAAACGAGCAGAAAGACGTCTCTGTAATCTGTTTACGGACCTCTATCTGCACCGATAGTTCTATTCAAAATTCGTTTAAATGATACTTAGATAAGTTTTGTTCGTTTACAAAATTACATTTTAATTATTTACGCAACGATTACAAGCATTATTTTGTTAACCGTCTGCACGTGTACTCGAATGAAATATGTGCCTATTATTGAACTGCACGTTGTTATTTAAAGAATGAACGGTGAAGCAATACTGCTAGAATTCTGTTTTGCTGCTCTATTGACTGTCTCTTATTTTATTACGGGAAAAATTATCATTACTTCGCCGTGTCCATTGCAATAATTAACAATAATTTTATAATCTAAGCCTACGTTGACGCTGGCTCGAATATTAATCATTATTTATCATTATATTTAATAAATAAAACATACTTGTTCTTTGATTAAGCCTAAAATGTTTCCTTCGCAGGTCATTTATGTTTCTGTTTCGCGAATATAGGAGAAAGAAAGTCCAATTGCTCAGCCATAAACAATATCATACTTTTAAAGTATCGAGCACATTATATGTAATATTTTACGATACTTTGAAATGTACAGTTTCCACGAAAGCTGAACATTCGATAGAAACAAAGTTCAAGTGCGGCGATTCGCAATCGCCTGTACGCCTCGTCGAAACTCTTAAATCAATCTTGTTTCGTGGATTAGCGGACCGTCCCGAGTTTGGTACCCCTGGGATTAACGCGCCCCACGAGATCCACGTTACTAAATCCTCTATTTTCGCCGCGCTGCCCCCGTCGCTTAAGTTCCACCGTGCAATTGAATGCACGTTGCTACGATTTAGGCAGTAACTATCGGATAGTCAATCTCTCGGAATCGAAAGAATTAGTAAAAAATGGGCCTTTGACAAATTTTGTTTAGAATACCATTTAGATTTTATAATTAACTTCCCTGAGTCAAAAGATTTTTATTGTATAATCGACGTTTGTTAAATGAAGAAAGAGAGCTTCTGACACAATTTAGCCCAGACCTTACAAAATTACTTAATTTACAATATGCATAACAGGATTGTTGAAGCTATTTGGGGGACCTATAGCCTGTGAAACACTTTCTTTTTATAATGTAAATAAGGCATTATTTCTAGAAATGCATGTTTCTCAATAATTGACAACAAGCCAACGTTCTCTATCCCGAAACAGTTACCGGTCATCGTTGAACGAAACAGACATTCGATTAGAACTGTACGAGAGAGCCAACTTCACGGTTCATCTGTTTCCTTCGTCGTTTCCATTTCTCTGCCCCCATATCCGCACCCCATTCCAGCGACTACCCCTATCCGCCACCTGGGGACGCGCCGCGTAAAATTTTTTTTTAAATTTTTCGGCAAAAAATAAACAGCCCCCCTCCCCCCTGTCTATTCTGGTAGCCGCGAATTAAGAAGCGGCGGGAGACTTGAAATCTTTCCGGGGGACTTATTATATTATTCGATTTAGTACAAAGCTATATAATTTACTTAATTAAATATTTCACAGAATACTGCAATAATCGATTCACATTACTTGGGAGTCTCTTGACTTTGCTTTCACAAATTACTTTCGTCTGTTCAAATGTCATTGCGATTGCAGATCGCTGTCACGTTATATTAATGACATTATTGTCGACGAATTCAACAACGCCCATTACAAAGCGGGCCATTAATATCAATCGATAATGTCAAACGTTCCTCCGATGCGAGCGTAATTATTTCAAATGGTACGAACGAATAGACCGTCACATAATCATTAGATCGATCTTAGTAAATGAATTGCTTTTTTTTTATCGTGCTTCAAGCATTACTCGCCTCTAGAAATTTCATAATTATGACAATGTACGTACGATGCTGATTTCTGGTTTTTAGTGTGAGAATGGAAACAAGAGCAGCAATATCGCAATCGGTTTCGTGTTTGTGATTTTAAACAAAATTCTGAAGATACACGGACAAATGATTTCGAATAGACAATATTATAAAGAGCATTACATTATTGTTCATTATATATAGAAAATAAAAAGAATAAGACCAGTTAATGAAGCCATATTGCTTCGAAGAAGCTACCGCGGTGGTTAACACACTGAGTACCATCGTGGCGCTTCGAAATTTCGAATGCTCCACGAACAGAAAGAAATATCTGTTCATCTGGCTCTACGACATTCTAATCCTATGCACTTTTACTGGAAGCATGTTATATTTTGATGAATATAACATTCGAAATCTACCAAACAATATGGAACGCATAACGTACAAATTGGTGTCGATCGTTTTCATTGCTGGCTACATGTGGACGTTAATACTGGGTTGGTGTCACTCGAAGGTAAGCGATAAACAATAGAAATCACACTTTGTGCCAAGATTTGTTCCAAGCTGCTGCAAAAAGTACCAAATTTATGTAGCTAGTTTCATCGAAAGTAATACTTTCCATCCAAAGTGAAGAGGTGTAAACTCGTTTTTAAACTAATTAAATCGCTTTAAAATCAACAAATATAAAAGATCGACCGTCTGTCATCAGTTCCTATAACACACTCGTCAATATTGCTTCGTTTTTTTGTATTTTTAGGGGACATTGACGCTCAAAGAGAGGATCTGTAACGTGGACGAGAATTTTAAAAGACTAAGATCGGTGATCCATTATCGTGATTTATATCGCCGTGTAATAGCGACTGGGGTCGTGTTTGCTCTCTCCATGAGTATACTGTGCGGATTGTATGTAAGATGGATACTTCGTCAAAAAATGGGATGGGTCGGTTTGCTTGCTTTCGCTAATACTATTTTCTGTGGACAATTTACTTCGATCTTGCTATACGACTTCTTGATACATGTATAGTACGTAATATATTATCTCCTAAAATAATGATTTTTAAATATTCATTGATCAGAAAATCTATTTAAAAAATTAGTCAGGCACGCGTTAAGCTTGAAGAATGATTAAAGAAGGCTCGTGTATTCCATTAATAAAGTATAAGTAACTCTTTGAAAACTCTGTTCTGCGTAAAACAATAAAAATCTTCACGGTTATTTCTTAGTTGGCTGGAATTAAGTTTCATGGAGACAAACGATCTTTTGAGAACGTTCCTCGTAGACGATCCTCAAACTAAGGCGAAAGAACTCCACGAGTACACGATCAAATCCGCCAGTAATCGTCGTCGTCAGTTTCTAGGAAGCTCCAAAGTATACCTATCCGAGTTTTGTTTCCAACGCTTGCCAGTTTTTCCATTAAACTCGGCTTCGAGTTTGAAGCACGAATCTCAGGCTGGGAAGCAAATACATTTTTTACAAGAAATCAGGTAAATCTTCGAATCTCGTTTAAACGATCGAAACTTAAAACTGGTTAACTGTTTCATTAATTATTATGCTTTCACCCTCCATTTGATGATTGAAGTTCGAGTTCATTTTCTAAAATATTTTTATATTTTAAGACGCATGCATCTGAAACTGTGCAAGATCGCAAAAATGATGAACAGAGTGTTCGATGCACAATTAATGGTACAGTCCTCCGTCATTTTGATATACCTCACCGTGCTTCTGTACTTTGCGTACAATGAATTTAGAACATCGTCTAATAATGTATGGGAAATTGTAAATAGACTCGCTACACGTATCGTGGAGTTGTTAGATAATATCGGGAAATTCACTCTGGCGTGCTATAGTTGCGAAAATACCGTGAAACAGGTAAGAATCTCTGGCTTTTATCGTATAATCATGTTGCAATCTGTTTTCACAGAAGCCACAGCAAATATCTACTTCAATTTTTTTATTCAAACAAAATAGAGATTAATCATATGTATATTTTTTATTTATTTATTCTATTCTATTTCTAGGCGAACAAAATAAGAGAGATCATTAATAAACTGTCTATACGTGAATTCAACGCCGAAATGAAAGATGAGGTAAGTGTTAACAAGACATAAATTTGATTAGCACCGAAGATTGTTTCTTTTGTAAATCACTGTTCAAAACCATTGAACATTATTAATTGCATACGTGCAAAATCTTTCTGCTCATAGATCCGTCAATTTTCTTTACAAATATCGCTCAGTCAAATCGGACGCTGCAAGTCCAACTTCTTCCGACTGAACTACGACTTCTTACGAGGGGTTAGTTGAATTCTATTAGAGAAATACGTAGAATACCAGTATTTTTTTACCACTGTTATAGTGCATAAGCTTCGTGATTACGTACTTGATTGTTATCATACAATGGGGCTCATCCTACGAATTGGAGAATGCAGAACTGAATAAAAACAAGACCTATAATCGGGACTCGACCTTTCTGTGATGTTGAACTCGTTCTTCGAGAAACGGTGAAAGGATTTAGAAAAATTCTCTGATCACTGATAATATGAATCTTACAGAAACATTGAAACATACTTTTTCAAAGCAGTTATATTTATGTTACATGGAAATGTAGTTTTTTACGTTTGGAGCACTATTTTTGTGACTATTTATTTTATCGTTTTTGTCTTGTGTAAATATACGAATCCCCACGAATGTATTGTATTTATTTTTTCATTTCTGCAAAGTTTTCACTTTCTTCTTCAGAAATTGTTTTATTCTATTTATCCACCATTGCGATTACAGCTCTTATTTGGCATAATATTATATTAATGATATTATTATCAAAGAATCCAAAGGTAGCGAACAACAATGATATTACGAACTCGAATGACGTGAATGCGATTGTTATAAATGCTACGAACAAACGAACCGCCCATTGCGTTTTCTCAGCAATTCCAATCAAGCAAATGAATTACTTCTTATCATTTTTCGAGCATACGCTCGCCGTTGGAAATTGCGTAATTATGCAAATGAACATGCGACGCTGATAGCATCCGCATTCCTAGTGCAAGAAAGGAAACAAAAGGCAACAATATCGCAATTGGTTTCATATGTAACTCATACTTGTTCAACTGCACAAGCCATAGATTAGTCGAATCGTCGATCTCCAGATTGTTTGGACAGTGTTTCGAAACAGTTGTGGTTCTTTGGGGCGGATAAAGTACAAAAAGTGACCCATTTAATATAGTAATATAGTAACGGCGATGTCGAAGAATGTTTCCAGCAGAAAAAACTTTTAAGACGACATTTCGAAAAATGAGTCCAAACCGAAGGGTGGATTGAAATAGAAAACTCTGTAATACCTGAAGACATTAAAGAAATTCTATCAGTACACACCATAGAGGAACAACGAGGCCAACCAATGGAGATAAACAGCTTCGAGGAGGCTACCGTAGTTATAATTTCGATAAATTCCATTCTGGCATTACGGAATCACAAGTATCCCGCAAACAAATTGAAATTACTATTCGTCTGGTTATATAACATTCTAATTCTATGCTTTGTTATTATGAGTCTGATATACCACGATGTGTGGAACATGAAGAAACTATCGGGCAATCCATTCCGTATGACGTACATGTTTATATCGTTCGTTTTTACCGTGACTTATTTGTGTACAATAATATTGGGATGGCACTACTCTAAGGTGAGCGACGAAAACTCGTAATTTACAGAAATAGTATAGTTAATAGTTACAGTTCCTTTTTCTTCAGGCCACATCGACGCTCAGAACGAAGATAGCCGAAGTAGACGAAAGCTTAAGGAAATTAGGATCGTCGATCGATTATCGTAATTTTCTTTATCGCGTGATAGAGCTTGGAATTGTGATTGTCATTTACTTCGTTGTATTTCTCGGATTATATTTTTACAGATTACAGGAACAAATATCGAGATTTATGGTTTTAATCGTTACCTTTAGCTTCGGTTTTATACTTAACCTTGATACAATCATCCTATATGACTTCGTGACATATGTGTAGTACGTAATCACGCCTTTTTCGATGCTAATATATTCAAAGTAAAATATATTTACCATTTATGGCCGTTGTGGGTCTATTCTAACAATTTTAATCAGTTACCTCCAACTGTAGGAGTTTAAACATATAGGCAAGCTTATGGTTCAAAGAATTTTTAATCAAATATAAGCAACTCTTCAACAGCTCTGTTTTAAATAGAACGATAAAAACCTGGAAAAAATTTCATAGTTGGCTGGAATTGAAGTTCAAGCAGACGAATGATCTTTTAAAAATGTTACACGCGGACAATCGACGAATTTGGATCAGAGAGCTAAACACTGCAAGAAATCGACGAAGTCAGTTTTTAAAAATTTTCAATACGTACGCGACTGAGTTTCATTTTCAAAGATCCCAGACAGCCCCTTCTGAATCACCCGAATCAACCGTAAACAAAATAGAATTCCTGAAAGATATCAGGTAAATCTCGTCTTTAACTGGAATACTGGGTCCTTTTATTCCACGAAATTAAACCAGAATTTTATTTTTCTAGATTCGTGCATCTGCAGCTGTACGACATCATAAAAATGGTGAACAAAGTGTTTAAAGCGCAATTAATGATACAGACCACCAACATTGTGATATACATTACCATGACCTTGTACTTTACTTACGCTAAAATTAAATCGCCAGCTGACTACTCGAACAATTCGACATTACTGTTTATACATTTCATAGAGTTATCGAGTAATATTGGAAAAATTATTCTGGCGTGCTACATCTGCGAACGTGCTGCGAGAGAGGCGAGTAACACCGAGTTTTATCGTCCACTTTGCAAAATTGGCTACTTATCTGCATACTTTTCATTGATTTCTTATTTCGTTCGATACTCAGACGCTCAAGTTTGATACGTAAAATCATTTTATCTTGTTTCTAGGCAAACAAAGTGAGAGATATCATTCACTCGGTTTCTGTACACGAATTTGATAAGGAAATGAAGGATGAGGTGAGAATAACTGAAGACAGCAATTAATAATGAGAATCAATTTTGTAGAGCCATTGTAAAAAATTAAAATTGGTCTTTCTTTCAGAAAAATTTATAAATATCTGTAATTATAAATTTGTTTCGTTAATTAAGTTTGTATTGTATTAGGTACGTCATCGTAACAGTGTCACTTGAATGCGAAGGGTTAAAGTTTTGAAAAAAATAAAGTTATATACTTCGTCCCTCTCTTGGATCCCTCCTACTTGTGTGTGTGAACTGTGTACAATTTTAAATCTTGACAGATTCTTTAAAAACAAAATCGTTCTGTTCGTAGATCCTCCAAATCTCTTTGCAAACGTCGCTAAAGCAGATGGGAAACTCGAAATCCAATTTCTTTTGCTTGAACTACGTCTTCTTGCGAAGGGTCAGTTGAATTCAGTGTCAGAGAAAAAATATAAAACATTATTTTTCTATATATACGCGTACAATTGTTACAGTGCCTAAGCTTCGTGATAACGTACGTTATTACTATGATACAATGGAACCCATCTTTCGGTTTGGACGAATTGGTTTTGATTACGAACAAAACTCATAACTAGGGCTTGAGAGTTCTGTGTAGTTAAAAAACTGAAAAGGATGTATGTCCAGATGATGCACGATGTAATTTTCAATTAATTAAAAATGTTATACAATACAACGATTATCGATTTATTTCGCTTACGTGCCTTTTCATTTTTTCCTTCGGCAATTTCTTTATTCTATTAATATTGTAGAACTTACGTATCCAATTTTATTCCAATAAATTCATATTTTATTAATATGAATATATTAATTCATATAGATAAAAGATATTAAATATTTGTTTAGTATGAACGCAATTACTGCAAATGTTACGAACAAATTAATTGCCGTTTGAATTTTTTTCGAAATTCTAATCAGCAAATACATCAGAGTAAATGAATTGCCTTCGTATCGTATTTTACACACGCCTCTGGTACATTTTCTAATTACGCAAATGTTCCTGTAATGCTGATGGGCTTCCTATTTTCTAGTGCAAAGGAGAAAGGAAAACCAACGATATCGCACTTTGTACCATACGTCTAATTTATTTTATTCTGTAACGGTGTGACACGAAGTGTTTCTTAATTAACTGCGCCAAGTGATTAATAATTAATCGTCGCGTTCTTTCGATTGTTTCGAGCGGTCTTTCGCAATTAAAGAAGAAGGCTATCCAATGAAGATAAACAGTTTCGAGGATGCTACCGCCGTAGTAATTAGGGTTAATTCCATCGTGGCTCTACGGAACCCAGAAACTCCAGCGAACAAGAGGAGATTTCTACTCGTTTGGCTATACGACATTCTAATTCTATGCTCTATTATTTTGTGCAAGTTATGCATCGATGTACATTATTTGCCAATGGTAACTCAAAAAGATTCATTCGTGTTGTACATAATTTTGTCGATCATTTCCTATTTCACTTATGCGTGTACAATATCGTTAGGATTGTATCATTCGAAGGTGAGCGTCGAATATTTAACAATAATAACGTTGATTATATTCTGCAATTATACTAAACGTCATTCGACTACATTGACTCGTTTATTCTCCCTTTTAGGATACGTTGACGCTCAAGAAAACAATCGCCATAGTGGACGACATCTTGAGAGAACTAAAATCAGCGATTAATTATCGCAATATATTTAACCGTGTAATAGTAACTGGGATCATTTTCTCCTTTTATGGCATCTATCAGTTCGCATTATACATGGACAGAATATTACCAGGCGAGACGAGATTGATCTATTTTCTTTCCGTCTTTTTTTTCATTTTTTGTTTGAACAATGCTGCCATCGTCGTATTCGATTTCTTAACATATATATTGTACGTAATTATCCACAACTTTCTGGAGAACACTCGTGTACTTCATTAATTGAATCTAAGCGACTGTGCGACAACTGTGTTTTATATAAAACAATAAAAACTTGGACTATATTTCTTAGTTGGCTGGAACTGAGGTTCAAGCAAACGAACGATGTTCTGAAAACGTTCCACGTGGATGGTCGTAAAATTAAAACGTACGCGATTAAAGCTACAAGAAATCGTCATCGTCTTCCTAGGAATTTCAATGCGTACGCGTCTGAGTTTTTCTACAAAAAATCGCAAATCGTTCCACCGAATCGGTCCTCGAGTTTGGACGATGAATCACCAGTCGCGAAAAAAATACATTTCCTGCAAGAAATTAGGTAAATCTTGTCTTCTCCTAATTTCGAAGCTAGTTTAAACAACGATAAAAACGTAAAACTGGTTAACTGTTTCTTTACTTATAATGACTTATAATTAAAAGTAAATTAAAAAATTTGAACATGCAGCTATTTGTACATCAAAATATTTGTATTCTTTCAAGATTTGTGCATCTGCAACTATGCAACGTAGCAAAAATGGTGAACAAAATATTCAACGCGCAATTGATGCTTCAGTGTACCAGCACTATGATGTACCTCAGCGTGTTGCTATATTTGTGTTACATTGAAATCAGTACACAGTCTGGTAACGTCTTGCAACTTGTGAAAACAGTCTTGATGTATTTCATAGACTTAATAACTCATATCTGGAAATTCAGTCAGGCGAGCCTCTGCTGCGAACGGACAACAAAAGAGGTCTTCATTTCCTTTAATTTTTATTTATTTTCTCATTCAATTTAATATTTAAACGCTCAAGCCCGACACGCGAAGATATTCCATCTTGTTTTTAGGCGAACAAAATAAGAGAAACCATTCTCACGATGTCCGTGCACGAATTCGACGATGAGATCAAAGATGAGGTAAGAAACACCGAAGATACTGAAAGAAGAATTATTTTTTTATAGTCAAATATGCGAATGTTTTTTATACGACTCTTGTAAGTTCTCACCACACCCTTGTACGTATTAATACGTGCGATAAAGTATTAAAAAGTCTGACAAATTAAAGCCACGCAAACTTCTCGTCGTAGTTTCCCTTTATAGTGAAAATAGTTTCATTTAGAAATTGTGTGCTATGTGTACTGAGTTTAGATATAAATAACTTGATGTTAAAGAACTTGCTCTATCCGTAGATCCATCAATTTTCTTTGCAAATATCGCTCAATCAAGTATTAAACTCGAAGCCCAATTTCTTCCAGCTAAATTACTCCTTTGGACGACAGGTTAGTTGACTTTTGCGTTAAGGAAGTATATAAAATACTATTTTTCAATGTAACTAATTACACAAAACGTTGCTAATGCACCCAATTGTTACAGTGCTTAAGCTTTGTCATCACGTACTTGATCATTCTAATACAATGGGGCCCCAGCTTGCATCTCAATAATACAGACACGATTAAAAACGAAACCATCTATAATGGGAATCGAACTTTTCTGCAACGTTGAATTCAGTTTACAAAATATGGGTGGAAAAATTCTACAGTTTTATGGTATTTATGATGGACGAAATTTCAATAAGGACACTGCAATTTTGAATAAAAATGGCAAGAATTATCATATTAAAATGGTCTTTGTGATTTTGATTAATAAAACAAATCCAAATGTCTTCGTCTTTTTTCACTTCCGTCGTTTCTTATTTTCAAATTAATATTGTAGCAATCCATTTTATCCTGCGCTATTAATACCAGTGAACGTTCTTCGAGTGCTCGCCCAAAATGAAAGCAATTTTCCTAAATACTCTGGACAATTTAATCTTCCTTCGCATTTCCTCAATAATCATAATAGCCGGACAGTTCAAAGGAAATGAATTGCTTTGTAATGGTTTCCTGGGCACACACATCTCCCAAACTTTCCTAATTATGGAAACATATATACCAAGTTGGTGGCTTTCTTGTTCCTAGTACAAAAAAAGGAACCAAAAGCGACGATATCACAATTTATTTCATCCTCGATCGTTTCCAGTATTGTGTTTTTATGATTTTTAAAGAGAGTGGAGTACTCGGGGTATAACATTTTTATCATAATATAAAAAGAAGTGTCTCAAATCCATCGAGTTTTGAATTTTTGTCTTTCAACCGGAACATGCATCGATGTCACTAAAAATGACAACTATATTTTAGAATGTAACAATCTGTAGTATCCAAAAGAATTAAAAAAAAAGGAGAACCAAACTAGCCAATGAAAATAAATACCTTCGAAGAGGCTACCGCGGTGATAACTACCCTAAATTCCATCACAGGATTAAGGAACCTCGAGTATCCTGTAAACAGATGGAGATTTCTATTCACCTGGTTTTATGACATCCTAATCATATGCATGTTTAGTGCAACCATACTGGCCTTCGAGCCATATCATAATCAGCAATTATCGTTCCATTTAGAACGCATGACGTACATATTTCTAAACGCCCTGAACATGGTTAGTTTATTGTCCATGATAATTTTGGGTTTATACTACTCAAAGGTGAGAAACGAAAACATAAACTACACTTTGTTCACGAGTCACTCTTAAATATATAAAAAATTATTTAAGAATTAAATTTGGTAAATTGGTCGCTTCGAAAAACAGAGAAATAGCAATGTAAAGATAATTACTTTTTCTTCTTGGTTCATTAATCAATTTATTTTAGAATGTCCTCGTGAGCGAAAGAAAAGGAAATCATTTGTGAATTCATGACAGTATAATAAATAGTCTATCACCAAGCACGATTGATTGTCTAAATTGTTTCATTTTGTTTTTGTTTCAGGATACATTGGAGCTCAAGAAGAGAATCACGGAAGTGGACGAAAACTTGAAGAGACTAGGATCGACGACAAGTTATCGCGACTTATTTTACTGGGTAATAATTATTGGAACCCTCTGGACCTTTATTACGCTCATATCGTGTGGATTTTACGTGAACTGGTTGACACAACAAAATATGGGACTGTTGTCTGTAATTGCCATGGTTAATTACATCTATTCCACGAACATCGGTGCAATTATCCTTTACGAATTCGTAATATACGTATGGTATGTACATAATAAAATATGCTACTATAAAAATCGATAACAACCTAGACAATGTTTCTCAGTTGGCTGGGACTG